GTCCTGCATCTCTCTCTGTCTATGTCTCTCTCTCTCTCTCTTTCTGTCTAATTGTGTCATACGGATTACTGTTAATTATTATGCTGATCTGTTCTGTACGACATCTATTGCATGTCTGTCCGTCCTGGAAGAGGGATCCCTCCTCAGTTGCTCTTCCTGAGGTTTCTACCATTTTTTTCCCCGTTAAAGGGGTTTTTTTGCAGTTTTTCCTGATCAGCTGTGAGGGTCCAAAGGACAGAGAGATGTCGTATGCTGTAAAGCCCTGTGAGGCAAATTGTGATTTGTGATAATGGGCTTTATAAATACAATTAAATTGATTGAGGCAGACTGACAGGTCTGATATGTCTTATTCACTCAGCAGCTGACTTGTTGAATGATGGCGAGTGGATTTAATAATAGTGATAATAATGATGATAATAATAATGAGGGTCATCACAGTGACAGTGGCAGGGCTATAGACCGTTCTTTACTTGCCACAAACTTCGGCAAATGACTCAATAACAATGGTAATACATGCAAAAGTGTGTGACCAAAGTCATGATGGCGGGGGGTGGGGGTTACGGCTTTGATCAGCAGATATGTGACTTGGGATGTACGCCAAATGCTGCCTCCGTTATGCAGCAGATCCAGCTGTACCGCCGTCATCAGAAAAGGACGTCGCTTTACGTGACGCTTCAGAGTAAGGCCGTGTCATGTCTCTTATCAGCAATTCTCGCTCCTCACTCCTAACTCCTGACTCCTTAAATGTTTTCCTAAGTGGGAGGATTAAACAGTTAGGTTAGGTGGCTAGGTTAGGTGGTTAGCAGTAATTTTAAGGGACTTGAGACGTACCCATAGAACAGGTGTGAAGGGAAGACTCTGGGAACAGGGAAGGACTAACGAGACAGGTGTGACAGAAAGCAGGCGGGAAACACAAAGAGAGGAAGTAAAACCAGACAAGAGACACGTGGAGAGAATCTACAAAATAAAACAGGAAGCAGATTAAACATGAATGAACAACATGAAACAACCAACACATACAGAAACAAACAAAGATCATGACAAAAAGAGGACTAACGTCAAGGTTAAGAAATGGTATGGTACACTATAGGTGTGTCTGAAGTCATCATACAAGATTCTTTCTGGCATTAATATGGGAAACATAAGTATCAGACTACAACTTCACCGCTCCCATCCCCTCTGTCATTCCAACAATGGGTGCAATATCTTTGCCATAATGCAAAAGATTTTTAATTCTGTAAATGCAATAATAACAGCCAGCACTGTGTTTGGATGGTAAAATGTGCTTTGAAAGGTTTAGGAAGGATTTTACATACAAACTTAGGAATGAAGTTCTGAATAGCTGCAGCAACTCAGTGTCCTCTAACACATGTCAGTGATCAGTTAGAAAGCATTTCACTTCATTTCATTCATCTTATTTTTGACATGATTTGATGATGATTTGCAGTCAAGATTTTTAACATACTGAGGTAAGGACATTTGGCAAAAGGTGAGGTATGATTGTGTGACTGGGTGGGAGTTATGTGTCATAGCCCTGACTGTAAGGCTTAAATAGCGTGATTTTAGTGCAGTGCAGGGCGTCCAACAAAGAACTCATTTGACCTTTTGTACGACTGAACATGAAAAGTCAAGGGAAAAGCATAAAGGAAAAAATCAGGCAGACTTTACGCTGTTTAAAATGACTGCAAATTGGTGAGGTGGATACACACACACACTCACACACACACACAAAGGTGCAGATCACAGGAGGTAATCTATGCTCAGATGGTAGACAGGAGTCTGACCTTTCGCAGTTTTGCCGTGACTCACTCTCTGAGTGAATGTGCATGTGTGTGCTGTCAGAATGTCAGGGGATCAAACAATACCTATGACCGATAGCGATTCTGGGTTTTTTAAATGCAACACTGCAGAGACCAGAGATTTGATGACTTTTATGTCTGAATGAAAAACAGCTGAGGTGCTGGATGCTGCTGTTGAATAGGACCGACGGGAAAAGCCTGGATCTAATGATCTGCTCTGTATTCTGGAGAGGAGTTCAGCTCACTTTTGGGAAGACTCAACATACTGTAATTAGTGTGTGTGTGTGTGTGTGTATGTGTCTCCACAGTCTGATAAACAAATCCAGCTTTTAAAATCAAACCATCTTTACTGTACCTCTTGAAAACACAGTAATTACAAATATATTTCCTCTGTGCTTCTTCTTTCTCTTCCTGTCTCACACACACACACACACACACACACACGCACACACACGCACATTCCTATTCATGCATTAGTCATTCTGTAATTTGACTTGCATTAACATTTCCCTTCAAACCCCTCATTGTTAGTCGAGTGCACAAACAGCCGCTGTGCTTAAAACTGTGGGAGCAGGTGCGGCGTGCAAACAGCAAACTCTGTTGTACCAAGCATCGTTCAATCTCCTTTGATTAGATCCAAAACAGCTCTCAGCCCTTCTGCTCCCGTCCAGGCATGGCAAATGATGCCTCACCAAGATGTCATTCAGTTGGATTTTTTTTCCCATCAGCCTTCTGAATAAAGAGAACAAATAATAAATGTACCCTTGATTCGCAAAATGACAAATTGTACCTCAACCTGAAATGCGCACTGTGGAGGAAATTATTTCTTAGATGTGTTTTTGATTAAAGCTGCAAATGACTATTTCACATTTTGATGTTATTGGTTCCACCAAGGACGTGATGTTTTCAGTGCCATTTGTTTGTTTGTTTGCAGGATTACAGAAAAACACGATTTTCATGAAAGCTTGGTAGAGGGGTGGGCCAAGGAAGAACCTGTTTGATTTTGAAGCGGATCTGAATTAAAGAGCGGATACACAAATAGTTTTTCACTTTTGTTGAACTTGCAATATATGCACATGGCTCTCACTTTGGAAGTCACATGCGAACATGGAGGTGGCTTAGCTGTAAATTCTGTCCTTTTACAAAGTATCTCTGTCCACACTAGGACACAAAAACGACTCCAAACGCTCATCAGCACTAGTTGTCTCCCCCATTCTAGGTAGTAAAGTGTACAAGGCTAACGTTACCTTTTTCAAAACACCTACTGGAGATGTCATCACCGTTGATTCCTGTTCAATTTAAGAATAAGAGAGGTTATTTGAAGATAGTGCTGTTATCTCTGGCTTGGCCATGGGAAAGTTTTTTGACCAGGCCTGATCCGAAACCTTTATTTCTAGCAGACTTTAAATCGACTCTGAAGTGGGCAAAATAAAATTGGGTGCAGCAGACACCTCCATTCGTCATTAGCAGTGCCAACTAGCAGTGCAAAAGGTAAACACATCGTTACTCCGCAATTGTTGTTACTGGTTCAGGCTCATGCTACACAAAGTAACAACGGACATGTGCGAATTGAGGAGATGATGTCATAGTTTCCCAAATGCTCTGTTTGTCCACAAGGATACACACTAACCAGGGTTCTGAATAGTCTGCGCCACAGACACAGAACAAAAATCTCTGTTTTAGTGACCTAGATCTGTTTGCATGTGGATGAGAAGCCAAAACATGGAGGAAAATTTCTTTTATAGATAGAGCATACTTGTCCAGTTTTACACATAAAGGTCATTTTGCTCATTATCATCGATGATGTCATCACGATCATCTTGAATTAGGCTTAAGCTTCATTGTGTTTGAAGCTTGATTCATTCTACAAATATAAAGTCTGAATATTTCAGCCTCTGCTGCAGCAATTTAGACTATTTTTTTCTGACATGTCTTTTGTAAGTCCCCCAATTTATTGATAGTGCAGTACTAAATCACCTGAGTCCCCTTTAAGGTCAGAGATCAAAGCTTGTTTCCATCTCAGTAACTAATAATTCTTGGTGGACACGCAGGCCATTACTTAAAATAAGTCCAGTTCTATGTGTTGAAGAAGTTGGGGGTACTTTATCAAAGACACAACATACAGACTTCACATACCTCAACAATGAGACAACCCTGTAGAGCAGTTCACTGAACATTCTTATACTCCTCCTCAGATAAACATCATACCTTACTTTCCATGCGTGCATGTGTGTGGGTGTGATTTCCTGCTGTTTCCAGAACTTCTGCTTATTCCGCTTAATACTTGGCGCTTTACCACATCTTGTTCCTTGCAACAACCTCTGTTTCCCATCACGATGTTTCACCATCACAATGTTTGCCAGGTCACCTTGTTCTAAAACCTCTCAGAGTGAGACCATTCAGGGTTGCCCAATTTTAGTAAACATGTTTTGCACCTAACTTGACCTTAAGGGTCAAGTATTTCTAGGCCTTTTCACCACCACATATGCTTAATAATATTTGTATTTTATAACTATATTAGACTCTTGTCCATAAACCCAACCAAAATAAAATGCTATTAACTGTGATATAACTGCTGAAAATGAGAAGCTGAATCATTATTCAAACCAACCCGGTCAAAGTCAAACCAGTTTCATTTGAGAATAATAAGTGCAATTAAAAGTTTGACACAGAGACACACGTACAACTCATTAAAGACTCAAATGAATAATGAATGAATGAGCTATACCTTTGTCTAGAATAAAATGGATGAATACAACAGAAACTCGCACTCCCTGCATGTTTTAACAGTTAATATGTTGTAGCCTACTCATTTAAAGCTCAGAAACCCTGCGTGCATTTTTTTTGAGGTCTTATTTTCTCCCCTATTTAACTTGCATTGATCTGTTGTCTTTTTATCATCCATTTAAGATTGATCAAACACAATTTAAGTGGCAAAATTCAGCAGATAAAAGATGTAGAGCGTGAAGACCACAGATTGTTAATGTTCTTCCACGTCTTTTCTCCTCTTCTGCAGCTGCCTAATAATCTTTTCTAAAGAAGGATCTTGTTTGTTGGCCTCTTTTAATGAAGTCTGGACACTGAGTGACTCTTGACTTGCATGTGAAACTTGTCACTGCTCTCCTTGTTCTGTCATTCTTTCTTTTAATTATTCCTCCCTCTTTAACTCCTCCACCTCCCTGTCTTCCTCTTGATTGATAGGATTATCAGGAGTCCACCCATCTGGAGCAGTTTGTGACCCGCTTCCTGCTGAAGGAGACAACCAATCAGCTTCATTCACTTCAAAGCTCTCTTGAGTGCGCCATGGAAACCACAGCCGAGCAGACTCGCCAGGAGAAGTAAGAACTACAGTAATCTCTTGCACGCATACAATTAGTTCTTAAAAGAAGGACAAACTGTGTAGCACAATGGCACCTGTAATTACAGTTCTCACATCTAGTGTGACATTTTTGTTCAAACCACACACACTAATTTACATCCCACATTTTAGATTTAAATGATACTGTCATCCGCAGTGCTGTGCAACAACCCAGATTCATACCCTGTATTTGTAGGACCTCCTGCTATTCCCTGAAATCCAGCAGTTCTTTTATTTATATGATCACTACCCGCCTCTGGGAGATAGATGCAGGAGGGAGATAATTAAGAAGCAATTCTTAAGACTTGAGAGAAATTAAACACAGAAGCTAAAAAAAACAATCAGGGCCTTTTCACTCCAAACTCTTCAACCAAGCAACTGACATTGTATAAAGAGCAAGAAAGTCTACGAAGGGCAGGAGGGAGGGGCAGTCTATGGGTCAAAATAACGCAGGACTTTCACCCAGGAAACCACTGTTCATGTCCGATGTGAAACCAAAAGTCAGTGTTTAGGTTATTTTAACTCTGTAACACAGTAAGTTCATCACATTACGTTACATTAGTCTGTTCTCATGCACTGTTTGTACATATACCTGCGAAAAGTGATGCACCACAATATGTTTAACACAAGTAATCATGGGCCAGTAAATTGTGCCTAACACACATGGTCGCGTGACCGATGGACTGATGGGAGTAAAGAAGAAAGTAGTACAAAAACTAGCATTCTGCGTAAGGAGGTAGATTAGGGTGGTGGAAGGGTCAAACAAACACAGGATTTTCCCCCAGGAGACCACTGTTCATGTCTCGTGTAAAAACAAGTAAACTTTGAGTTATTTTAAACTACATCATCACATTTGATTTTTGTAAACTTAACCTACAAAGCCTACATTATTTACGTAGCATTACAGCACCATTAATTTGTTAGATTTTATGCAAACTGTATGAGAATACATTGCATTAGTAAAAACATACCTATTTTAAGCCAAACCCAACCAAATAGTCTGGTGCCTAAACCTAAAACCATAGTAAAGCTACATTAGTTTAATTTTATTTTTGAAAAGATTCTGTATTCATTTACCAAGGAGACACTGTACATTTCCTGTGAAAACATGAATGTATTTTGAAAAGGCAATATGCTTGTAATGAGTGCAAAGCAACATGCCACCCCTGAGCATCCAGAACTGACACTAGAGGGTTACTTAAAGCATCATAGTTTGACGCATAGGGCCACTGACCAAGCATTGGGATTTGACAAGTTGGGAGTGAGAATGTGTGACAGAATACAAGGAAAGATGATTTTCATTTCCTGTGTTCTGAAATCAAAATAACATGTATGAGATACTGGGGAAAGTAGTAAATCACAGCAGGTCAAATTAACAGCTTGACTGCGCCACAAAATATCAAAAGGAAAACAGGAGAACCTATTCACATTCACCTTGTGCTTTAAAGTTGTTCCTATCAATATTTTATAGTAACAATGGATGAACTGACTTTGTATAATATGAAAAGGGACATTTGTAGTGACGACTCAATCATGTATTATTAATAAGTCTGCAGTTCCCTTCAACTCTTTACTGTTTTGGGTGACTGATTGCTTAAATTTATTTGGTTCTCATCAGCCTCATTTCGGGCCACAGCAGGCAGCTAGCAAACAGACGAAGTTAGCAACTAGCTGGTGAACATTGTAAAGCTAAAGAGACAGATATTTCCCTCAGGAGATGACGGAGACCAAACCACAGCTACAAGAAGAGTAAATAATAGACTTGCCATCATGGGAACCAGACCAGACAAATCTTTGAGCTCATGTTTTATTTGCATTGCTCCAGAAAATATGTCTGGCCCCCTCCCTTTCCGGCAGATTTCCAGTTGACCTGGCCTGCTTCATGCCAGTCACAACCATTTATCTAATATGGTGCATGTGTAATACGATGGCTCTGCACCTACATGCAACACCATCACAGCTCATCACTGCATGCTGTAGTCTGTTTACAGTTGTCCATCGCTCAGGGTACTTTGCACGTTTTGTTGCTCTGATTGGTTGTAAATCTATTCAATTTCATCCGGAGGCATCCAGGTCTGCAGCCGCTGATAACACCCCTCGTAAATCGAAAATGAACTGAGAGGTTCCAGATACTTTTTCAATTTGGTCTGACGATGCCAGGTTACAGGCGGACACAAACATGACTCCAAATAAACTAATGTTGCTCTGTGTCTGCTGAATGTGTAAACAGGGGACTGTTTGCTAAGATGTCCGCTATTACAACTTTACAGCTTGTTGTGCTGCCCAAGTGTCTGAAAAATCCTTTGATGCAGGTTTAACACAAGCTATGTTCCCTGCTTAATTAAAAGCTGTTTATTGTCACCTCCAGCATGTGCACAATGTGACATTATTTCACTGCCAAAGGTCATCTGCTGTTTGTGGATCAGAAGACTGAAAGATAGCAGATTGAGGTGAATGCCACTAATAAGTCTGCTGATCACATTATGCTTTCTCCAGCTTGGTCTTCAATTAACTAACATATGCTAAGATTTATCTAAAAGGTGTCTGCATAACAGAACAACAATTAGAATATGACCTTAATGTGGTTCCGATTTAATTATCAGCATGTTTATAAACCTGCTGCCTGATAATCAACACTCACCCGCTGGTTGAATGGACAGTTGATGATTAAACCTGAGGCACTTGTGCTTCGTGCATGTGTGTGTGTGTGTGTGTGTGTGTGTGTGTGAATGTGTGTGTGTCTGTGTGAGAGTGCAGTACTCAATCAGTATGCGTCCGCATTCAGAGTCGAGGCATGCCCCTGGTGTTCTCGGTTCATTAGTGATGATGACTCACCAGTGTACAATAAATGTGCACAAGATTCACATACGGTGTGTGTGTGTGTGTGTGGGTGCGTGTGTGTGTGTGTGAACATGTACGTGGGCCTTCCCTGAAGATAGCGTGTTGATTCATGGTGTATTTAAAGAACAGGTGATGACGCATGGTCTTTTTGCATCCTGTCATCTGTCTGTGTTCACACTTGAGCTGCAGCGTCGACAACTGAGCCGTGATTTGCTACCAACTTCCTACAACCCTCCATACAGCAGACCATTTTTAATTTCCATGACCAGCCAAGTAATTTGAAGCAGCCAATACATTTTGAGGGAAACATATGCCAAGGAAATTAAGTGTCTATTAACATAATGAAGACATGTTGCTAATTAACATTCCTGAAGTTGCAGAAGTGTTAACACTGAATGTATCAGAAAAATGTTCATTGACAACGTATTTCAGTTGTTTTCTGCCAAATCTGCAATACAGTATAGTAACCACAGCAGAAACCCCCACAGACATGGGGAGAACATGCAAACTCCACACAGAAAGGCTCCCCCACCCTGGGTTCAAACCTTTTACCATTCTGTAGCCATCAATGTATATTTAAGACTCCTTTATAAGGTTCTTGTATTTAAAATGAGCTGGAAACAGCATTTGCAAGCAACTCATGGAGATTAAGTTAGCTTAATTAGCTATTTAGCTACAGCTCATAGCAACAGTAATCAAGGGGGGAGGTGAAACACAGAATAATTTTTTGAGTTAAAGTGTGTTTATTAGGAGGTTACTGTAGATGTAATGTAACGTGATGTAAATACATGATGAGACCTAACCAAGAAGTGTATGTAGATAACGTTGTTTCAAACGGGACAAACAGCAGTCTCCAGGATGAAATTTTAACCCATCCTTCCACCTTGTCCTCTTCCTCCCTGTGTGGACTTTGTCACTCTTTATGACAAATTGCCACGGATGAGTTTCAATTGGAGTCATTTGAAAGCCCAGTGCATCTCGTACAGACACTACACAGAGTATTGTGCGTCTGTATCAGACACTGAGGGGCCTGATGAAGCGTCAGTATTTGAGGACCTGGGAATGAGACCAGGCTGGTTGAGACCAGGCTGGGGGGGGGGGGGGGATTCACATGAACGTAGCCTACATGAATGCGCAGCCAGACCGGCTTGTAAACAATGGGCTGGAGATCAACACAGAGAGAGGGTGTGTGAGGTCATGCTATAGGCTACTCCAGATGAAATTACACCTCTAGTTCTTCACATAGCATTTTTTTAATTCCTTCAATCTAGAAATGATGAATTTCGCTTATTGCTCCTTTAAGTTTAATTTAAAAGTTTTGTACTCTCTGGTGTAGTGGACATTGATAAGGTGGATACACCACTAGGTAGATGGGTAGGTCACTGAGGAGAAAGTGGGTATACTCTTCTATATATTGCAGTGGCTTTTTGGCTTTATATAGGCCTACTGTAAAATGCCAGAAAAAGAATTGAATATAGCCGTGCTGTGTCCCTTTTCTCACCATGACCATGTTTACACTTATTCTCAGAGGCATAAAATGATGGGCTTAGATAACTGAGAGACATCTGAGACATCCACCAACTCTTCCTTCCTTTCTTCTCCTCTCCTCACCACCTCTAAATGTGTCTTTCTCTCCATATCCCCATCATGTCATTTCAAAGTGTGACTGTCTCTTGCTCCCAGAGCAGCTTCTTCTCCTCAAGCATCCTCCTCCAAACTGCCACACTTGGAAAATTCCCCTGTGCATCTGAATGCAGTTACTCTGTTCTTCCAAACATATAGAAGATAAGGCTGTTTCTCTGGTGGCTTTAAATTGGTTTCTGTGGTCAGTTTTTTTATGTGTGAAGAGGACAAACGGGAAGTTGTATTCACTGATGCACGGTGTGACTAAGAGCTGAGCTTCAGCTTTGTATTCACAAGTTGTGCTGTTCATTTCAAAAGTAATATTACTTTCCTGTTAGTAATTTGTTGTTTTTTCTTTTCTTGCTTTTTCTCTTCTTGTTTCTTTTTATTATTCTGGCTACAGTTTGCCCTTCTGCTTTTCAGCTACTCTTCCTTCCTCCTAATCGACATAAGGTCGTGGGAGGAATATGACGATGCAAAGGCTGCTGATCTTTGCTCTATTACTGATCTCAGATGGGTTTTAGCAATTAAAGTTGCTGCATAGCAGAGAATACAGAGTGACTCACTGAGAGACCAAGAGGGACCTGTCACTGGGTCCACCTCCTCTGTACATCGAGCGCACACACACATTTAACTAGTGGATTAATTATACTGCATTCCTCCCAGATGTGAGAAGGAACATTTAAAATCTCTTGTACAGAAAGTGGTGTCACACGAGGTGACCACAGTCCATTTAACAAAAGAAGATCATTCTAAATTCGCTAAGAGAGATTTTAGTATTTAATAAAACACACTGTCACAGATCTTCCCATTTAGATTATAGTTTATTCACTCTACATGAGATTTACTGCTAAAAAGCTAAAAAAAAAAGCTAAAATACAAAGATTGGTGGAAAAATAGGTGGAAAAAAAGATCATAAAGCACCCTGCTCTTTCATTTGCACAAAACTCACACACATATATAAACACATTTGCATTCACCTGCACACACACACACACCCTCGGACACCCTAAGGGCTTCTCAAAATTTGGGGCTGAACAACTTGACAGCACGAAGATAAATCTTAGGTGATGTCACCCTGCAGCTGCTTGTACCTTGTCACTGGCATTAGCATCACCGTCTGACCAGCACAACACACAATTATAACGTAAGACAACTTCAGGCTTGAGCTGAGACATCTATTCGTGAGACTGTGCTTCGCTCACCTGCTGCCATCTTTTCTTTTCTCCTTTATTTCATACAATAAACTGTTCAACTTTCATTTCCTACTCATTTGGACTTTCTGCTCTATGTTATGTAGTTGTTCAAATTATAATGTCACATCTATTAATTTAGTCTTTAATCAGCAGAGACTAAATCTAACGTCACAAATTTTGAGGGACCCATCTGTTGTGTAGTGTGTGCAGTGCACCCCAAAAACATGTGTCAGTGTTACTAAGACCTATTTTGCTTTTCCTTATTTGCTGTTATATACTTCTATATGTTACAGTGTTGTTCATGTTAAATGTGGCCAAAGTTTCAAATAATGACGTTATTGTATGCAAGCAAAAACCTCAGGCTTCTGATCGTACTGAACACTTTTTTTTTTTCCCTACTCTGGCTACAAGCTGACGTCACAGTGTGCCAAATTTCTTTATATGGTTGTCTGCTCCTGGTATGCTACTGCAAGCATTTACATTACATAGCCTACACTGCTACATGTGGCTACATGCTATCATTACAACACGACACTAGTGTTTGTGTCCTGTGTGAAACCAAGTGGACTTTGAGTCATTTTAAGGGACATCGTCCCATCTCTCTTTTCCTAAACTTAACCTTTGTAACTTTACTTTCCTAAACCGAGCCTTCATAACTTGATGTTTAGTACATCACATGACAAGACCCAACCATGATTCTTTTCCTAACATAACCAGTAGGGGCTAATTTGTTGGTGGCTAATTCATTAGATATCATATGAACTGTTGTATGAGGATATGTTGTCCTGCTAGAACATGTTTGGTTATAAAGATTTTCATTTTCAAGCTTTTACTGGTGATTTTATACAATAGAAAGCAGCGCTATTCTTCTTCACAGTCATTCCACTGCTGCAATGCAAAGTTGACAAGATGTGACAGCAACTGGAGCGTCTCAGACAGAGGGTGAATACAGGTGTTCCAGCCAGTGGCGGCGGCAGCCGATTTTTACTGGAGGTGCTGGGAGGGAGCTTGACTATTAATTGGAGGTGCTAAAGAGTTGTGGATATAGCCTACCAATATAAGCATGCAGAGTCCAAATCAACAAAAAATCTTGCACATTGTGGGATTAGAGGGACCACACAGTGTGGCTGGTCACGGACACTGTCCTTGGCCCTGAAAGAGCCCACACTAATGCAACACAGCAACACTATCGACTATGCCAGAGTATAGTAAAAAATAATCCCTGTACTGCGCTTATGGCAGGCTAATACATTGTTACTCACCACTAGATGTCTTTACAGAAGAATGATGTGTCTGTTAGTGTGATTGCTGGCAAAGGCATCAATGATTTTATCTGCGTCCAGATCTTTGGTCCTCCTGCTATTTGGTTGAATTGGTTGATCCTCTATCACACGTGGCCACTTAGGGACCAAGAACCGCTCCATCTTTTCATCAAAGCGCCCGCCACACTGTTTCCGCAATCACTTCAACCTGGCGGGGGGTCAGGTGCTGGCTCGGGCAGGACCTACCGTAAATAATGTATTATCAGGCACCCGATAATACATTATTTATGGTACGTTCGCTAATTGATGCATTTAGCCTATTAATAATACAACCACCAGATAATGTCACACAATTGAACAAAAACAATTTTATTTTGTTTGTTTGTTTTGTTTGAAAATTGTTTGCGCATTTCTTGGGGGTGCTACAGGGGTGCTATGGGCTTCTTTGGGGGAGCTGAATCACCTCCAAGCTCCCCCCAGCACCACCTGTGGTTCCAGCACAGACAGTGTGAGGGAAATAAAGTGTTTTTGGAACATTAAAACTTGTAAGGATGTTCTAGTACAAACCCAAAATACAAGTGTGAACCTGAAAATGAGCAGAATAGGTATCAGAATGGTACCAACAAAAGAGAGGACTCAGTAGCAGGACTCAAAAACACAAGGACTTTAATGAAGGTCGCTGAACAGAAAAACAGCCCAAAAATAATGACATTTCCAAATGCTTGGGGCTTACGCAGAATGCAAAAATGCAAGATACCTCATCAAAAACTAGAAAACCCTAGGAACAAACAGCTAGAACATGTGCTCCAAACTACAGAGACGAACTGGCACAGACAAAGGGCAGCAGGTGGACTAAATACACAAGGGAGGAGGGGTAATGAGGGACAGGTGAAACCAATCAGGGCAGGGCAGGTAATCACACAGGAGGGAAACACACAGGGGCAGGAAGTGAAGTGCCTGAAACTAGAGACAAGGGTAAATGTCAAAATAAAACAGGAAATACTAACAAACCTGAAAACAAGGAAACATGACCTTGAAGAGGACTTCAGGGTGTAACAACAGGTTGCCTTTAATTGTACTATAATTGTGACAATTCTAAAAGAATATTTTAATTTCTGATATTGATCTTCCTGTTTTGGCTCCAGACAGGGCCCACTGAAGCCAGAGGTTTTGTCCATCCAGTGGTCGGGTCGTCGCTCCAATCGGAGGCTCCAGAGGAACAGCAGCCTCTCTCCCAACAACCCTCTCCTCAGTCTCGTCAGTTCAGGTGGGTTTATGTTCTGCTGATTGACCCTTCGCCAAGCCTTTGTTGTTGGCCACTGATGGTCCATCAAGCTGTCTGAGCTAGCACAGAGCCCACACTATCACTAACTGCACTCCCAGAGGAAATATCATCAAATTTTTGGAAGAAACGAAAAAGTATTTTCAGAGAGAAGCAGACAAGTCGACAATAGGCATTAGAAGGATATATCCAGGATGTTAGACTCACTCAGCGGAGAAACAGGTTAAAAAGACAAAGATAGAAACCACAGCCAAATGTACAGATCACAGATTAAAAGTGAACCACCACATCACCTGGCAATTGAGACAGCCTGAAGGAAATCTGAAAGGACTGCATCAGAGTCTACGGAGCACAGCTGTGTAGTCATTGGACTACGGTTGGCACTCGCTGATGCTACACACTGATTGGCCAGTCTGCATTCAACGGACAGCACTCAACAAATTGTCAATTCTGAGTTTGTAAGTCAGTGGCAACATGTTTTGTAGTGTTGTTTTATGTTTCATCATGTTTCATAGCATCCTGTTGTGTTTCATACAGCAGCGCTCCACTCTTGAGTTACGTCATCTCACAGCTGCTGGCAGCAAAAAAGCTACTCGACCGGAGTCAGCGTGTCTCCACAGGCTAGAGAGCCGAGCACAGGAGGAGGGGAGGGAGGTCATGTAGGTGTGTGAGAGGGAAGCTGGAGTGAGAGACCGAGAGATTGAAGTGGGGCGTTGTGTTCTCATGTGCTGCTGTGTGTCGATCCAAAGCCATTGAATGCTCTGGTAGCCTGCTGGGGGTTTGAGGTGGGGAGATGTAAGACCTTAATCTCAAACACCACATGCTGTGAGTTTGAATTCACTTCCATTGTAAGTGAGAGAATCACTGAACATAAACTCATTTCATGATATATATACCAGCAGATACAGTATACAGTTAAATAATCAGCCCAGTGTGCCCTGGTTTGTGATGCACAAATGCACCAGCCTGCAGTTTGTTTGTTGATGCTTGTTTGACTTGTGTGGCCTTGTTTGCAAGCACACAATCTCTCTCATGCAAGGCTGCACACTGCCTAAACAGACAGTAGAAATAATATTTTTTTCAATATAAGGCAGTGCAAAAAGTATTAAAGGATTTTTTTAAACTTTTTACGTGGATAGTGAGTCAGTTTTTGATGGTAAATGTAGTCGACTGAAGTAATAAATTCCTCAGTGCATTCTGACAGAAAAAGCCCAGTTCTCCTGCTCGCGGAGCCGTGGAGGCAGCGCCTACATGTATCAGGATGCACTGTGTGCAAGCTACTCATACTGAGCCAGAACATATGGTAGCTTTCTTATGCAGGTATTAAAATAAAAACACAGGCTCTGAACCAGGGTGAACCAAGACAGCAGCAACACAGTGCATTACAGCTTCCCTCCTTCTGCTTTTACCTTTCACAATAAAAGCCTTAGTTAGCATTTCATTTAGAGGTAACTCATCAAAATAGCTTATAGTAGTGTTAGGTGACAAAAATACTCACTCGGTGGTCATGTGCCCTCTTAGTCCTGCTGGTCTTGGTTGACTTTTCCAGTTTATTTTCAGGAGAAGGTCTCTTGAAGAAGGTGTCCAGTAACTTTCCAATGACTACAGCTGTGCTCAGTCTTTTCACAATTTTGACAGTCACCAATTCTGGTTTGATCGAACATGCTCTCAGCGGACAGCGAAGCAGCAGCTCTCAGTCATTCTTTGGAGGTGGAATGGTAAATGGACCTGCACTTGTATACCACCTTTCTAGTCATCCAACCATTCAAGGCACTTTATAAACTACGAGTCACATTCACACACACATTCATACACTGGCTACGGTGCCACTCAGTTTTTAACACACTCACACACCAATGGAACAACCATCAGGGGCAATTTGGGGTTCAGTATCTTGCTCAAGGATACTTCAACATGCAGACTGGAGGAGCCGGGGATTGAACCTCTGATCTTCCGATTAGTGAACAACCTGCTCCACATCCTGAACCCAGCCTCCAAAATTAGTAAGCAAAATTAAATGATCACAAGATCACCGTCATTTACTTACAATAGTACAACCATAGTCTCCAACACACATCTGTCCAAGTGACAAGTAAAATTTCATGTAACACATACATGAGCTTTTGTTTTTTTGGCTCCTGTGATCACAGCAGCTCTCTTGGGGTTGTTATTGGCTACAGGGTCTATCAAAAACTGCCCATGCTAAATTTGTTTAAGCAGAATGATTCATTTTCTGGTGGCGGTGAAGGGCAATTTGAGAAAAGGCACCACCAGTCACTGTTGGCTCTCAGCAGCTCAGATTTTGGAAGGTCACTTATGGCCACATCCTCCCTGCTGCAGCCATAGCCTCGGCCACTCTCCGCAGCGTTTCTTTAGCTGCATGGTGACTCAACTAAATACAGATGAATATCAGAGTCAAAAACAAAACACTTTAAAATGTGTACTCATCCATAACATCCTCTGAACTATTGTGAATACTATTTGCACTGTCAGAAATCACGTAGTTTGCATATCAATTCTGTTTTTAAGCCTAGAACACGTCCCCTGACTAACATTTGTAGTGCTTCCCTGCTTCCAACTACATCACATCTTACATCACTGGATGCAGAAAGAACAACAGATTTTACAGTTGTGAAATCAGCTTTCTTGGCCAATATAGTGCACTCTGAGGAAGTTACTGCTTCAGTCAACTACATAAACCATCAACACTGACTGGAAATCCACACACAAAAAAAGTGAATTTTCCCTTTAAACCTGAATGAATACAGACCACCAAAAGTTCTTTACTCTCTTTCATGTGACATAATTTCTTTGGTGCTGTTAATTGTAATCAAACAATGCAAATAATTAAGAATCAGTTCTTGATGTTTTATCCACACCACAGCAGTTTTGTCTTTTCTTATATTTCCCAGCATGATGGTTGTGTGTATTCAACTTTTGCTGAACACAGTCAGTTTTTCTTCAGACCTTCATTGTGACACCAGCCGCAGAGTCTCTATAAACATCGATTACAGGCCTCAAAGCTTTTCTATTGATTGTCATGTTTGTGCGTTGCATTATATGAAAGGAAACCTTGAAGTGCATTCTGGGACACCGCCACTATTTTAGAGGTATTTAGTTCAAACAATCAATGCAGGAAAATGTGTTTAAAACACATTTGATGTATGCAGCACATTTCATCCCATCATCACCTTTCTTTTTTACTTTTGTCTGAAACCTGTCCTGTTTGTGTCTGTAGGTGTTTATGATGAAGACAGCCAGTGGATGATCCAGGTCAACAGACTGCAGAGTCTCATCGACCGTCTAGAAAAAAAGGTGACTCCCTCTCTTTCAACTTTTGCATACTCTCCTCTCCTCTCCTGCCTCTGTCTTCTTCTTTGCCTCTGTTATTTTTATCCTGGTCTGTCTCCTCTCGCCATCCCGGCCATCTGGTCTTTATGTTGGTCTCTCGGAATAACCACAAATTATTGCAAGTGTACTCACAACAATATCAACAAATTAACTCAACCCAACAACACCCTCCCACACACAAACACATACACATATGTACAGTTTAACTACGGAAATATCGGCTGCACACAAACTCTCACACCTGTTATCTGTGTGTGTTGAATGTAGCATGAAATCTGAGATCTGTTGGATGTGTTTGATTTTTAGTTCTAGTTTTTGGAGGGATTTTGCACACTGAAGTTGTAAAGCGGTTAAGTTATAAATCTGAGGGGTCCTGAGATGATTAATAAGAGGAAAGTATAAAAACATATTTCTACAACACAAAGAAAGTTATGTTTACCTTTTTGTCCTGTCTTCAGATCTTTCCTTTGAATTACAGGCTGATTGTACATCTTTGTTACTTGAGTAAAACAAGCAAAAAATCCAGTCTTTAGTTATACAGGTTTTAACAAGTAGCAAATGGTGACTGTTGCCTGTAGACAATCAAAGGCTCACAAGTCAAACAGTTTGGGAACTGCTTTGGTAGATGAATGTAGATGTAAGAAAAAAACATAAGGGCACTATTTAAATGATCTATAGAACGTGGCACAAGTACATTTGAGTTCTGTCCAACTCCACTTCTGCTAGACAAGCGGAGCATAACCTGGGTACACAGTAAGGCACAAGGGGCAGAGCAATTGTATTTAGTCCCTTAATTTATCATAGGTGCATATCCTGGGATGATTAAAGGGATAGTTCGACATTTTGGCAAATTCGCCTATTGCCTTAATTCCTATAGTCATATGAGTAGGTACATTACCTTTAATTGTCAGTGCGTGCTGTTCTGAGATCGGTGTGGCAGAGCTGCCCGCTGAAATGAAGGTGAACGGTACAGGTCCCTCTCTCCCTCAAAACTAATCAAATACACCATCAAATGACTCCAAAACTCTCTTGTGGACAATTTGTATCTTACACATTCTCCACGCTATGAAATAATAATGTAATATTACGAGACAGAGTTGTTTTGAAGCCAAATGCAGAGCCGGAGCTACATTCCAGACATACAGTACTTGCTGGGCGGAGTGATTTCAAACAGCGTATGTTTAGTGCAGTTACTCCCGTCATCAAAACAACAAGTTTGTTGAGAAGAAGCCAGAATATACAGAGGAAGAGTTACAGGTTTTGGAAGAAGAGAGAGCAAGAAGAGAGAGCAAGAAGAGAGGCTGAGGCTGCCGAGCAACCAGGGGCTGAGGGGAGACCCAGTGGTGTAAATGCGGGGCTTACTGGCCACTTTATTAGGTACACCTGTGCTGTGCAATATGAATATAGAGTATGCCTCAAAATAATCACCGGAACATGGGGAGAACATGCTAACTCCACACTCATAAATCACCACAACTCCTGAAGGAACAACAACATAAAATGTTCCCTAGCAGTCTGTTTATTCCCAACAATGAGAAGTAATGTCAGTCACTTCACTAACTTATATGCTCTGGGCAAGCACTTAACCATAACATAACCACAACAACATTTGCATTTTAGCCTTATTTACCATGCTTGGGTTGTAGGCTAATGTTACTCAACATGGAGGTAACATTACAGCAGAGAGATTGCTGAGCAAAATACACAACAATCATTTACCACGTCTGCTCGTTTTGTGATGCCGATAGATGGTATGACAGTGTCTCTCAAGAAAGGAGTTTGAACCATTCCTGAGCTTCTGCGCTCCATCCTTTCACTATAGTTCTCCGGTAAAAAATGGCAGGAGCACTCAAACATTTTCCAGACCATTTCCACAGGCGTGTTGGGGTCAATGTCCAGCACAAATAGCTATTGTTTCATCCTGTCCACATTACTGGTTGGAACTACGTGAAACTTCCCTTTGCTCCATGTCTTTGGCTTGTTACTGCAACCTTTTACAATGCATGTGTAAACCATGATTTACAAAAACACTTGTAAACTTTCCTCAAACCTTCTGGTGTGTCCAGCTGACGATACCGCAAATGGCTACAAGCAATAACAACGGCACTGTCTCAGCTGCGCACTGTGTCACTCCGCCCAGTGGTTTACTCAAGAAAGTAGTTCCAAGTATTTGCTTCATGTGTCGTAATGTTACTTAATTATACATTATTATTTCATAGTGTGGGGAATGCGCAAGCCATGTGTTGTCCACTAGAGCGATTTGGAGTCATTTGATGGTGTATTTGATTAGTTTTGAGGGAGAGAGGCCTGTACCTGTACCGTTCACCTCCATTTCAGCGGGCAGCTCTGCCACACCGATCTCAGAACAGCGTGCACTGACAATTAAAGGTAATGTACCTACTCATATGACTATAGGCATTATGGCTATAGGCGAATTTGCCAAAATGTTGAACTATCCCTTTAAACAGTAAAACTAAAAACCGTAATTATAAACTTGACAGAGGTAACAGAACTAAACTTTTGGCCTCTGAAATAACCAATGAAGTTACACTGCCCCTTGTGTGTAAATGTACACAGCATCCCTTGTAAAGGGGAGTCAGACCACAGCTCTGCTCTGATCTCTGCTACGTTCACATTTTAAAGAATGTAATTCATATTTTTCCTCATTACTATCTTTTTTCCGCTACCCGCAACCCATCTGCATCCCTATTTGTGTAACAATCAGAGTGTACATATGTTGAGAAGCTGTCTATATAGATGAATCTTACTATCAGAAAAAAGTGCCATTTAAAAAGCAGGAAAATACGCCATTCTGACTTTAGACCAGGTTTTTGATGGTCAATGGCACAATCGCTTTTTGCTTGGAAACGTTGTCACTGAATAAACTGGGAGCATTTTATAGACGAGTTGCAAGCTTTTTTCTTTTTTTTTTTATTTCTGTTTAGCAGTTAGGCTCCGCACTGAAGTTTTGGATGTGCGTGACGACGTGTTAATTACCTACAATCGCTTTTTGCTGCCTCAAAATAGTAAAACACTAACTGTGCTACTGACAGCACCTCATTTTAAGACCTACATGCTAACAGGTGCACAGATGAGCAGAAATACATTAACTTCTTACACAACAGTGCTGGACGTAATAATGACTCTGCCAAAAAACTTTGCCAGTCTGATGTGAGCAATTTCAGTTGCACTGCACTGTGTACCACTTTGCACCACTTTGTGAGATAGGACGCTTAGTCTTAAAAGCAACCACAAGGAACTTTCATTTTGTCTTAATTTCGACTGCCCCTGCAGACAAAATTATTGGTGTTTCCATGGACACCACTGCCTCATGTCGTAAAGATCTTGATCTAGCACGTGCATTTGTTTTAGAAGCAAGTGAAAGGAAGATGCAACTTATATATTTAATGCCGTTTACTCTTTTAAACACAGCTGTTTGCAGGATGTATAGTGATGAGGTAGCACATCTTTTTGTGGCTGTGTAAAATTTGTAACATTAATGTGACAATGGTGAAACAAAGGTCAGCTAAACAAGCGTAAATAAGGATATTGACATACAGTAAAACCATGTCTTGCCATGTAGTTCATAAATAACCATTTACGTACCTGTCTAGGTGGAGGAGGCCTGTGCTCCATCACTTTCTCAGTTAACTTTTCTTTTTTGTTCTGTGTCAGTTATTTTCCCTTTCTCTTGCTGATCCCACCCCAGTGTCAGCCATGACCACAAAATATCTCAACAATAATATTCTCTAAAGAAAAATCTCCTCCTGCTTCCTTTTAGCTGGCTAATGCACTAATCACTGCAAAGCTTTGTCAACAATGGCTCTTCCGGTCTGCGTGCCGTAAATTATTAAGTCTAATTTTGCAGGCAGTTGGACCTGGGTATGGGCATAAGGATAACATATAGAAATATCTTCTTGCCAATGGTGTCATTTGTTCATGTAGGTCATACGGAGGTATCAGAGTTAAGTTGAGACTGTTACATAATCAGTTAAAACTCCTTGCAGCTGCTTTAAAGCAGCTTAAATATTTTTTTACGTTTAAATATGGATCACATTTCTGCTGCATACAAGCAGCCAGTTATTGCAGGTATAAGACATTTAGATGGAGATTGTGGAAAGCAAGGTGAATAATGTTTCACTATCAGAGCATCACATCACTGTGTATTTGTTCTGCAGGAGATTCGTCTGGAGCCCGTTGAAGAGGAGGTCCTGGAGAGCAAATCGGTTCGTTTTCTGACTTTAATTTACTTTCCTACTGTTTTTTTGTTGTTGCGGTGACCACCCTGTGTCACTGTGTTCTCTCATGGTGGAGTTTCACTGAAGGAGAGGACACACTGATGATAACCACTCAGCAGTTGTCATAGAAACAGCAGGGAAGAAACTTGACAGAAGTGTATTCCCTCTTTGATTGAACCGTCTGTCTTTATCTTTAATCTTTCTTTTAAGGGCTCAGTATTATACAAGGAGGGTGAGGTAGAGACAGTGTGTATGTCTGAGTAAAAGATATATTTATTTATATATATATATTATATTTATATATTTATATTTACTAATCTAAATACTTTGATAACAGAAGATATTTGTTTCAGCTTTCCATGTGTGTAAACCTAATCATAGATTTAATGTCTTTTGTACAGCGTGTGTGTTTAACTAGCATGCAGGTGTTTATGTGCATGTTAACATTCCCTGTTTAACCTCAGCGTGCACATGCCAAGGCAAAGGGAGGCTGTTATTTCTGCCCGAGCTTCATATCACTCATTTCACGGCTGAAAGACTCTAAAGCTGACGACACAGTAGACTAACACAGACATTTCTCTTTAGTGTTTTCCATCATAGACACATGAGGAGGAGACACAGCGCTCATAGAAAAAGGGAGTTCTTTTTTTTTAAAGGTTGTTTGCAGAGTTTAATTCCAAAATACGGAGTAAAAAATCAATTATTATTTTAGAAAATGTTAAAAATTGAAAGCTGGTTTAGGTTACTGTTGTCTTGCTATTTCATGTGCTTAAATTTTCACTTAAAGACACATTATTTTTGGACATTTCACATAATAAATTCATGATGTAGACACCGAAAATATGACTACTGTGCCTCATGCTGCTCTGGGCTGTTTAAACAAATCATGGTGTCAAAATGGAGTCCAACACACTTCATTTGAATTAAAGCACAAACACAGTCTGCAGGTTCAGCTTGTTTGAGCCAAACAGATTTGTGTCTCGCAAACACAAACACACACTCTAACAGGAATAGTGTGCCGGAGACAGATTTTCATTCTAAAGCGACAACCATAGTGAGGATCTCCTGTCACATAGAACATCTGCCCTCAGATTCAATCCAACAAATGGTTTTATGAATAGATTTTATTCTTAAATAGTTGCCTCCCAATAGACCTTTTTCATGTCAGACATTTTAGCCCCATTTCCACCGAGCAGTTTGGTATGCTTTTTTTCTGTTTCCCCTGTGAAAAGTTGTGGATGGTCCCCATTTTTGGTCCCCCCTCTGTTGGGGTACCTAGCTCACAGATCTGGTACTAAAAGGTGGAGCTGTGAACGCTGCAGTCTGTCGATTGGTCAGTAGTGGACGTCACTCTGCTCAGAGCTGAGTTTTGGCTGGTTTTGAAGTTGAACCACTGTTCATACCATGGAGAATTTTATTAGTAAACTGTAACTATAAAATGAAAGGATGTTTTGCTGCCTCTTGCAGCAGCTGGAGTCAGAGAAAAAATATTTTTATTCACTGGGCCGACTGCCGGCGACTTTTAAGGTGGAACCTTAACTTATAATGATACTTAATGGATGAGCTGACGACGTGACTCAATCAAAACCTTAAATATTCCATATGACAACTTTGACCATCACTGTAGTTTTCGTATGACATACACTTTTAGTAATGACTGGATCTTCAAGCGTTTATATATGTCAATTTTGGCCTGGTTATGTGAACTGCATAAATCTAATCCTCACCTGCAGAAGAAAAAGCATTGTGGAGCGTCGTTCCTGTGGGCTACAGCAACACTAAACCCGTGAGCTTGCCTGAGACGGACTAAATGCACAAACCCGCTATCTTTAAATATCCAATTGAGAGAGACTCTCACTGCAGCCTGTTTTATTTTGTTCTGAAAATGGTGTTCTGTGGACGATAAACGAGGTGCAGACTTCCATCTGTGACACTGATAATGAGGAAGTACAGTGAGTGCTGCCGGAGCAGTGAGTGACAATAGCCTCGCCCACATTTAAGAGTACTGTTTGCAGTGGAAACACTAGGGTCTAGGTACCATGTCTGAAGGGTTATTTTTGGTTCCAAAGGTACCGAAAGTGTTTGGTGGAAACGGGGCTTTTGACTTGCCATAGTAAGAAAAGCACAGGTGTATTTATTTACATTCATGAAGGGGAGGTCCTGGCATTGTGCATGCTGGCTCACTGGAATAGCACACTGGGAAATATAATGGAACTGAGCCATCGTCTCTGACTTCAGTTCAAAAAACAGCCAACCCCTGTCAAACCACATTTTATGTTTAAATAATGATGTGAGCAGTATCATAGCACAGCAGCACAAATGAAACCATGCATGTGAATATTTCATGTAACTGTCGCGTCTCATCACCAGCTCGATGCAGATGTCTCAGCCTGTGTGTGTGAGTTAATCAATATGTAATTGGTGTGTGTCACTGGGAATAAATGTGCTGCTGAGAGAAAACCAACAACACAAGACTGATGTGAGATGGTGTGACTGTGTTGGTGTGTGTGTCTTTACACGCATGAGTACATGTGCCCCCAAGTGTGTGTGTGTGTGTGTCTGTGCTTCTCCCAAATTAACCGCTGAGAGAATGTCCAGAGGTGTTTTATCAGTCACACAAAGACACATCATTAACACACAGCGTACTTTAGGCCTATGGGTAGACCATTCACTTCCTGTTCTCATCACCCTCTCTGCCTCTGTCATCAGTTCCTCATCAGCCACAGGAAATGATTGGCAGGCTTTCTATTGTTATGATTATGACAGGTCTTCCTGTTTCATGTTCCCTGCTGTTCACACCTTCGTACAACAAGATTCAGATGCTTTTTTTTTTTTTTTTTTTTTCAAAGTGTAAGAAAAGAGGGTAAATGTCCCAGTGTTCACCTCACAGCTCTGCATCAGTCACCGGTTTTCTGGAAACACACTGAGCTGATGTGAAACCCTGCCAAAAAAAAGATTTCTGAACATCTTCCAGCTCCGTCAGACTCTCCACCAGAAGCAAATCATCCTGACCTTCTGACTTTGTGTGCCTTCACATATTTGTGTGTGTGTGTGTGTGTGTGTGTGTGTTTTGTCTCCGCAGCACATCCTGATAGTCCAGAGGCAGCTCTCGGTGCTGGAGGAGGAGCTGGATGAGTTTCGTCTGGCTCTTAGACAGTACATGGAGTGTGCCTGCGCCCAGACTGGATGTCTACAGTCAGTTTTTATTCTCCTTGTTGTTCAGTTTGCATCAGGGATTCACACAATGTTCTTTTCTATTTTAACATTTTTGCAAATGGTTTTATAAAGAAGGGAGGTGAATAAAAGAGACATCTGAGAAAAAAAAAAGCAAAATTATATCCTTCAAACAAGCAGCCCTCGAATGACTTTATGTCCTTAATATTAAGTCACATAATTAGATAACGGAGGTTAGGTTTAGGCAAGTTAAGTTACTGTGGTTTGTTTTAGGAAAAGAAACGCAGTGAGTTCACACAGTTCCGAACACTGGTCTCTTGGGAAAAGTCCTGTGTTTTGTGACCCCTCCACCAATCTCTGCCTCCTAACTTTAAGACTGCTTCCTTCTTTACTCCCGTCAGCACACTGGTCATGTGATCACAGCCTCCTAAATTACATGGGTTATACACCAATTACTGGCTCATAATTACGTGGAATATGTATGAATTTTGGTGTGCTTGTGCTCGTGCCTGAGAGCTGAAACGTTAGCTAGCTCAGTGGTGCTAGGTGAGCTAGCAGTAGATGCAGGCTTCCTTCTGTGCTGAGATATGGTTGACGGTTGTAGTTTGGTAGAAAGGAAATAGTTCTGCATTAAACTGGTCACAACAAGGTCTGTGGATTATCTTGAGTAACCAGCTCATGATTTCTGGAAAGAGGCATTGCTGTTGATATTTTCAAAATCAACAGCAATGCATTCAAAAGCTTGAGCACCACATGCTGAGTGCCATCTAGTTCAGTTATATTCAAGAGAAGGCAGACATCTCTATGGCCGATATCTCCAACACTCTGTAACTCACAACTAACCAACTTTCTACCAAGATAATCTTGAGCAACATTTCAATACAACAAGAATACATTATTGTGACACATTAAGAGGGTCAATGCAAATTCAATGAGGATCTTTGTTATGGTTGACACACAAATTAAATATAAAGAGCGATAAAGTCTGCGTATGGTGGGCGGGAGTTGTGGTGGATGGGTCAAATAAACTTGGACTTTCAACCAGGAGCCTGCTGTTTGTGTCCTATGTGAAACCAAAAGAAACAAAGTTAGTGACTTTGCGGGCTTAACGTGACAACTATATGTAGGTACTTTATGTACCTACGCAAAGGACAGAAGTTGACGTCACTTACGTCCCATATTTAGTTATTTTAACTGAAACCATTATTTTTTTCTATAACTTTACCAACCACAATGTTAACTCATCATTAACAACGTGTGTGAAACTGCAACTGTTCATAACAGACTTTGCTTTGGTATGTTTTCACATATTTCAGTGAGACTGTGTCCAGCATAATGTGTAGAATAATGACTCAAATCTGCCTGGAGTTACATCATCGCCATCTCTGTAGTTCAGAGTTGTGAGCATGTTTGTAATTCATCAAGACATCAAGAATCTACAGTGCAGGGTCTTTAACTTGCTCATTTCTTTCATATTCTCAATGAGAAATCTTCATGAGCTTTTGAGCAACATTTAATTCATCATGAAACTTTGAAATAGAAATGGCTGTAAAGGCATGCTCTGGCTTCAGTGTAGCATCAGACAACAACAACACATTTGGTCGGTAGATAAAAGATCCTCTTTTCCCTTTTTCGCTGTTTCAAAAATTAGAAAAAACTCTCACATAAACTGTCACTTTGGTTTCAGACAAACTCCAGCAGCCCAAAGGACAGCGTGACATTTACATGCTTTGTCACAGCCATTCTCTAAATATTTAGTCAAGTTTGTTCATTTTAAATTGAGACTAAAACCTCTGAAAAAAAACCCACTATACAATTATGATTTGAGGATGAAAATATTATTTGATAGCTCACATTGCCTGCTCTGATCAGAGCGTGGAAAACAATCCAGACAGAGAGGCTGTGCTGGGGGACATGATGTGGCACACTAATTAGTGATTGCATGACTTGTGCTCTCTCCTGTTTTGCATTTGGCAGCATTGCAGTTCAGCGGCTGGCAAATGAATCACGCTTCATTCTCTATGAATTCTGGGAGCACAACAACGTGTGGAAGAAGTAAGTGTTTGCCCGCGCCATATGCATCATGACTAATGCACCGTGACCTGTTCAAATAAAACCCAAATTATGTTCTTTGCTCAGTTTGAACTCGCTGAGAGAAGGTCTGTGTTTAATGATGATGTACAATGTAAAGCTTTAATAAAACTAATGAGCATGTGGGTGTTTTCTGTTTGCAAAACAGCTGCAAAATGTCTTGAGTTTTGAAAGTAGGCCAAAGTATTATAAAATAAACTTATGCCTACCATACACTAGAAGATTTTAAAAGACTTTAAAAAATAATAATAATAATAATAATAATAATAATAATAAACTCAATTTATATAGCTCCTTTCATACAAGAAATGCAGTACAAACACCTGTACAATAAGGGCAGTATAAGCACTGAGGGCGTCACATAAAAAAATAGACATAATAGACGAGATAAAGAGACGTTTTTAGCTTTCTTTAAAAAAATATTTAGTGAGCTAGCTTCCCTGATATCTATAGGTAGTGTGTTCCATAGCTTTGGGGTGTAATTACAAAGGCTGCATTTATGATCTTCTTCTGGCTGTTGCTAGGAACCTCCAATAAACCAGCAGCAGATGATCACAGTGTTCTTGGAGGCAAATAGTTAACAAGGGAGTTAGCCATGTAGCTTCATTTATGGCTTTGTATACAAGGAGGAGGACCTTAAAATCAATTCTAAATGTAACAGGAAGTCAGTGCAGAGCAGTTCAGACCGGCCTGATGTGCTCTCTCCTTTTGGTTCTGGTTAATAGTCGAGCTGCAGAGTTTTGAATGAGCTGAGGTCTCTCAGTGGTGTTTTTCAGGTGGCCAGGAAAAAGTGTGCTACGGTAGTTGAGTCGGCTTGAAATAAAGGCATGAATCAATTTCCTTGCATCTTTTTCATTTAGAAATGGTTGTATCTTAGCAAAGTTTCTGAGGTGGGAAAATTATGTTTTTGTCCCCTTGTGAATGTGGGACTTAGGTAAGGTAAGATCTGAATCAAGGATCACGCCAACACTAGTCACCTCAGATTTAATCCAGGGAGTTAAATTCCCCAGATTATTAAGCAGCATTTCTCTTTTTGTTTCCGTTTTTGATTAAAGACTAAAATCTGCCACCCTCTCACATCTAAAGTCAACGGGAGTTTTTAGTCACACACTAAAAGATTTTGCAAAGACTCGGGATCTTGCTGGGTCACTATTTGCAAGACTACAGCTACATTCCTTTTCGTATTATTGCCCATTCTGCTTCTGGTAGAAAATATTACACCAAACTCCCTTATGAAATATGACATATTAACATTTCCTTACATGTCTACAAAAACACACAACTCTAGAAAGAGAAGATAAAAGGCGTCACATGTTGAAGGTACTCTTGTTAATTCTGTTTCAATATAATTGTGTACAAACTTCACATTTTTGCCACCAGCCTCTATTGGTTAGCTGCTCTATTTCAGTGGGCGATGTTTGTGTGAATGAGAGGTGAACTCTATCAAAAATTAAGATTTCTCACTAAAATAAGTGCTGGATGGTGAATAAGATACACACCCAAATAAACACAGACTCTCGCTGGCAACTCAACCAGTTTCTCGTCCTCTTCCACAGACTTAAATTTACGTTCTTACGTTCATGTTCTCCCCGGTGTCCCCTCCATGTTTACTGTCTACCCTGTTTACTGCTTCCTGTTTGCTGCTGCTGGAGTGAGCACTCCTATTGGTTGGCGACAATGTTCACGTCATTGAACTTCACAATTTGCATGAGCCAAGACTGAAAACTTGCTATATTTAAAATATTTGATTTTGTCAGAAAGGCAAGACGAGAAAAAACAGCTTGGACTGAGTTTATGACCACTTTACACCAAACGCACCACCTGAGATAAAACGTATGATTTTAATATAACATTGTCAATTTGTCAGTGACCATGAAACTGAGTGAAAAGTCAATTAAAGTCAAATTACATTTTTTCTGTTCGGGGGTTTTAATTAGTAAATTGTTAATACCAAACAGCGTAGCAGAGTGGTGTCATGATTACATAGATTTGCGAACAACTAAAGAAACATATTTATGCACCTGTAAGTGACTCTTCCTGTTTCCTCTGCACAGTCACCTGCAGACCAACTACAGTAAGACCTTCCAGAGGGGGAACGTCGACTTCCTGGAAACTCCTGAGAGCCTAACCACCATGCTGGTTCCTGGTAAGAATAATCATTCGAGCTCCTGTCTGATCCTGACCTCACATCACACTCAGACCGATCACATGTAGTAAGATCAAGGAAACTTTCACCTGACTTATCTTACACCTCCAAATGGTAAACTCTGAGGCCTCAGCTGCCCTTTGATACCTTTATCATCAATCACAAAGACACACGACCCTCAAACCCTCAGAACTTGATTTTAAATTCTAGTCACCGTGTGGAAGTTTTCAAAGACACCAAAATGTCGTGCTGGGCCATCTTTGATTTTATGAATCATTTTATGATTTAATCTTATATATCATATGAATTTAAAAATAAAACAGAAAAGAAAATCTGAACACAGGGTCCAACTTACTTTACTGATGAAACTTTCAAACATCCAAACGTTTTTTTCTTTGTTTCATGTACATTTATGTTATGTTTTGTTTGTCACTGTATGTATGTAGCAAGCTGGAACTTGCATTATGTTTTTTCTTCTTTAGTTTTTATATTTTATTGTTTATTCATTCATTTATTTGTAACTGCTTATAAGTGCATGACATCCTTACAGGCAGTAGGTAGAGCAGGTCGTCCACTAATTGGAGGATCAGAGTTTCGATCCCCAGCTCCTCCAGTCTGCATGTCAGAGTATCCTTGAGCAAGATGCTGAACCCCAAATTGTCCCGATGGCTATTCCATCGGTGTGTGAGTGGGTGTGAATGGTCACTGAGTAGCAGGTGGCTCCTTGTATGATAGCTCCAGCCACCAGCGTGTGACTGCGTGTGTGAATGAGTGACTTTAAGTGGTTGGAAGGCTAGAAGAGTGCTATACAGGTGCAGTGCAGTCCATTTATCCTGTTGGGGGTCATGGGGAGCTGGAGCCTATCCTAGCTGACATTGGGTGAGAGGCAGGGTACACCCTGGACAGGTCACCAAACTATCACAGGGCTGACACATAGAGACAGACAACCATTCACACTCACATTCACACCTACAGCAGATTAAAAGTCACCAATTAACCTGCATGTCTTTGGACTGTGGGAGGAAGCTGGAGGAAACCCACTGACACAAGAACATGCAAACTCCACACAGAGGGGCCCGGGCCAGCAGTTTTTTGTTTTGTTTTGTTCTTCAGTCGAACTGGATAAATATAGTATCTACCTTCAAAGTTAATCAGACCATCTTGCAATGGGATCACTTCAGTCACGATAAAGTGATCTGTGATTTAAAACAAATGTCAGCCAGAGACTAAAGTAAGGTGTCCAATGGCTCCTTCCCTACCTCCTACCCCCCCGCTTCTGGTGCCCTTGCTCAGACCACACCTGTCTTCGAAAGTGGCCTTCGTTTAAAATGTCCAGACACACACAGACAGACATAAACACCTAGCACAACACTCAAAACTGCTTCTGTGGTAGTTCCTGCTACGATTGGTGTCACCTGGACCACATATTGCCAAGATGACACACACACATACACAGACTCACAAGGTGAAAACAATACCAGCAGTCACGACGTTGTCACAGCTGATAACTATGTAAAGGGACATTTAACAGTCAGATAATCATCTCAGTCTTGCAATTTATCCAAATAAGATCAAACATGTTCAACTTTCACTTTTTTTCCTTCATAACAATTCTGCTTTTGTTCACTTTTTGTCCAGCACTCATGTCCAAGTCAGTTGTGTTTGTGTTATTTTTGAATTTTAAATCGATCTCCGTTCTACCCCACAAGCATCATTACCCGCATCACATAAGCAGCCGCAAGCAGCACACACACACACACACACACACACACACACACACACACACAGCGTGCAGAGGAGAGCATGCTCAGTGTCTCCTTGGTTGGGGTCATTTCTGAAGGTCTTCTTTGTCTCCTCCACAGCTTCGTGGTGGGTCCTCAACAACAATTGAAAGTGAAAGATCCTCACTGATGGGTGCGAAGAGCCACCTGTCAACACATCAGGACGTCCACAGCACCACACACATACACACACAGAGACACACACACTTACTCGACACAACTCGTGAAGTCATGGTGATTAGTATTTATGACCTCCATGTTCCTCCATAGTTATAGGTGATAGTCGGAAATAGTCCACATGTGTGTGTTTGTTTACACTCCTAGACAACACTCTGACATCCTAAAAGCAATGACCTGACATCGTCACTGTGTTTGACGTGACATCATCTGCAGCCCAGGGTAGATCATTAGAGCTGAAGCGAGCTGTGTGTGTGTGTGTGTGTGTGTGTGTGTTTGTCTTTGTGTGTGAGTGTGTGTGTGAGAGGGAAAAGAGAGAGGAAAGGACAGATATAATTGTATCAATTGTAGCAGCTCTGGGGAGCTCATTAAAACATTATTCTGTTGTTTATGTATTCAGTGTGTCAAATAAGATAAACATCTGTTGGTTATAAATAAAGACGATATATTGTTGTGTATGCCTTGTGTTTGTCTTTCTCACTTCTATGTGGAAATTATTTGACATTTTTATTTAACCCTGGTAATTGGTTTGCTTGTCTACTTGTCTGCTAATGAGATATCTAAAAAATACAGATTAAGGAGCAATTATTTAGAGTTTCATGTTGATCCAAATGTGGACTTTGTGTATACTTAAATCATAATCAGACTAGAGTGTTTGCAGAATCAGGATGTTTTAAGTCAATATTAGAATGGCAAGAATAATGTGTTTTAATCTAACAAGTTGACGACATGTTAGTGTTGGTTTGCTCCTCTCTGTGTGTCTTCACCTCCTGATATCTTTGCCGTAAGACCTCAGCACACACACTGCAATCCTTAAACACAGCTAAATAAAGTGCCTTCTCAAATGTTTGCCAACGGCGCCATCATGTGGACTCATCTTAGTACTGCAGGTCTAAAAGCAGGCCGCTGAGAATGATTCTGGCTTTTCAATAGAAAATATGACCACTAATGAAGTGTCAGCTATTTTTTTTTAATAACAGGCTTTTTTTTTGGTCATTATTATTTGGTTCTTTTTTATTTTAAACTAAGTAATAACTTCAAATCAAAAAATCTAAATCTGCAGCACAACCGCTAGATGAAAAATGTTTCACTCACACAGCTATTACCAATTTCTCTGGTTGATTACACCTCTGGTCAGGTTCTCACAGCAGACATTTTGACATGTCATAGAAAACGCACAGGTGTATTTAATAATATTAATGATGCACTGAGGGGAGGCCGTGGTATTGTTCATGCAGGCCCACTGGAAAAAGCTCACTGGGACACTTACTGGAACTTGGCTACCGTTAATGGTTGTAGTTTCTTCTGTGCTTTTCCAACTATGACATGCCAAAATGTCTGCCGAGACATAGGTCAATTAGCTGATTACCTACAAGCACTATCTATCAATCAGAATAATGATAGGATGAGTCATCCCACCTGATCAAGTGCAGTCTGTACTCGCCAAGAGTCCAAAGAAGAGGTCTGATTAGGCAAGTGAAAACACCTGTGTGTGTGTGTGCGCGCGTGCGTGCATGCGTGTGTGTAGAACACTCAGTTCAGTGTCATTATAAGAAAATGGAGCATTTATTTTTCATGAATGTACAGTCTCAGTCCTGATCTCAGTCTGTTACATCACTTAGAGTTATTATTCTGTCTGTGCTGCCAAACATAGACATAGATGAAAAGATTTTCACTCTAAGACTCTATAATTAAAATTATTGGATTAATATTCTGTGCACTGAGTATACTCTGATTTTTCACTATGACATTCACACAGAATATCTGACTGTAAATTCATTATATCCATTTTAACTGGTTTTATTTGGTGGTAAACTAACAGTGGGTGTTGATTTCACAGTAATTTGATTATGAAATGTGATCTACTGTGTTTATAGCAAAATAACTAATGAACTCAAAGAAGCAGGAGTCAGATTGCAGATACTTTAAGGTAAGAAGGGTAGGCGTACATTCAGGTTCAATGAAATGCATGAGCAGGGTTCAAACTCATGCACTTGCCCGGGTGTGCAGAAATGTTTTAAACTGTAAAGTTTTAGAGAAGCACTGGGCATACACCTGGACAGATGGGACCAAGTCATTGTTTTGCAAGAGACAAGTAGGTCCAAGTCGAGTTGCAAGTCTTTTTGGTAACAGGAGGATAAATAAGACTTGCAGTGCACAAGTTGTATGAGAGTTTGTGAACTGATGTTCCGATATAGTTTTCTGTACAAATTCACTGCACCACAGGGTGAATAATTGATCTACAAATGATTATTTTGTGGGTGAAGTATTCCGTAAAATGGAATCAGTGCAAGTATCTTAAAATTACTATGGTACACCCTGTTTGTTTGAACCTTGTATGCATGTCTTTAAATGAGGTGACATCACAGCCAATGAGCAAACACAACAATTAAAGGCAGTTTTTGCATTTTATTGATAAATTATCATTTTTAAAAAGACCCAAGAGCCACCTTCTCCTTTCACCTCTACTACAGTTTCCAAGTACTGAATTTGAACTATGTACAAAGAGCATTTTTTTAAACATTATTTTCTGCTTTATCATCATCATCATCATCATCATCATCATCATCATCATCACATTCAAAACAAGGTTAGAAGTTTGAGCTGTGCCCACTGGTCAAGGTCGAGAGACAGGATGCTGAGTTAGCCTACAGCAATGCTAGCTAGCACAGAGTTCACCGGAGGTCAGAGAGCGGCGATTATAAGCGGAGGGAGGAAGAGGAGGATTTACATTCTAACTCACAGGCAGAAGGAGCAAAGACAGGAACATCATAGCTTCAGCTACCTCTCTGAAAACTGAAATAACACCACCTCAGTGACAGAGCATAAACAAGTTAACATGCACAAGTGTTTTGGGATCATTTTCCACCAGCGAGAAGGCAACGAAAACGCAGTCAGGGCGGGTAAAGGAAGTCAAATAAATGGGTTATTGCTGTGGTGAGTTCAAAGCTGCATGGCACCAAAAAAATTAACACTTTGATGGCAAACAAAAACAAGCCCCCGTTGATCTTTTGCTCTTCTTGACTAATACTGGGCAGCAACATTAGCACACACGGGTATTTAAGGATTTCTTTTAAAAATTGATCATTTCCAGAGTTAAAATCATATAGCAATACTATGTCAGTGTACACAGGCAAGATAAATGGTTACAATACAGTATGGGTATGCAGCTTTCTGTAGCTGAGTTTAACTAGCAGCAAAACAACACATACAATTGCATATAATCGTAGTGCAATGGGCGAACTGTTCTTAGGAGGTTGTCTCATTTTGGTCTGGTCAGTAACAAAAGAAATCAAGTGCTGAGAAACAGACAAAACAAATGTGGTCCAGAAAGACCAAATCCAACCAGTTTGCACAACTATCATTTTTAAATCTAAATTTTGGCATTCATCAAGAGAAATCACAGGTTTTTTTAAGTTCTTGATTTCATATTTTGAAGGATTTTGGCTAAACCGGGGATTTGAGTCCTTGTGGACTAAGCAGGAGGACTGATCAACACACGTTAGGTTTGTCCAGCGAGTCAAAACTCTCTAAGACACAAACACAACAAGGTACATCTTCAACATACACCTCATAGAACGCACACACAACACCTCTCCAACACACTCCTGTCCAGACGCTCTGCAGACGTCCCACTCTGCTGAACATGACCGGTCTGAAATCTGAGCAAGATGATAAAAACTAAAAGTGGGGTTTGTTCTTCCAGCCGTGCAGGGCTGTGCCGCGCTGAGCCTGCTCTAGGCGAAGCTATTCTCTGGGTAGCTGACCTTGATAGCACCCCAGTAGCAGGCTCGTATCAGACAGATGAGGCCCAGCAGGTAGGCGAATGCCCAGGACACATAGGTGGCGTTGTAACGACTGGCGAAGTCCCGAGTACCAACCTGTTAGTGCACACGAGAGGAGGAGAAGGTGGGTGAGACGTTTCACCGAGAATAAAGATTTCCATTAATTCATAACCTTATCTTGCAGAGAGAGATTAACAGACCATAGTCTATTAAATTACACTGCAGTTTAATAATGTGCAAACTCAAAACAACTCATTCAATGGTTGATGGAACATAATTCATAATATCAATCAGTCAGTGATCCACTTCATCACACAAGCTGCAGAAAAATGATCTGTAACAAACTCAGTAACCTTGAACAAAAATACTAAATACTTTAATCCAATGAGATCATTATCCAGCGATTATGATTCTAATATGATTATACTAAGGTACGTAACTCTGATATACTGTGAAAGAATAAACAATATGTGGTTGTTTGTGTAGAATACAGATTTGTTTATTGAACAGTCATGTAGCTTAACAGGCACTAAACCACCGCACACGCTCTGTCACTTTATGTCTACTGGACATTTCCACATCTCAGAAATGTTTAGTCATGACAGGGGAGTGGCTCTATCTATTTGCTCCAGACTGAAATATCAGTCAATCAATCAATCATCGATTTATCAAGTTATCAAGTACAAGGTACATCTCCGGTGAAATGTGATCCATCAGATCCTTTATCTCGTCTTAATCTCCACCACTATTAGATGGATTGCCATGAAATTGTGCACAGACATTCACTGTCCCCAGAGGCTGAATCCTAATGACTTTGGTGATACCCTCACTTTTCATCTGGCGCCACCATGAGGTTCACCTCTGTGGTTATGAGTCATATATTCCAACAACTGCTGGATGGAACTTAAGTGAAATTTGCTGCGCACATTAATGATCTCATCCCTGCACGTCATTATTTGATGCTTGGGCAGAGGCCCTTTGTGTCATATCTTCACGCAGGAGGTCTGCAGTTACATTTGGGCAGCAAAACTACATGGTTAGGGTTAGGAAACAATTGTGATTGATGTCTGTCAGTAACGGCTTACACCTCTTCCTAACACACAGCCAGCAAGCGAAATCTGGTGGATGGAGAATGAAAAAATGTCCGGATACACTATAAGTGACAACAGCACTCAGGGAGCCTATTGAATGGCTGGATGTTGCTCTGAAAGTAGGTGCCGGAAATATTGCAAAAAAGAGTGCGGGCAAGCATTTCTTCAGGCAAGCAACATGTTGCTTAACCTGTTCGCAGACGCACAGAGCAGCTTAGGACATCTTCACTGGGAGCAACTGAAACAATCTGATGTTGGCTCGTTCACATCACTTCCAGTTAGGAAAAGGTGTTACGTGACGACTACCATAACCAAAATCACTTAATGCTTACTTTTAGTTTCAAATGGGACACGACACCAGTCTGCTGGGTCAAAAGTCCTGTGCTTTAATAATGATGCGGATGGGTTTGCATTAGAGGGTGTGTTGTGCGTACACATCTGACACTGAGGGCCACTGCCCAAGCAGCGGTTTCTGATGCCCTGACTTTTAGCGAGCACATTCAATGTTTAATTTGTTCAATCCTCTGCTTTATGACCAAATACCTACAAAAGTATTGGCATCACCATCAGCTGCAGCTGTGCCTCATGATCATGATCCTCGTCTGTATCCAATTTTGTCCTTTTAAAAACTCAGTTTTTTGGTTCGGTAGCCTATAAAAACTTAGTTCTGGTTTCTTTACCCTGTTAGTCGTGCATCCCATCACACAGAAGCCCTTAAGACAATTTTCTCTTTGCTAGCAGACACAAAAGACAAGGAAGCCTCTTCACGAAATAAAAAGTCAATGGACAGTGATGAATTGTTTTCCCCTCAGGTGAGGGTGGGACTTAAATGCCACCATTTCTGAAAATGTCAGCAAACCCATGACAACTCATGAACTCTAAACTTTCCACTTTCAGGGTCATAAATATCACAAGAGTGGGACGTTAACATGGACTGGATATCACTGGATCTCTCAAGATCCCAGTGACATATAAATCTTTACTTAGATAAATACAAACAGCACAAACAAGACAATGACAGTACTCACTGTTAAACCCACTCCAATGAAAATGAAGATCATTCCTATAGTTATATAAGCACAACAGCGCCTCCTAGGCAGCGCACTGCCAACAGAGGATCTGCAGAGAGAAAAATCGAAAAACGGCTGTTAGAGGGTTGAACAACATATGAACATACAGAATACATTTTAGACATTTTTATGATTTGTTTGTACAGAGACATTCATCATATGTGTATTCTTATATGGTCATGAATGGAAAGAAAATTAATTTGAATATTTGAAACTCCAGTTTAAGCTAACAAATTGACTGATATGACTCAGTGATCTCACTCTCCAGTGGGCAAACTCTCCTCTTTAGCTCTTTTGAATTACACATGAAAGCGCCAGAGGCTGGTCACATGTGCAGTTCCCAACAACTTAAATTCCATCCATACTCCATTCAAACACTTGCACAAGTCGACTGCCCTTTAGCACCACACTGGCATCAATTTTTTTTTTTTTTTTACTTCACCATTTCCTTACTTTCCTCCCCCTCTCTGCTCTCACATGCCTCTCATGTGACAGGACTAAAGCATTCTTCAGGAATCGCTGGTATTCAGATGGCTTAAGGGGAAGCCTGATCACCTGATTTCTTACCTTCTCCTACTCCCTCTTAAGAAATCTCCTCCTGATTTCACGTTTCATCTTTGTTCGACTCACTGTTAACGTTTGTGCCACCTGACCTTTTCATTAATTTGACCTGTGACCATTTATGGAGCAGCTCTATTTTCGAACAATGTTTTTAAAGATTCAAGCAGTAAACATCACTTGCAAAACAAGAATTAATCAGGTAAACAGATCTAATATATACAGTGCATCAGTCTGACAAAAAAAATAGCAATACTAAAGCATTTTACACATGTAGCTGGGGTACTTTCCTCTGTGAAGGTGCTACTACACCAAAAGGTATCAGTTCCTTATAAACACTGAGGTACTTCATCCTCCTTCGTTTTGATTTCTGTTATACGGGAGAAAAACAGTTTGTAGGGAGATACAGACTAAGTCAGGGAGAGATTTTTTGTAGATGTAAACAGACAATGAGGTGAAAGACAGAAAAGGAGAGTCAGAAATTTGGAGAGTTACCATTAGCTATCAAACAGATTTAGGGATTCGATGGACTTGCAGAGTAGAGGCTGGACAGAATACAAAGTCCATTGTATGTTCTATTTCTAATTATGAGATGATTTAAGGACAACACATTTGAATAGCATTTTCAACCTGGACCCTATTTTCCCACATTTGTGTGCCCAAGTGACTGGGAAGGCAACAATTTTTGAAACTGGTCCAGTATCAAGTGACAGGGTGGCAGCCGGCAACTTCTGAACGAGCTGCAGTGCAACCACTCAGGGCATATGAACAATTTATGTCTACTTTAAGTGTTTGTTTTTGCCACTGACAGGCTCAAATTATAATTCTAAGTGTCTCACAACATTATTAAAATGATCCCTACAGACATAAACCTTTTTCTTAAAGAGTTAAGATCCTTTTTGTTTAACCAGAAACAACCTGAAACTGCTATTGCTAAACCCACCAGACTCCATTTAAATAAATACTCATTTTATCATTGTAAAACACACTACATTCAAAGCCAACGGAAACAAAATAAAACTCACAAAAAGCTTTTTAACTCTGTCCACTGTTCCAACAATCACCAACTCCGGTTTGATTGGAAAAAAAACTTTAATTCACACAGTTAGATGTTAAAATATGCTGGCTCTCTACATGCTAAAATAACAGTTTATTTAAATGGAGTCTGGTGGGGCATCGGTGGTTTAGTGGTAGAGCAGGTGCCCCATATACAAGGCTGTTGCCATAGCGGCCCGAGCTCGAATCCAGCCTATGGCCCTTTGCTGCATGTCACCCCCCGTCTCTCTCTCCCCCCTTCATGCTTACCTGTCCTGTCCATCAAAGGCAAAATGCCCAAAAAATATGTTTAAAAAAAAAAAAAAAAAAAAGGAGTCTGGTGGGTTTGGTAGTGGCGACTTCAGGGATGTTTCTAGTTCAACAAAAAGGATCTTACCCTTTAACAAAAAAGGTCTATCTCTGTCTCTGTAGGGATCCTTTCTATAATCTTGTCAGACAGTAGAGATTAAAAATATGAGTTTGTCAGTGGCAAAAACAAGCACTTTTAGTGGACACACTGTAAACTAATTGTGTGTTATTGCACCGAATGGTTACATCACAGTCTGTTTTGCAGCTGCCAGCTGCAGCCCTCTCGCTCAATACTGGATCAATTTCAAGAACTGTTTTTTCCATGAGTCACTTAGACACAAAAACATGGGAAAACAGAGTCCAGGTTGAAAAATACCAAAGTTACCCTTTGTGATAAACACCCTTCGTCGCTCCTGACTTCTTATAGTTGGATCATAAAATATTTAAGTTGTGTTTCCGGAAGAAACTTTTTTTTCCCACATTTTATTTGTAAAGGTTTAGGAGAGGAGACAATGTTCTTTTTTGCAAAATAATGTTTTATGTTTGAGCGATGTTGCTCTCTGACAAACGCTGTTTCAACACTGCAGTGGTGTGTTTAATGACTTGTATGACACAAGGAATGAGACTGGAGATGTAAATATAGATAATGTCAAAATATAAATGAATGATGGTAGAGGAGGTACAGAGTGGTACAAAGATGAAGACAGACACAGACGTATAGAAGTAGACAGATGCAGAGATAAGAGACGGAGACAGAGGCAAAGACAGCAGCTTGTTATTATGATGCAGGCTGACTGTCGTCTCTGCATCACTGCCTGCCTGTAAACACAGTCCACATCATCACTTTCAGACACACCTTTCTATGCTCTCCCACCACCTCTCAACACTGTTATCCCCCTCCCCCGTTACCATTACACGTATTGAGGCTAAGCTCTAAGTCCTGTCACACGTCTAGATTAGTCTCCATCACCTCCCCTCCCCTCGCCTTCCAAGAACTACAAAGTCCAGACCTCTAAAGCTCAGCGTCTGACTGCAGTGAATTTATCCATAAAGTAAGCATTTCAGTAGCGAGAGCCAGAGAGCTGGAGGTTTTAAGTATTCATATCTATGACATACCAAACCACAAACCTACGTGACTGACAGTTGATGCCAAAGCAGAAGTGGAAAATCAAAGATTTTAGTGTTTCAAAACATTCTGCTTCCTCTAATGTACAGTGTGTCTTTTTCAACTTTAAGAACACACCTGTAATTATGCATGTTTTAATCCATTTCTACACATAATTTAGACTTTACATTCCAGTCAACCATTGTATAAACTATGTCCATAATCTGATTTATTTTGCCAGCCGTTGGCTTCCATTCATTTCTGTACAATGTGAAAATGAAGTTGTAGATTCTTCACACTACTTGCAACTTCACAGTAAACATCCAGGTCTGAAGAAGTGGCAATATATGGAAGCAATGTCTTTCTTGAAATCTTAGCCAACAAAGAGACAGTAAGGTTAACCTATCCAGAAATGCACTACAGCAGTGATGATGCTTACAGCAGACTACAATTTCATAGCTGCACACAATCTTTTCATAAGTCAGGTAGCCACGATGCCAAATGCAAGACGCAAGCAGAGAGCGGTCACGGACTAAGGGAGAACCAAGGGAGCAAGTGCGCGTTTCCATTTTGCCTTGTATTGTGAACTTTCACAACAAATACAAAAATAAAACTCATCAGGGATCAGTGCGCAAGGCTGCTGTGATTTACAAATTCTATGTATCATATTGTTGTTTGGATTGTCTGCAGTATATTGTTGTTAATAATGTTGGTCTATTCTGTACAAATGCCATCTACTGCATGTCTGTCCTTCCTGGGAGGGGGATCCCGCTTCTGTTTCTCTCCCTGGGGTTTCTCCCATTTTTTCCTTGTGAAAGGTTTTTCTGGGGAAATTTTCCTTATTTGCAGAGACAGTGCAAAGACAGAGGGTGTTGTATGTTGTAAAAGCCCCTGAGGCAAATTGTGATTTAGAATATTTGGCTATATAAATAAAATTGACTTCACTGACACTGTGACCTCTGAGGATGGTGTTAAATGGAGGTTTGATGGACTCACATTTTTTTGCAGTGGGGACATTTGGCTAGCGTGTTAAACCGCAGCTCCATCCACTGTGAGGAAACAGAAGAAGAAGCACTGTAAGGTTACAGTATTAAGGAACACGCACATGCACACAAGCCAGCACAAAAAAATAAACAACACATTATAACCTGAATGGACTTTTAGAGCAATCAACATAAGACCTACTGGGATTGATTTTAATGATCAGCTATAACGGTTTGAAACGTGTAAATCTAATAATTATGTCCACATTGGAGAAAATATCAAAAGGTTGTCTACATGAGCATCTAAAATGATTCTTATAATGTATTGGTTAGGATTGTAATTACACAGTTGTTTCATTAAGGGGTCTGGTGTTAAGAAAGCAGAGTTATGACGATGTTATCCCTTCACAGATCAGCATAATTTAAGGTCCCATTGACACGAGTTTAATATGTGACTTTCGACATCTGGCTTCAAAGGAGGAATTAGAAATCCAACAGAAATTCAGGCCAAACCATTTTGATTTTGTCTAGTTTAATACCCTTAAATTCACCTCTCTTTAACTGAAGCTCTATTCAAAGCCAGACGTGTACAAAGTCATATTATCACCGGTGTAAATAAGGCCGCAGATTGAAGTGGAGCAGGTTAGGCTGTTGTTAATATGTCCACCAGTATGACCAGCTTTCTCAACCTGTTGTTGTGCTGGAGGAGAGCCATCGCTGGGGAGGCCAGACATTGGCTGGGATGACCTGGCGTCCTCACTGCCCTACAGACGCCGCAAGTGACAAAGCGCACACGTTATATATATCAATAGTCAGTGTCTTACTGACTCGCATGTCAAGTACCTCAAGTTCTGCACCTTCTTCCTTCAATGAGACGCCTGGCAGCAAATATTATTAACATTTAATATGATATATAAAAGTATATGGTATATAAACCTTGTCCGAAATACTCTAGTATCCTCAACACAGGTTGTAGGAAGACTGTTATATTTTTTTCAGTGTGAAGAATTTTCAGATTGTTATTGTAAGTGACTGACAGCATGATGGATCCCTACAGAGATAGACCTTTTTGTTAAAGAGTAAGATCCTTTTTCTTTAACCACAAACGCCAAACTCACCGGACTTTATTCAAATAAACAGGAATTTTATCACTATAAAACACCTTTCATTCAAACTCAAATGAAACAAATTAAACTCACAAAATCCATCCTTGTTCATCTTTCCACTTCTCCGACAATCAACAACTCTGGTTCGACTAAAATAAACTCTTCACTCAGGCTACATCTATACACGCTAAAATGTTAATTTAAATGGAGTCTGGTGGGACTGGCCATTTCTGGGATGTTTCTGGTTAAACAAAAAGGATCTTACTCTTTAACAGAAAGGTATATCTCTGTAGGGATCCATAATATTTTCAGACCCTTATAATAAAAATCTGAGCCTGTCAGTGGCAAAAACAACCACTTGTAGTGGACGAACATTGACACACAGGCTGCAGCCCTGCTCCTTAATACCAGACCAATTGCAAAAATTGTTGTTCCCATTAGTGACTTAGACACAAAACATTAGAAAAATAAGGTCCAAGTTGCAAAAGGGCTGCACCCACATAGTCTGTTAATGAGCCAGGCAAAGGAAAGGAAAGTTGCAGTAAACGCATGCCAGCCACTTCATCATCATATTCTGCGATGATGACATGTTTTCAATTTCATTTCAACACAGATAAAAGATCTCATTAACTCTTGTGTGTGCTTTGGAATGACTGATATAAAGTATAACACGCTATAAAACCCAGAACAACAGTTCAACAGTGCTATAAAACTGTAGAAAATCCCATACTTTCATCTGCAAATACTGAAGAATTCACTGTGATTTGGCTCTCAAGATTGTTAATATGCACGTACCAACAACAGCACAGCAACACAATTTTGCATCAACAAATCTTTAGTGTTGTTTTACATTAACTGTCTCGGTGGGTTTTACGTACAAGAAAGGTGTTGCCACAGTGACCGCAGACCACCCTCATCCCCTCAGGTTGGATGGGCAGTGCCGGCTGGGCAGGTTGCTCCTCTGGGATAACCATCACCGGGCTCAGGTTGATTATGCGTCTGCTGTCGGAGGAACAAAGACAAGAACAAGCTTATGATTACAACCTAGGATTAAAACATTTTTAATGGCGTAGCACTACAGAAAGAGCTTCACATGTCCTGTATGAGTTGATTTTGTGAGAGCCTACCAGTTTGGTCGAGGACATCCTATCCTCCTGGACGTGTCTTTACAGATGAGCAGGCAGTTACAGGGACACCTCACATATTTCTTCCCTGTTGGGGGGTTCTTGATGGGCTGGAAGGCAACACAGAAAAATCAGCTCACTGGATACTTTCAGTTTGATACATGCCTGCGCTTTTTCCACCCCGTTCAGACCTTACAGGGTGGAAAAAGTGCTGAGCAAAATCAATAGCTTTGCCTTTAATCTATGAAATATATATTAGTTTACCCATCAGCTTCAAATGTGCATATTATAACTCTGACATGATGGATTGGTCGGTTATTCATAAAGCCTGTATGCAGTACTTTCTGGTGTCTGTGTCTATATACACTGGGCTGGACAATGATGGAAACTGCAATAACAATAATAAAGTTTAATAATGCTAAATTTATTAGAACCAGAGACTGCAAAGTGCTTTCCAAGGGAAAAACAAGACTTTCTTACAATAAATATACATTTCTAGAATCGATTTTAAGTGTGCCTGATACTACAGAAGAGTATTAGGGCCAGACATAAGGAAAAAATGTGAAGTTTATTTTCAACATTTTGACTTTATTCTCGTAATGCAACATAAAAATTAAAACTTCCTCTCATTTTTTCCCTTCATGCCTGCCCTAATACTGTGTCGCACTCACGGTACTCAGTTTCTGGTGAACCTGAGCTGAGAAAAAGATGCAACAACTGAAGGCCAAACTATCAACTGCGCACTGTTTTGTCCACTGTGTAACAGAATATCAAATGGCTGAGTTGATGCATAAGCACCACAAATATCAGCCAGTGGAAATGGCTTTTCCCACCCGAGTGTTTGTGATGATAGCGATTCATCCTCCTTTATGCCTCCGCTGACAGCTCAATCAGAGCTCTCAGTTTGACACAGGCGAGACATTCAAGTCATACGGAGCTCTTATCACTGGACAGACTGATCAATGTGACAAATGTCTACATCAACATCTGGCAAGGCTCTAAAAGGTGGACACTATCCAGATGAAAAATAGTCAAAGGACTGACGTCTAAAGCAAATGGTTTGTGTCTTGATCACTGACAAATCACATGTTTTATAACACAAAATGCTAATTAGTGTGTGTGTGTGTGTGTGTGTGTGTGTGTGTGTCAGAGACAGAGCGTCAGAGAGACATTGACTTGGAATTGTTGTGGAGCCTTGGTTTGCAATTAGAGCAGCCCAGATTATTATGGCATGGATTCGAATGCAGCAAATTTGCTAATTAAACATTTCTTTTGTGAACTCTGCTCCACTGAAGAATAATAAAAATAGGTTTCAAGATTAATAATGCTGTTTGAACGCAAGTCCTGCCTATACTATGTTATATAACTTAAATAATGACATCATTTTTTTTAGGTGGCAGGATGAGGAGGATTCAGAATGATGAAGACAGGTGGGGAAGAACTAGATACCATGATGATTATCCAAGATGAAATACAGATTTGTAGCCATTCTATAGTCTCAAATGGCTAGAATAACAGAGCATAAAGCTGCTGTAAATGCAAAAAAAAAAAAAAAAAAATTCTCCTTGGGCTTGGGCTGAGCCCCAAATGTTAACAACATCTGGCTCCGCCCCTTAAGACTGGCCAAGCTGTGTAAATGCATAATGATCATAATACTTATTATTACAGAACCTTAACATGACCAAATTTTCATATATATGTCCAGCACAGTCTCTCCAGGGCGTGCATATACCCCCAGACCCCTCTATGTGAGCTCCAAGTGTTTACAACATCTGGTTCAGCTCCTGCATGTGTAATAGATTGCAAAAGAGATGAACATTTTATTGACTGTATGACGAGACAAGAGGAGAGCCATGATAAGCAGCTCAAATAAAACTGAAGACTAAATGTCTTTACTCAACTTGACAGTTAAACTATTACGACTCAACACCAACAATCATTTATAAATCCGTCACCGGCCTCCACCCTGTCCTCCACTTACTGTAGCTTCATTGCAGACTGTGCACTTGACCACGTGCTGATGCAGCTTTCCATCCAGGTTGATGAGCGACTGGCATACGCGGCAGTTGATGACAGGCACACCGCTGGCGTCAGGGCTGGCAATGGCTGTGTAGGGAGGAGGTAGTTCGGCTTTGAAAAGAGGAGGAGGGCAAAGCACACAGCACATGGCTGGCTGTTAATCGCATGCACCTATAAAACTTAAGGCATTGAACAGACACTATCACACATAAACTCTGGAGACTCTAACTTCAATATCAGTGTGTGTCTGTTTTACCACGAGGGGTGCCAGCTTTCTAACAGCTGTAAACAGGTTGTAATTATTCTGTGCAGTTAAACATCCCCAGTGGGATATGTACTGTGTACGACGGGTCCTATTTTCATGGCAGGTTTTGTTGTGATCCATGTTCTTTATTCAGATGGAAGATTCTGTTTAAAAACAGATCTGTATCTTTGTTTTGCTCTCTGATTTCACTAAATAAAAATCAGTTTTTGCTCAGTTGTTATAAAAACTGAGAACAGAAGAGTATCCAAATGCTCACACAGCCACAAAACAAAACAGGAAATAGTTTAGAAGAATGACATAACTCTAAAAAAAACCTTTCTACATTATATTATCACGAGAGGAAACTGGAAATTGAGTTGATTTTTGTAACATAAAGTATGTGCAGTAATTGCATAAGAGATAGCTAAGGGGTTTAGAAGAAGCAAAATTAAAGGTATTCAAGGTCCACTTACTTCATTGGATCATAAAGGCCACAAAATGGAGCTGAAAGATGTGAGAGGCATCTAGTGAGTGGGCCTTAAGAAATTTTTGTTAAACTGGTCTTTCCGAGGTCAAGAATAAACCTCCAAACTCAACACATACTGTACGCCGCTGCTGCATTTAGTTATAGTGTGTTAGAAAGAGTTTGTCAGTCTGTCTAACATAATACAGTATGTTGCGGGCCAGAATCTTTAAGATTTTTGGCCATTACCTGAGATATTAAACTGTAAAATACAGGTAGTGTTTGGAAAAAACTGCCCCTGCATGACAACAAAATCTTATTTCTGTCGAGGGTCTAACAAACCAAACAAAGTCATAATCTAAGTCTAACATTATGATCTTAAACATCTTAAACAAAACAATAAATAAGAAGATTGCTGTGCAAATTGTTCATCTTAGAATCTGTGTAAATACACTTTATATAGCTTAAACATGAATTAATTTGTCAACTGACAGTTAAATAACTATGTTTGAACAACTATGTTGATAACTGAATAACCATTTGAGTCATTGTCCAAGCAAAACTGACAAACACTCGAAGTTACAGCTTCTAAAATGTAAGAATTTGCTGCTTCTAATAAACACCATATTGAATATAATCTTTAGTTGCAGCCCTAATTTTATAATAGGCTACCCACTGCATTATATAAAACATGAATAAACATCTGATGCATCCCGAAAACCATCACTAATGTGGATATAATGACTTAGTGGAAAAAGGGGAATAATAAAACAGCCAGAACAGTCTGGTAAGTTCAGAAAATGACATCATGTCACTGTAATGCAGCCTTTAAAACCAAGACAAGACAACACTTACAATATTAAGATATCCAAAACCTAAGACAACACCTTGTGTCATATCATGATATTGATATAATATTGATATATTGCCCAGTGCTTTCCCAAAACAACTTGTAGTTATAGAAAGGAGCTGTTGTCTAACATGCTTACAATATTAACCAACGGTAACATGTTCAGGACTGACCTCTCACAAAAAAAAAACAAAAAACAATATAACACACAATCAATATTCAAAGGCCTCTCTTGGTAGCTATTAGTGCCTGGAAACACTCCTTCACGTACTGTATGCAAACCCATGACAGCCTGTGTACGACTCTGATGGCTCAACATGTGACTTTTCTCTCTTTGTCAGAGGCAGTGTACCACTCTGTATGTTTAAGAGAGAAACAATGGGCTCTTTTACTAAAGTGGTGCCATAAAATCCACCCTGTGTCATGCTGCAGACTAATACTACATGTAACGTATGATGCAGTCTTCTGATTGTGAGGCTGTGGCATTGTGAGGACATATCTCTGTGCTATAATGTAATGTCTGAGCTACATTTCTCCTTAATGTGTAATGTCTCGTAATATCCATAAAATGAACGTAGCGGTTTTTAAGTCTTGTTCCAGGTGGTGGGTTATGTGTTATGTTCCATAAACAAGTGTAATCAACATGATCAAATGGCCAAACTTAAAAAATGTCTTTTAGTCTAAAAGCACTGCTGTGGACTAACTACAGTAGCCACTCAAATGAACTCTGTACTGTTTAATCCCACATTAACCTCATGTAATTAGTCTACATTCCATGTGTTTTTCAGGGTTTTAACACATATAATCCATAGGTTTTGCAACAGTCACTACCATTACTACTACTACTGTATTATTTGAGCATACTTTGCAATCTATGTCATACTTAAAGGGACATGTCACCCAGAATCAAAACTACATAGTTCCCTTCTTACCTGTAGTGTTGTTTATTAAACTAGACTGTTTTGGTGTGAGCTGTTATGCATTGAAGATATCAGCCGTAGAGATGTCTGCCTTCTCTCCAGAATATTGGAACTAGATGGCACTCAGCTTGTGGTGCACAAAGTGCCAAAAAATACATGTGAAAAACTCAACAGCAATGTCTCTTTCCAGAAATCATGACCCAGTTACTCAAGATAATTCATAAACTTTGTTGTGAGCAGTTTCATGTAGGAACTATTTTCCTTTTGCTAAATTACACTCGCTAGCCGTATCACCGCTCAGAAGGAAGTGTGCATCTACTGCTACCTCACCCAGCACCACTGATCTTGCTGACATTTCAGCTCAGCTGAGGTTGATGCCATTAATGTTTACATCTCTTGCTGTCATGAGCAGGACCCTCTCATCCATGACTAGATGCACACTTCCCTTGACACAGTGATACGGTTGGCATGTGTAGTAAAGAAGAAAGAAAAAAGTTCCTATGTGAAACTGCACATAACATGATCTGTGGATTATCTTGAGTAACAAGGTCATAATTTTCCAACAATCCAACACTCAGCAATTCACACCAAAACTATCTAGGTATAAAAGCAGCCTCACAGAAAGTGGAAAATAGGTATTTTAAAATCTCTATTAAATCATTTAATTCAACCTTCAACATTAAATGAATTGAGTTATTTTGTATTGTAACTTGCTACTGAAACAAAAATATCTCATCATCTAACAGCAATGACTGTGCAAATTCAAAAAATACTGACAACTCAATCAAATATAACACTGATAAACAACGCAGTTACTAACTACTAACTAGCTACATTGATCATGTAAGATAAGTCCCTAAGTAGGCCTACAGATTTACTGCACAGCTCAGGCAACAATGAGTCAGATGTAGCTGAGAGCATTTGTAAATCAACAGAAAATTAATCTACAACAATGCTGATGTATTTGATTGCTCTTTCTTCACACAAAAATGCTTCAAATGTCACCAGGTCCAGCTCCTCAGATGTGATGAGCTGCGAGGGAAAGAAATATGAAGGGCAGAAAATGTAAGAAAAGGAATTGATAATGTAAATAATAACTTCATGTAGCCACAGACAAATGAGTAATGCTGTAACACAGTACCCTGTATCACAGTCCCTTGTGATGCATTATCAAGTCTTTGTTGAGCCTGACCCAAGTCTGCTGACCAAACACAAAGGAGGCATCTAATCCGACAAATGACCAATTTCCTTCACTCTGAATGAGATAATGGGACGAGTTAACAGGTAAACGAGCTTGGCTCTGGGATTCAGAGCGCTCGACAGTTGACACCACAGGGACAGATGGGACACCCCATCAACAACTTGGCAAACATGGCTAGGAATACGACCAAAGCATGCCAAAGACTGGACACTCCTACTGTGTGCAGGCAGCACATGGTGACAACCGGATTCTGTTCTTAATCCATACATTCTTATATAACATTATGAAATAAGATCCTAAACACCTTGAGTTAAAAAAACGTCAGCACTTCTCTCTGTGCTCCACCACTGGCTCTGATTCTACTCGCGTCTCTCTCTCTGCTGTGTGAAGTTCTCCTAATGCATGTCTGAAACAGAATATAGCAGCTATAGGTTTTCACCGGCCTTCCTCGGAGCCAGAGGTAAGACGAGAAGACACTCTACTACAACCACCAGCAGCACCATAACATACAGCCACCATCGCGTCCTGTCTAGTTGGTGCCATTGTGTGACTGGTGGTTTGTGGGGAAGAATAGCTGACTGGGAAGCTGGTGCGCAGACACAAGCTGCTCAGGGATGTTTTCTGCTGCCCATGTGGCATTAAAATAAAAATCTCTTTAAGGTTATTAAAGGATAAGACTCATTTCTTATTGTCAATAATTCCCGTGAAAAGATTAAAACAAACAATGAACTAGAAGGGCACTCAGTGAACGCAGACTTCCACCAAGGCCAAATTCTATATCTCACAATGTAAACTAAAGTGAAACACAATTTGTGTATTGGCCCTGTGATTCAGAACTGCTCCAAAATCTAGTATGTTCTTCCTTGGCCCATACTACACCCCTCTGCCAAGTTTTACTAAAATCGGGCCAGTAGCTTTTTTGTTATCCTGCTGACAAACAAACAAACAAACCACAAACACAACCTCCTTGGCAGAGGGAATTAGTCCATCTCAGTAATTCTTATCTCACTCAGCTTGTCAGTTACTACTAAAAACATAATTCCTTAAAAACAGGCCATAAATTTAAAGTTAATATATGTTACAGAAAAAGTCTCACTGACTTTCTTAAAAAGCTGGGCACTGCAGTTTCTAGCAAATATTACTCAAACAGTGTGAACAGTATATTTGTTTGGGACTATTTTCAGTGGAGGATTATTACACATTTAGAGTTCCAGTGTACAGGCGAAAAATATGGCCTTAAAATTACATCATGGTTTTGCAAAAATATTTTTCCAATTGCTCACAAGTTTTTTCTTCTTATGCCAACGATGTGGTAATTTTCAACCAACCGTCGTCACCTGAGCTAAATCAGATCATGGGGCGTCTTGCTTCGTGGTCATTTCAGTTGCTAAATGACGCACTATGTGGTAGGCTTGGGCAGTGTCAAGGTATTATGGTATACCAGGGTATTTGGAAATCCCAAATGTATAATTTTCAATACTATCAAATACAGTATGTGCTCTTTCTATTAAACTGATATGGAGATGCTGTACTGAGGTGATGTAGTGCACAGAATGTGCCACCAGAGGTCAGTCTCTACTAGTGGAACAGGCAGCTGAGCTGAGAAAGATGGCAACTGTGGGCGGTGGGGTAGTGAAGAAAAAAGCCTCCACCTGCCCCTGTTTGGAAGACTTGCCATATATATCTTTATCTTAGGATGACGTCTTCCATCTACAAAAGTGGTTTATTTGCCACAAGATTTTATTCGACACGTCATCTCAGTTCAGCCCACTGATGTGTCATATCCACCATGGCAACAAGTATCATCAGGTCCTCCAGCAAGAAGGGCGCTTATTTCCTATCTATTCATTATTCTAAGTACGTATAAGTATTTAAACCCAGAAAAACTTGTCTTAATAGACTAACTGCATGTTAGAAACACAGTATGTAGGCTAATGTCACAGATGCTACAATAACTTCTACCACCAGCAGCACAGCTTTAATTTTTTTTTTCTTCTTACACAAATGCCATCATATATTGTACACCGTAGAGAAATGTCATGACGGTACAGAAGTAGGAAAAAAATAGCTCCCCTCTTTTTTTTTTAAATTTACATTTATTTATTTCCCTTATCTTATTACTATCATCATTTTCTATGTGTGTCTGATGTTTGATTTAAATATTTATTATTATCACTTTGAGTGAGGGTGGGAGGGTTCTATGGATATGTGAGATGAGGGTACAAATTAACTGTATGGGTTCAGTTCATGTTCTCAATGTTGTAAGTTCTGTATACCAACCAGAGACCAGCTCACTCTGACATCTTTAATATGTCATTGTATACTGCCCATAAATCTGGTTAAAAAAAATAAAAAGATTTCTGGAAGAAAAAAAAAAAAAACAGATACCGCCCACGCCTAGTATGTTGCCTTTGTGTGATGTAGTGCTCCTGAAGGTTTTCAAACCACTTCCACACCACTGATGTTTTTCCTTTTTTGGAAACAGCTCCTCCACAAAGGAGGTGGCAGCAACACCACTTTATGTTGTTGCTATATGCAGCATGTAATCATGACATAAGAAAGTGTCTTGAATTACAATTTCATACTGTTAATATCATGATAAGCCACATTATCAAGTTAACATTTATATGGCAGCAGTACCATGTCAGTGCGACTGACTCAAAACAAACTTCAGTCCCAATGTTGACTATAAAGAAGGAACATGTCACTCAGTGCAACAGTTTGCCTCATTGAAATGTTTTTAGTAGTTTTTGGACAAGCTTTACGGCACAGAGGAACAACATATATAACAGAAACACTTGTAACTAGAACCAATTAATTGGTGGTTCTGGACTTTTCATGGGATTTGTCACCAGTAAGACAACTAGAATATCACCAGACTATTACTTCCCAGTTGCCCTGTATAACTAGCACTCTCCTGACAGTCTGAGGATAAATGTTGCAGATTCTTGACTCCACCCTTGAATGATTTCACCCTACTACTGAAAAAAAAGGATAAAATGAGTATTTCAACAGCTTTTTCTACGACCGTGAAGCACTGCCTCTGAGTGAAAGTAAAAATTTATTCATCACTGTCGACATTAAAACACTGTCAAGGCTTGCACGGCCTTTTGTTGCAATCAATTTGTTCTGCCATTCAAGCGCAAAAATGTAAGCAAGACGCAACCAAATCGAGCACAGTGCCAGTCCATCCACTCAGATGCAGCCAAGGTCATTGGTCTCCGCCCCTCCGCACTGCCACCACACTGTGAATAACAGCCAACAGTGAATCTCTACCTGATATACAGCTGAGTAACATCATCTGGTAAAGGAGTCATAACTCTCCAGTGTCAGGTTGTGGAGATATTTAGGAAATCAATACAGCAGAGATGCAGTGAAATAATATCTTTAACATGATCCTAATCACGGCTCACATTCACTCAGCTGATTATTAGTCAAAACACCAACTCAGTCATTGTGTCTCACGAAAACACCCCAGTGTTTTGGCATCTTTGACTCTAATTAATCCATTTTACAAATTGGCTGATTGGAGGATTGTACCCCAACAAACAAACCAGAGAAACCAGAATTAGCCATAATCCAGACTGCAGAGAGGCAGGGAGGGGAAACTAGGCCATGAATTTTACTGCCATTCATTTATGCTTTTACTCAGTCAGTGCTTTAACATCCAAACAGGCTGTCAGTTCACAGGTTATTACAATCCAGCCAGCGTTAAAGTCTTTATGAATAATCCGCTGGTGGAATATGAACTCTGCGAGATTAGACCGCTTCAGAACAACAAAAATGTTCATTTTTCCACATTTTGTTTGCTTGATATTAGCCGTTTGTCCTGAAATGCTCTGCAAAGAGTATTACACAGTCAATGAATGCATTCATTTGCACAACAACCAGTGTGGTGCCGAGGCGAAGACATGTTGTGTCTTATGAGCCCAGAACAAGAAGGTACAATCAGAGGGAACTTTGTGCACCGTGTCTGAAACTAAATTTACTTAAAACAAAACATAATCCTTTGATATGAGCGTCTGATCTGCATGTTTGTTGAAGAAACGAGGGAAGTGAAGCCTCCCGCAAAAAGAAATGTGTGATCATGTATGTCTCCGGCTTTAAAATGGGATCTCCTCCTAAATTCAGAATCAGGCTGGGCTAGGTGCAAAGGCCAGTCCAGACGGAGGCTTCTAGACTGAGTGGACTGAGGATTTATGTGCTGTAATTGCCTGGGTCTGGGTCACTCAGCCCTGCATGCATTATGGTGCTGTAACCTACATTCAGCTGTTTACAAAGCAAAATGTGGACACTGTGTCAGTTTGCTGGGTGTACGTTCACATGTCCTGAGCTGTACTGAAGATGCTAGAATAGATTCAAGCTGTCTTTGCGAGATCAAGGCCAAATATTTGTTGCTTATAGTCCAGTTTCCATGCAGCCTGACAGCTAGATATAACACTATGACGTTTAAAATCAAGCCTTTGGTCACATCTGGGCATTTTGTCAATTTGCAGCTGGGACAAAAGGCTGCTAGGCTGCCATCATCTGCAGTGGGTCATTTCTCCCCCGTCAATCAACAACATTAAAGCCCACATACACTGAGGCCTCCCAGTGCCACATCACGACTCATACCATGTATTTTGGTGAAGACCCAAAACATCCCAGGCCCCAGTGAGTCGTGATGTGGGCATTTCTGCAGTAAAAAACAGAGCTCGCTGTTATTGTAGGCCCCTCTTCTCTAACCCACTGCTCCAGTTCTCACAGTAGAAGCTCCACCTTTCCCTCAGCTGCCGATTGATTGCCCTTGCCTTGCCTTGCAATGCTGCAGTTTTATTTACGCACAAACTCGATACGCCCAAAAATGATTCAGCATGTAGGCAGCGGGGCTTCTCTACATGTCGTGTGTTTACCTCGGGGACTTGAATCCTGCAGGTACGGGGGAGCAGTGGGGGTCACGTTCTCGGAGTCGGGACCCGACAGCAGCGGAGATCGCTCGTCCATGCCGTCGGAGGCCATGTCGGTAACCGTGGACGGCGAGAAATGACGGGCGGAGACGGCGGGGAGGCTCCTGGCTGCACCGAGTCTTCACTCAGCACGGAGGAGCAGCCGGCGGCTGGTTGTTGGTGCCGAGTTGCTCCGGTCCACAAGCCCCGGTGACGGCAGCCTGGAGGAGGGAGGAGCTCCGCGGTGATCCCCGCCCCTCACTGACATGACATAGTGCTCTATAACTCTAAATACTGCAAACATATATGATACTGTGATGGAATTTTGTGTTCAAATTATGTGCAGGAATTTAATACAATTTAAATGTATTGCTACCAGTAAACACGTGCACGGGATTATTTGGATTCCAGCCCATGTTTACATAAATAACTGTATAAAATGTCCTGCATGGAGTCACAACAAGCAGATGAAATTTCATTTTTTGGGAGGGACACAGTAGTAATCCAGCAGCAGTTCCCAGTTTTGACCACCAGATGTCACTGTAGGATCACTTTGCTCTGTGCAGTCCATTACTGTAGACCATTATGTATTATTTAGACTAACCATTATGCCAAACAAATCCATGTCCACTTACAACCCCACAAGTGAAGTTGTGTGTCTATGGGTTGTAAAATTACTAATTCTTCCAACTAAGATTGTTTAAATATTTTAGAGGCATGAAGACATGAAACAGCTTTGTTGTGGTAGTTGATGAGCTGGATAGATGGGTAGGTTATGCATGTCCTGACAAGTTGTCCATGACAACAAGTTTTTGTTGGGACCCTGGGACATCAACTGCCTCAGCCAGTCAACGTTTGTGATGTCATCAAAGAGAGCCCTGCTGCCAGTGCCCTGCAAAGTAAAAACAAAATGGCTGAGCAAAGAGGCAAAAATTACAAGATGAGACCCAACCTGAAAGTTTTACTTCAGTTTACACTAGGCTGCAACTACAGACATTAAAATATATATTTGATTTTTAGATTAATAGTTAATATTCTGCCACCATGGTAATAAGCTCACATTACCTTACACAGGTGAGCTAACAGTTAGCCAGCTGGGGCACTAGCTGCTTAGTGTTAACCCCTTGATCATAACAATACCAAAGGCCGCCACAAAAAAATGTGTTATTAGTTTAGACAGTCAAAGGGACAGTGAGTCATAGATGTTTGTTTCTGGCTGCTAGAGTTAGTGGGCTAGTCGTAGCGCTAGCATTAGCATGCTGAAATGTGCATGCTAGCATTAGCGCACTAGCCTGCCAACTGAATCCTTTATTTTTTCCAGGATTGTGCCCGGTGATACAAAGTATTGCATAATGAAAGTGAGGCTTATGGGGAGCAAATCTAAAGCACATGATAAACCAAGAACACCTTTTTAATGTGGTGGCCTCTTTCAAACGAGCAGTGGGCCAAGTCATTAACTTAAATGAGTAAGCAATTGTTAGTAGCTAGCATGCTAGCTAGCTATCTCTGTTATATGATTTTGTCTTGAGACCATCACCTGGATGTTGACCTCAAGTCATGATTGCTTTATTCTGTCACATGAAGAAGTCTTCAGACCATCAAATTGATATCAACCTCAAGATTAAGACCAGACCAGACCACCACTGCATGATACACTTACAATAAATGTGGAACATGCAAACCATAGGCACTCTTTAAACTGATCTGAAAGATCCACATTCCCATTAAAAAAGCCCGCAGAAAACAAATGAAGACTGCCCTTCATTCACCTCTTTAATTGCCAGACTGTGTGTACGTGTGTGTGTGTGTGTGTGTGTGTGTGTGTATACAGCGAAACAACCAAGACTGAATACAGGAGGAATTCCACATCCCCGAAGATGAGATGCTACGTGAATACCTCAGGCAGCAGAAGGAGAGGATGAACCATGATGGAAGGACAAGCCTTTGCACAGCATGTACCACCGACAGATTGAAGAAGTGGCCGACATCCCAAAATCCTACCAGTGGCTGCAAAAGGCTGGATGGAACAGCACAAAAGCAGTAATCATGGTGGCACAGGAACAGGCACTTAGTACAGGATCAATAGAAGCAGGGGTCTACCACAGCAGACAGGACCCCAGGTGCAGCTGTGCAAAGATGCTCCTGAGACAGTTCAGCACATATTAGCAGGGTGGAGGATGCAGGCAGGAAGAGCGTACATGGAACGCCATAATGAATTGGCTGGCATAGTGTAGAGGAACATCTACACTGAGTATGGGCTGGAAGTCCCAAGGCCAGAATGGGAGACACTTCCTGAGGTGGTTGATAATGACCGAGCTATAGGATCCTGTGGGACTTCCAGATCCAGACTGACAAACTGATGATGGCTAACCAACCGGACATCATGTTGATAGATGTAGCAATCCCAAGTGACAGCAACATCGGAAAGAAGGAACACAAGAAGCTTGAAACATACCAAGGGCTAAAAGAGGAGTTTAAAAAGATGTGAGAAGTAAAGGCAACAGTGTGGTAATCAGAGCACTGAGGGCTGTGACCCCCCAACTGGGAGAGTGTCTCCAGCAGATTCCAGGTACAACATCTGAGGTCTCAGTCCAGAAGAGTGCGGTCCTGGGAACAGCTAAGATACTGCAGAAACCTAAAACTCCCAGGCCTCTGGTAGAGGACCCGATATATATGGGAATTTTCCTTTGTTTTCTATGAGCAAACAAATTAAACACTAAGTAATTAACATAATACGGTGATAATCACGAGATCAGTAGGGTCTTTGATATGTGCTGTGGGGATTTCTGGTGACCATATTAGATTGTGCCTGTTCTCTTTGCTCTGCTGTGGAGCCTGTTTTCTTTATTCTGGTGTGTTTGATGTGTTGCAGTTGGTTTATCCTGATTGGATTAGCCGTGTAATTGTGTAGGAATCTGAAAATTGGCACTTTAACCTCAATGAGTCATTTCTTTCATTTCAAATGCAAAACAATAAGTGTAACTGTGACTGTTTTTATGGCTCTTCCACATTATTTATTTCATTATTCAGCCAAAAAACAAGGATTTTCTCTTAACTGGATGAAACTCTTAACCTTAACGTCCACTCTTTGTTCTTCAAATGGTTTGAAAATCATTAGCAGGACCTGAAAACAACATCTGGCTGCCACCACCAGCTGTAGACCAGAGCCAAAGTATCTGTGTGGACAGGACTCATCTCATACCACATTTTTCAGTCCCACCCTTCTTAAGAGTCGAGTCAAGTCAAGTCAGTTTTTATTTATATAATGCCACATCATAACAGAAGTTAGCCTATCTCAGGACACATTTGTGTAGCTAGTCGAGCAGGGTTAGACATTACTCTTTTAATTCACGGCAACCCAACAAGTCATGTTTTACAGTCTTTCCTGAGATTCACATCCTTCAAGATTGATGGTGTGTGTCTCATGTTCATTCCTCCCCTAACATTACAACACCCTCGATACTCTGTGCCAAAATACTTCTCCCATTCCTCGTTGCTTATGTCAGGGTATAAGCCTCACTCTCTGACCATTCAAAAGACTTAACAAATAAACACAGATGGTGTGAATTAATCTTTGGGACAAAACAAGTTTGGGTATATTTTAAAACTGTTGTTTTTACAGCAGAATTGCAGATGTTTGTGGGCATATCTGAATTGGTGACAACGTGTTTCAGTGCACAGGTATGATTGCATGATGTTGAGATGTTAAACATGTTTTAAATTTAAAATTCAAGCCTGGCTGGTTGTGTTCAGGACATTGTAAAATGGCTCATAAATTCCAGGAGCATCACACCTACTACTGCACTCACAGACTGAAGTCTAGAGGAACAAAAAGCTGCAAATTAACACGTTTACCAAAATAGTACAATCCAGCATATCCAGATGATTTCATTTTTTAAGCAGGAATAAATTACAGAGAAGCTCTGCAACAGACTTTCTCTCCCCTACATGCCTCTTTATTTTTGCACTTACAAATCAGGATCCTTCCCAGCCAGACTGCAAGTGTTTGACGCTCTTTGTGTTAACTTTCCCTCAATTACTCCACAGACTCTGAGGGGAAAATCCTTGCTCCTGACTGCTGTTACCAGGCCAGTAAATAGTGATTCACATCGCATGTAACAGGCTGCGAGTCAACGACTCATTTTTTCCGACGACTTCAGGCACCAGAGGAGCGTCGCAGCACTCACACACTGCTTCGTCGCTGGGGTTTCTTTGCAAGGTAAGACACAATACACACACAAGACATGAGAGAAACTGGTGAAAGGAAGTGAGATGAAAGATGTTTGTATGAGTTTAAGTTGTTGCAGTGAGCAGGAGTTGCAGATTTGCTGCCATGCGCCGTCACTCTTTTAACTTTTTACCATGAAGCTACCAAAGTGAGAGTAAAACTTCCGGAAATCATATGAGAAATAAAACAAACGTGTGCTGCAGCCTTTTCAAAGTTTGTAAATCACTGTAAAAAAAAAAAATAATTCTAAGTAGATGAATACGTGGTTGTAGTGTAGCTATATTTAAGCCTTTATTCTCTTTATTAAGCGTAAGATAACGTACACCTTTATTTTGAAGGTAAAATCACATTTCCCTGTACTGACAGTTTAATACCAGTTAAAAGTCTCACTTTTGTATTTAACATGGGTGTAGATATCAGGGGGGAAGCAGGGACCCCCCAATAAAAACATGAAAGTAGCAGAGGACTTTTATTTTGACAGTATTAAAGACATTTACACCATAAATCGATGCAGAAAATGCACAAATTGGTGCAAAAAAAAAAATCACCACAATGTAGGAAATTAAGTGTTTGGGGCTCTGAATTTTCTGGTGAAGGGCCCCAAATCCCTCGTTTCATATGTGTCCCCTCCAGTGTTGAAGAGAAATGAAACCTCTACGCCCTTGGTTTATAAATAACAAGTTAAAATGTACAAGCCCGTCAAATTCTCCATTCCTCCTTCTCACACACAATTTGGTCTCAAGGAACAACACGGGATTGTGCAAATATTTTGATGATTTTATCATTATGACAATAGGAGAGCTACAGTGTGAGTAAAACAATAGCTTTGTCACAGGAAAAGACCAGTGGAAAAAATTTGTAGTGGATAAGGCCTGTCATGATGCCAAGAAATGGCCTTTCCAGCCATTACAGCTCTGTGTGTGTGTGTGTGTGTGTGTGTGTGTGTGTGAATACTGCTCCACACGTCTGATCGAGCCTCATACTTCATATTTCAGCCAGTTTGGAGATGCTCCAGGGGGCAGTGAGCAGGGCCGTGCTCTGCCTGTCCTGCTCCCTCCTGCTGGTGGGGGTCTGCTCCCCAGCGGAGGGTGCAGCGGCAGCGGGGCCTCTTACTCTTCTCCCTGAACAACTGTCTGGGGAACCTGACCTTGAGGACGGGGAGTGGGGCTCTGGATCATCTCTTCTGCACCTGCTACACAGCTTCCCTGCTGACAGCCCCTTCATAACAGAGACCCCAGGAAAACCAGTCAACTGCACCCAACGCTTCTGGTTACCACCGTCCTCTGCGATCTGCTGGGAAAACATAGCTGGACCCAAGGAGTTTGCCAAGTCCCGTCTGCTTGTTCTCCAGAACAGGGCTGCCCTGCAGGCTGTGTCCACCACCAGCGGGGTGGAGGAGGGAGGGCTCTCCTATGAAAATCAAGCCAGAGAGGAGGTCCAGGGGATCGTCTCAGACCACCTGAGTATGGTAGAGACTATGGAGACCATGGAGAAGGTGTTTGTCTCTTTGGAGGAGAAGAGGAAAGAGGGGACGGAGCGGGGGGTCCTCACAAGGTGAGAAACGGAAGTCCATGGACCATTTGATGGATTAAAGTTCCAGTGTGTACCCATAACTACTTTTTCATTGGTGTATAATCACCTGGAAATAAGAATTTTTGTGTTTTTCTTACCTCAGTATACATACAGAGTGGGTCCTCCTCCACAGAGTTCGCCATGTTGTTCTACAGTAGCCCAGAACGGCAAACCAAACACTGGCTCTAGATAGAGCCATTTATGTTTTGCGTCGGCTACTGTTGTTCTCCTACGTGCTTGGCAGACAGGAGAAGTTTCAATTGGTTGCAATCCGCCTCCCCTACCGCCAGATGCCAATAAATCCTACATACTGGAGCTTTAAATAAAGGGACTGATAAAGGGAAGAGGAGGGGGCTGACAGTTTTATTTTATTTAATAATTTTAAAAAAAGATTTACAGTGGTGCAATGACTGAGGAAGTAGGAATAAAATGAAAACATACTCCCTGATTTCTCATGTAATGCCTAGGTGCAGGTACTTAGTGTAAATTAGTGGTTTGACTTTCTGTTGTTTCATATTAGAACCTCACCTCCATGAGATCAGTCACAAAACACAGCCACAAGCCCCACTGTGCACAGACAAATTAATTAAGTTTCTGGTAAATCCTGATCCAACGCCAGCAGTTGGATTATTTCCAAATAATTGTTAGCAAGGCAGGGACCCTGGATCAGTGTTACTTGTTTGGCCTAAACATAACGCAGCGTGAATGCCAAAGACGACAGAGTGGAAATCCAGACAAGCAGCTGAGTCATTTCAAGTGTTTTCCAACAGTCAGCTGTTGGGACATCTGGCTGAGACGAGGCTCTGGCACTAGAACGGCTGGAGAGAATTAATGCAATTCAGTGCTTTCTCTCTATTAGATGTGAAAGAACACGCTTGTTACTTGGACAGTAATGAATTTGGTGGAGTGCTGTCAAAAATTTAGATTCATCGATACATATCCTTCTGAAAATGGTTTCAGTACTGATGCTTTCTCTCTCTGTCTTATTGTTAATGTTTACTACAGTTACTCTGCTGCTCTCTGCTACAAGGAAAAGTTATGTCATAACCTTCTTATCTTTATAATAAAAAAAGAGAAATTAACTTGTCATTTGTCGTCTCTTTCAGCATGAAGGAGCATCTGGCCGACACAAAGGACGCCATAGAGGGAAGAGAGCACATGGCAAACATCCTGGAGAATAAGTTTTCTACTTTAGAGAATAATCTGCTTAACATGCAGTTCAGACTCAACAAACTCATCCTACAGTGACAAAGACCGGTCGCCTTATTTGAGCTGTATTTATATATTCATGTATTGTGCAGTAATGTAGCAAATGCATGCATGCTCATGATTATGTAAGTATGTAGTATGAGGACAAAATATATGATTGATAAGCACCTACAAGTAACATGTGTAACCTTGAATCAGCTGAGATAATTAAACCTCACATTGTCGGGGAGATTATGTAGCTGCTAAATCACGTTTTGTATTTCCAGTTTGCAGACATGCTCCATATGGAGATTTCACGGTAATGCTAACAGCCTCTCGTAAAACTGGAAGACACTTGTGAAGCTTGGAACAGAATAACCAACACATCATTCAGCATTAATAAACTGCATTTTCTATCTCTCAATAAAATAAAATAACTGCAGCGCAACATGAACATTAGACAGCATGAATCTTTATTTTAATATCAAATCTAAACAATTAATTTGTAAATTCATGAGGACGATGTGTTGCAAGGTGGTCAGCTGTTATATACACTTTAAATATTCACATCTACCAGGCTGAGAGTGAATTTTCTTTTGGAAAGACTTAGCATGTTCAGTTGCTTCGTAGTTAAGCTGGAAAAAAAGAGGTATTTGAACTTTTGATTAAACAACTTTCAAGTATTTATGATAAACTACTCAAACATGACAAAATCCTGAACAAAAAACAACGATCATGTGTAACACAGAATCAGTAACAACAGCATGTTTCACTTTGAAATCAATGTTTGGCAGCATTGCTAAAGGAAAGTGTTCACCCAATCATGTTTTAAAGGCAATTAACTCAGGAGCTGAGACGTCTGTTCACCAGCTGTGTCTTGATCTGTTACATGGAGTGAGGCCTGCAAGCTGTGGAGAACATTTGTTATACTCCTTCTGATTGTTGTGCATGCAAAACAAGCACATTTACAAGACACTGCTACTAGAATAGGGCTGCAACTACCAATTATTTTCCTTATCAGAAAATCTGCTCTATTTTCACCATTAACTGATTAATCGTTTGGTTTATAAAGTGTCAAAAAATCTATGAAAAATGCTCTTCACAATATTCCAGAGCTCGAACTGACATTTCCAAATTGCCTCTTTTTCCAACAAACAGTCCAAAACCCAAAGACTGCCATACATTTACCACATCATACATCATTTACAGTCATAAATGACAAAGAAAAGCAATAAATTGTCACATTTTTAAGAAGCTAGAACCAGCAAATATTTGACAATTTTGCTTGAAAATAACTGAAAGGATTAATTATCAAAATGGTTGGCGATTAATTTTCATTGGATTGACTTATCGTTGCAGCTCTTTACTAGAAAACCTTCAAGGATAGTTGAGCAATACGGGCAAAATGCAAAATTTTTCTGAAATTGTAAAATCTTCAGAATCTTTTGGGGTTATGATTTATATACGGCTGCTTTGTTCAGGCCATTGAAACAACATTGATTATATTAATTAATGTAAGACATACAGTACAACTTCTATGTTCCTCTATGACTCTGTGTGTTCTTGTATTTGAAGGTGATCTCTGACTCTTCCAGATTTCACATTTGCCCTACGTGGCTTACTTTTAGTGCCATGTCCACTAGCGTCTTGCCTGAGCCCTACACCTGAACTCTGGCAATGTATTTCAAAGCACTGAGAAAGTTAAGGGTGTCTCTTCTGCCAGTGCTCTCAGTGAAAGACAGGACATGTACATTTGATAACATCTGTCCAGACGTGAAATGCAGCCGTCGTCATTTTTAAAAGTCAGCATCGTCATCTTCTTGCATTTGCTCCAGAGATTTGAGGTAATCTCGAGCCAAGATCTTCTTCGGCAGGATGTCTATAAAAAGAGGATATTACACTGTGTTAAACTTGATGTTGTGCAATGTCGTCCCTGACTGTCACTACTTTCCAAGGCACATAAGGAGCTGTGAAATTGTGTTTATAGCGTCTGAATGTCTGTCTGAGAAATGGTAATGGAAACAGATCCTGAAGGCAAATTTTTTCCCTGGTAGGAGGTGATCTTACAACAAAAACTGCTGCAGGAAAATGAATCACACATGAACACTGACAGGTTTATTACAGTGAAATAAATCAAATTCATAAAATACCAGTTCAATAAAGAGTTACAATAAAGAGCTGGTTGGACAAAAGAATGACATTTTCGAGTTGTAGAGAAAATGGTGTCTATGGGTATCAGAAACTAAATTGAACACTTTTTAAGAACTTTTCAATATAATTTTTGACTAAATTTCAGACAGATTTTTGGACGAATTGTCTTTTTCTTATTCAAACATTGCAGGTCATTATTATATAGTAGTTACAGTATATGCCTATATAAAACCTACCTCTCCTGGAGACCACATATATACAGTCTCATGCACCAGGAGGTTTTAGAAATTTGGTTATTAGAGTGAGTTTGGTTAATTTATTAGCTCTATATATCAATAAGGGGGTACACAATGTGAAATGCAACACCTCAAACTACAGCAACCAAATGACCATGAAGTTGGTTATAACCTGTGTGGAGATCAGATGTATTACAGTTTTTGACTGCATTTATTTCATCTAGGTGTACCTAATAAACTGAATGTACCCAAAAACCACACTTGAACCATAACTTAGAAACGTTCTGAAAGGTCACAGGTTACTCTAATGTTTCATTGGTAAAGGGTTAAAGGGTGAATTATGTGTTTTTAACCTGGACCCTATTTTCCCATGTTTTTGTGTCTAAGTGACTAATGGGAACGACAAGTACTGAGCGAGAAGGCTGCAGCCAGCAGCAGCAAAACAGCCTGCAATGTAACCACTTGGGTATTTGTGCACAGTCAATGTACATCCACTAAAGAGTTTGTTTTTGCCACTGACAAGCTCAGATTGTTATTATAAGGGTCAGAAAACATTATGGAAAGGATCCCTACAAAGATAGATCTTTTTGTTAAAGAGTAAGATGCCTTTTTTTTTTAACCAGAAACAGCCCCAAAATCAATTTAGCCAAACCCACCAGACCCCATTTAAATACAAAGTAATTTTAGTGTGTGTAGAAAGAGCATATTTTCACATCTAACTCTATGAATTAAAAGTTTATTTCAACCAAACCAGGTTTGGTGATTGTTGGAGCAGTGGAGAGAGGAACAGAGATGTCTTTTTTGAGTTTTATCTTGTTACGGTCCACTTTGAATAAAAGGTGTTTTATGATGATAAAATTACTGTTTTTTTAAATGAAGTCTGGTGGATTTGATGATAGCGATTTTGGGGCTGTTTCTGGTTAGACAAAAGGATCTTACTATTAAACAAAGGGTCTATTTCTGCAGGGATCCTTTTCATAATGTTGTCAGACACTTACAACAATCTGAACCTGTCAGTGGCAAAAACAGCACTTTGAGAGAACATAAATTGGTGTACAAATGCCCTGCCTGGTTAGATTGAAGCCTTTTTTGCAGCTGTCAGCTGCAGTGCTCTCACACAGTACATCCATCCATTTTCATCTTCTTATCTGTGGCTGGGTCACAGGGGCAGCAGGCTGAGCAAAGCACCCCAGATGTCCCTCTCCCCAGCAACGCTTTCCAGCTCCTCCTGGGGGACCCCAAGACTTTCCCAGGCCAGATGAGATATGTAATCCCTCCAGCGTGTTCTGGGTCTGCCCCAGGGCCTCCTACCACTTGGACGTGCCTTGAACACCTCTAACAGGAGGCACCCAGGAGGCATCCTGATCAGATGCCTGAACCACCTCAACGGACCCCTTCAAACGCAAAGGAACAGTGGCTCTACTCAGAGCTCCCTACGGATGTCTGAGCTCTTTACCCTATCTCTAAGGGCGCACACCAGGATTATCTGGGGGACTCCGTTCGATTGGGCGGGGAATGCCGAAAAAATTCACATCTTCATTTGGGTCGTTTCACTTTCACACGGCACTTTTTTATTCACGCAGTTACAACAGCTGCTCGTTTTGGGGCGGTATTGCCCGAAACGACCACTGACCAGAAAAAAGCATGAGGAAGAAGAGAACCGCAGTTTTTTTTTTTTTTTTTTTTTAACCTAGATTCGATACTGATCCACTGACCGATAAAATTTATGTGCCGCCATCCTCTCACTGAACAATTCAAAAACTGCCTCTCCCGGTTCGCGCTGTTGGCTTTGTTTTTTCGCTACCCAAAATGCACTGCGCTCTATGTCACTTCCTCTCTTTGGTTCACTTTCTCTCATTTCCCACTGTAAGCGAACCACACTAGGGTTCACTTGCAAGTGAACCAAGACCCCCAGTTTTCAAGCGGTATTCACCAGTATTCACACAGTACTGAACCAATTTCAAAACTTGTGTTAATGTGTCCATTAGTCACTTAGACACATTGGAAAAATAGGGTTCAGGTTGTGAAATATTAAAGTTACCCTTAAATAGTGACCAGTGTTAGAAATTAGCACCAGCCATATTCTGGTAAAATATCTAAATGGCAGCTATATTTTCGTCACTCATCAGCCAAAAAACAACGGTAATCTATGGAGAAGCTAGTAGATTTTGAAATCCACCAGCCACGGCAGCAGAAGAAGAGAGACCAAAAAAGGTTAATTTCCCACCCTGATAGTGATCACCACTGCATGCTGCAGACAGTCCCTGAAGGTATATCTGGCATGGTTGAGTCTCACCTGTTAGAAAGTGGAAAGTCTCCGTCTCCTCTGCGGTGTTAGCCAGGTCGGTGTATGACAGAGAGTTGGTTTCCTTCCCGGTGCCGTTGTTGAATGAAGCCAGAGCCAAGTGCTGCACAAACAGCTCCTTCAACAACAAGAGACAAGTCAGTGAAGCAGAAAGTCACAGGAAGTGGAGCTCAAATGGAAACAGCAGCAGCTACATGCACAGTTACCCCAGAAGCTAACAGCGAGCTAACCCCTGTTAGCAGCAGCAGATTAATGAGCTGATAATTAGCAGTGAAGCGATGGTTTAGCATTAATGCAGCTTACTGTCGCCTTGGTGGTGAGGAAGAGAGCGTCCTGGTTGATGCTGGACACGTCGGGGGAGCTCTTCATTATCAACCTCACTCTGGATATTGGGAGCGAGATGATTTTTTTGTTGGCTGACGTTTGGTCGTCTTTGTCGGGGGTATTTTGAGACATCTTCATGAGGACACGGCGCGAGACAGGCGGAACTTCAAGTATTGTTTTGAACCGTGACGTATTTCTTCTTCTTCTTTACATTAACGGTAGCTGGCAGCCGTTACACTGGATTACCGCCACCTGCTGGAGTGGAGTCCCTTATTATTGAGAATTATTGTCTTTGTCACTAAAAAATGTCCAGATATTACCATTATTATCATAATTATCATGGGCAAGCTATGAAAATATACGTATTGGTAGAACTAATATATTAAAAGTGAAAATATTATGTAATTATTTGATAATTTTACGGTCTTGCTCAGTGATGGATGAAGTCCCTGAGGGCCACACTTGAGTAAAAGTACCTATTAAATTACTTTCATAGTATCAGAATATTACCTGAGTAAATTTCTCAATGTATCTGATATTTACTGTACTTACGTATCAAGTGTTTTTATGATATTAAATGTACTTAAGTAATAGTAAAAGTACAAGTAAATGCTGCTGCTAAAAAAGCAAGCAGTCAGAACTTATTTCTTTATAAACTGTAACGTTATACTACCTTAAAATTGGAGCGTACATTACACTTGATTAAAAATTTTGTTTTTTCTTCACAACTTAAAGGATTTAAAAAACAAAATCCAGTTTTCCTTTCCTCAAACTCCTTCATTCGTCCATCTATCCCTTCCTCCCTCCTTCCTTACTTCCCTATTTTGTTGCCTATAATATGATAATAACACAAACTCTGACATTGTTGTTTGTGTATTTGTTTTTTAGTTCTTGCCCTCTTTGTGGGATCAATAAAGGTGTATCTTATCTTATCTTATTTTGTGTTTCATTTTTGTTGTCAATGTACACTCACCAGCCACTTTATTAGGTACACCGAGCTAGAACCAGGTTGGACTCCCTTTTGCCAACAGTGCTGCCTTAATTCTTGGTGGCACTGATTCAACAAGGTGCTGGAAACATTCCTCAGAGATTCTGGTCCATATTGACATGATAGCATCACACAGTTGCTGCAGATTTGTCGGCTGCACATCCATGATGTGAATCTCCAGTTCCACCACATCCCAAAGGTGCTCTATTGGATTGAGATCTGGTGACTGTGGAGGCCATTGGAGTACAGTGAATTCATTGTCATGTTCAAGAAACCAATTTGAGATGATTTGAGCTTTGTGATGTGGTGCGTTATCCTGCTGGAAGTAGCCATCAGAAGATGGGTACACTGTGGTCATAAAGGGATGGACACAGTCAGCAACAATACCCAGGTAGGCTGTGGTGTTTAAATGATGCTCAGTTGGTACTAAGGGGCCCAAAGTGTGCCAAGAAAATATCCCCCACACCATTACACCACCATCACCAGCCTGAACCGTTGATACAAGGCATGATGGATCCATGCTTTCATGTTGTTTATGCCAAATTCTGACCCTACCATCTGAATGTTGCAGCAGAAATCCAGACTCATCAGACCAGGCAACATTTCTCCAATCTTCTGTTGTCCAGTTTTGGTGAGCCTGTGTGAACTGTAGCCTCAGTTTCCTGTTGTTAGCTGACAGGAGTGGCACCTGATGTGGTCTTCTGCTGCTGTAGCCCATCTGCTTCAAGGTTCAACGTGTTGTTGGTTCAGAGTTGGTCTTCTGCAGACCTTGGTTGTAACCAGTGGTTCTTTGAGTTACTGTTGCCTTTCTATCATCTTGAACCAGTCTGGCCATTCTCCTCTGACCTCTGGCATCAACAAGGCATTTTCACCCAGAGAACTGCTGCTCACTGGGTATTTCCTCTTTTTGGGACCATCCTCTGTAAACCCTAGAGATGGTTGTGCGTGAAAATCCCAGTAGATCAGTTTCTGAAATACTCAGACCAGCCTGTCTGGCACCAACAACCATGCCACGTTCAAAGTCACATAAATCACCTTCCTTCCCCATCCTAAAGCTTGGTTTGAACTTCAGCAGGTCGTCTTGAACATGTCTACATGCCTAAATTCATTGTGTTGCTGCCACGTGATTATTCTGTAAATAAACTTGTGCATGAAATCAGGCTTGGGGATTAATATTCATATTGTCTTCTTCTTCTTTTTCTTCTTCTTCTTCTTCTTATTATTATTATTATTTCTTTTGTGACCAAAATTTGTATTTTCTTTTAGTTTTATATTCTTTTTTTATTTTATTTATGCTAAACAGTAAACTCAGCTAAGTACACAGGTTCAGTTCTGCGCGCTCTCCTCCAGGCCAGAGGTGGCGCTCTACTTAGGCGATCTCAAACCACAGAAGAAGAGCTGATGTTAAAAGAGGCGAAGAAGAAACAGCGGCGCTAGCAATGGCGGTGATTTGGCTGCAAGTATAAACAATCCAGCTCACATTTTGATGCTGTCTTGAATACCGTAGTTATTCTAATGTCATAGCCAGTCGTTTATGGTCGTCTGTCGCACAAAGGAAATATATTTCTCTGTGTTTCTGTCATTTGTTGGAGTGACAGCAGTGTGTTATTACAGTTAGCAGGAGCTGAACGGACAGCCATCATCTCATTGTTGAGCACTAACATTTCTTTGTACCCGGGCATCGTTTTCTGACCCTTAACAATGCCGCTGGGTTTGAAACCATGCTGTGCTGTGTGCAAAACTAACTCTTCCTCGATGTGGAAGAAAGGAAACCAGGGGGAGATCCTCTGCAACAACTGCACAGGGAAGAGCAGCAGCGGCGGAGCATCAGGACCCTCCATGTCCTCCAACACTCAGCCCAGCAATGGCGGGGGGAAGCAGGTTAGTAATTGTGTGTAAATGTGCCTTTCATATGGTGTGGCTCTCATGTATTCATATTGTTATTTTCAAGGGGATCCCAACTGTAAAATAAAGTCTACATACTGGTGTTTACAGCTGTAGATTTAAAGAAGTAACTCCTGAGGCTGCACAACAACATAGCGGACATAGTGATTATAATGAATCTCAGAGCGGCCCCTGGTGACTGCTAGGATATGAGGATGTTTTCTTCAGTTGCCATGTTAGCAAGACCATTGTCTGTGTCTGTAGATATTCAACAACAATCAGGGTAGATTGAAGGGCCACAACAAGTATTCAGAAAGTATCATCAACAGAAAGTATCTACCTTAACGGCTGCTGACAGTTAAAAAGGAATTAATCAGGGAAAATGCAAGACATTGGCTTTTTACAGCTTTACAAATGGGATGTTGTGCTGCCCTTTTCTGATTATAGGACTGTATACAGGATGTCTTTTTGCTTTGGTCAAATGGGTCAATAAGAGCAAGCACTTGGAAGGTCGTCACCTTAAGCTCTGTGACATTGTGATCGACATTTCTTTCTTTTGGGTGGGTAAATTGAGTTGTAGTGCAGTTTAGAGGAATACTTAGTCCACAAAATGACCATTTGTAAAAAGTTAGTCATGCCGTATTACTTTAAATTCATGAAGAAAATTGTTTTTCTCTCATGCCACCATGGAAAAACGACAAACATATTGATTTATAGACTAATTGGGGACCACTAACAACAGCAAAAGTATATCAAAACATCACTTTACAAACTCACACAACTGCAGTATAAATCAAGTTTCATTTATCCAGTCGTGTGCTCAGTGCTTCCCAAACACATGGATTTTAGCTATGAAACCTTAGTACTGGAGTCCGACTTTGTTCCAATAATAGTTCAGGTGTAAAAGCTAAAATGCATGTGTTTTGGGAGTACTGAGCAAAAATCAAAAAACAAACTTCCCCACACAAATTAAAGATAGCACTGCATGACTGATTTATTCACAAATTTTTTTTTTTTTTTGTGTGAACTGTTCCTTTAAATACTTGGTATGTGTTGCTCTTAGTCTAAACAGGAGATCCACAGGAGGTCGGCACGACTGAGAAGCACCAAGTACAAAGCTCCTGCATCTGAAAAGAAGGTGTCAACAAAAGGAAAGGGGAGAAGACACATATTCAAACTCAAAAATGTAAGTTGGAGATCAGCTGCTTTAGTTACTCTCTTGTTATTGTGCTGTACCGTGAATTTATGTATTCAACCTCTGTGTGATCTCTTTCTTCAGCCAATTAAAGCACCTGAATCAGTCGCAACAATCATCACGTCAGAATCAGTATTTTATAAGGTATGGTGTTTTTTCTTACCAAGTAAGTCTCGTGTTTCTGCTCAGTATCAGGAATAATCATCGTCTCATCTACCCAGTTTTCATCTGAAAACATTTCCCGATGTTTTTCATCATCTCATTGCAGCTTTAACTATTATTGTTTTAGTGAGAGAAGGAGCCAGACCGTTGTCGTCCTCAGTGTTTATATTTGTGTCTTCAGGGCGTATACTACCAGACAGGAGATGTGATCAGAGTAACAGATGAGGAAGACGGGAAGTCGTACTATGCTCAGATCCGAGGCTTCGTCCAGGACCAGTACTGTGAAAAGAGTGCTGCACTGACCTGGTTGATCCCCACACAGGCCAGCCCAAAGGACCTGTTTGATCCTGGGACGTACATCGTTGGTGAGCAGTGAGAAATTAACAGTTTAACATTTTTTTTAGGTCCTTTATGTGACAAGTTGATAACTGTCTGTTTTGTATTAGGGCCAGAGGAGGATCTGCCCAGAAAGATGGAGTTCCTGGAGTTTGTGTGTCACGCCCCCTCTGAATATTTCAAGTCCCGGAGCTCTCCGTTCCCCACCATCCCTATCCGACCAGAAAAAGGCTACATCTGGACCCACATAGGACCCACACCAGCCCTCACTGTCAAAGAGTCTGTCAGTGGCAGCAGTTAACACAACTGTGATATGGACTGAGTCTGTTGCTGTTAAACAGACATATGTACATTTATGTAATATAATGATAACACAAAATGGTTAACCAGTCATTACTTCAGATTGAAGCCAAGTTATTAATTGATATAAAGGAAACCTTGTGTACCGACATAATTTCAAACAAGTTGTTTAAATGTTACTTTTGTATTTCGTTATAAACAAAAAAGCTCTTTTCCACCTTCTCTTTTGTCTGTGATTGTTTAAGAAAATGATATGTATTCATTTATTAAGTTGCTGTGGGGGTAACAGACTAACGTGACTTTTTTTTTTTTTTTTTTTTTTTACACTGTTATCCCCCTTTTGTTTTACTTTACCGGTTGTGAATTAAGCTGTATAAAAATTAATTATGGCAACATTTATATGTTTGCAATGTTAAGGTTATAGAGAGTGAAGAAGTGCAATTGTCACAAGTGTTTAAAGCACACGCGATACTGCAGTACACAGCAGATCTGATGTATATCTTGTTCCAGAATCCTCTTAATATTTAACTAATTTTCAGCTGAGTTTAGTGATGATGCCCTGCAGTGGTGTCTGTGTTCCTCAAACACTGAAATGATAGGTCTGCAGTAAGGGAAAAACAAAACTGATGGTAAAACATCTTTGTCACTTAAATACAGCATTAGGATCTCACAGATTATAGTTAAAATTTAATTTAAATCATGGACACCCCTACAGTACTGACAAACAATATTCATAAGTGATATGTGCGGAGTGGGCAAGGGCGTGTGTGATGATGGATGAGCTCAGACAGGTAGGGTGGGGCCTGGTCATTGAGAGCTTTGTACACTGCCTGGCCAAAAAAAAAGTCGCCACCCGGATTTAACTAAGCAAATAGGTACGAGCCTCCTATTGGATAATTACTGCATGGGCAATTATCTTTCAGCTGGCAACAAGTTATTTAACCCCAACTGGTGCAATGAGTTGCTTCTCATTTCCTAAACAACCATGTCGAAAGACACATCCCGTGGTCGTGGAAAAGATGTTAGTCTGTTTGAGAAGGGTCAAATCATTGGCATGCATCAAGCAGAGAAAACATTAAGGAGATTGCAGAAACTACTAAAATTGGGTTAAGAACTGTCCAACGCATTATTAAAAACTGGAAGGATAGTGGGGACCCATCGTCTTCGAGGAAGAAATGTGGCCGGAAAAAAATCCTCAATGATCGTGATCGGCAATCACTTAAACGTTTGGTGAGATCAAATCGAAGAAAAACAACAGTAGAACTCAGGGCTATGTTTAATAGTGAAAGTAAGAGCATTTCCACACGCACAATGCGAAGGGAACTCAAGGGATTGGGACTGAACAGCTGTGTAGCCTTAAGAAAAACACTAATCAGTGAGGCTAACCGGAAAAAAAGGCTTCAATTTGCTAGGGAGCATAAAGATTGGACTCTGGAGCAATGGAAGAAGGTCATGTGGTCTGATGAGTCCAGATTTACCCTGTTCCAGAGTGATGGGCGCATCAGGGTAAGAAGAGAGGCAGATGAAGTGATGCACCCATCATGCCTAGTGCCTACTGTACAAGCCTGTGGGGGCAGTGTTATGATCTGGGGTTGCTGCAGTTGGTCAGGTCTAGGTTCAGCAACAGTATGTGCTCAAAGAATGAGGTCAGCTGACTACCTGAATATACTGAATGACCAGGTTATTCCATCAATGGATTTTTTCTTCCCTGATGGCACGGGCATATTCCAAGATGACAATGCCAGGATTCATCGGGCTCAAATTGTGAAAGACTGGTTCAGGGAGCATGAGACATCATTTTCACACATGGATTGGCCACCACAGAGTCCAGACCTTAACCCCATTGAGAATCTTTGGGATGTGCTGGAGAAGGCTTTGCGCAGCGGTCAGACTCTACCATCATCAATGCAAGATCTTGGTGAAAAATTAATGTAACACTGGATGGAAATAAATCTTGTGACATTGCAGAAGCTTATGGAAACAATGCCACAGCGAATGCGTGCCGTAATCAAAGCTAAAGGCAGTCCAACGAAATATTAGAGTGTATGACCTTTTTTTTTGGTGGTGACTTTTTTTTTGGCCAGGCAGTGTATGTTAAGAGGATTTTGAAGTGGCTTGAAAATAGCCTTCCAAGACCCTGTGTCCACATATGAGGACATCACATTTTGGGTTTACTTGACCTTCATTGACTTAATTCAGACATGTTGTCCTCGATCATGGACACTTTTTTGTGCCATCTATTAAGTAGTAGTGGTAGTAAGGGCACAATACACTAATCCATGTAAAAACAAGATGGCAGTAACAGTAACAAGCAAAGACACTGTTAATTAGGAAGTACTCGTCTGAAGACATTGGGACATCATTATCGTCTCATTTGAGAACTGCTGGATTTAATTGTTGTCTTGTTTGAGGACGTTGGGACTTAATGATCATTGACAATGTTTTGCTTTTTTATACTTACCAGGTCCTACTGATCCCAAATAGTTAGTATAAATTAAAAATGCATACCAAACAAAAGGTAGGGTCTCAGGAGGATATAATAGCTGTAATAAGTAAGGGGAACCCCCACCTAATGGTGACAATATCTGGCTCCGCCCCTGAAGACTGATCAAGCTGTGTAACTAACTGTACACACAAAATAAATTATTAATAAATTACATATTATAGCATCATAACAAAACTAAAACTCTACACATGTACAACACAAGCTATTCTACATATTCAAAGTTAAGTCATAGGTGTCACTCCAGGCTGTCTCCCATCTGTCAAACTGAATTGAACCGAAGGAGGAAGTGCGCGACAGTAAACTCTCTGCTCTGCCTGTATACTCTTTGATACCTCGGACAAACTTCTAAGCTTCACTTCGTCTGTGTGCGAATATCTGCGATACACTGCCGGTGCTCTTCTCTTATAAATGTCATATCTATCTTCACCCTCATGGACTGGAAATTATAAACTTTTCTTGACCAGCTGAACAGGCAGGAGTATGGGCAAATTCCAGTCCAAACTTGGTGAGATATTTAACTATATCATATATATTTTGTCTTTAAAATGGGACCGCTTCTGACTTATATTCTCTTTCCTCTCATTATTTGGACAGCTTCGAGACGTAGACAGAGTCCTGAAGGTGAGACAGTCAGGACAGACACTGTGCACACTACCGAAACTACTTTTTACATGTGTTTGCATGTGTTCACATTTATTCTCATGTTCTGCAGGTGGTAGTTTGGCTTCCAATGTGCTGACCTGTCAGAGAGAGCTGGAGAGCATCCACAAAACCAAACTGACAGAGGTAGAACATTATTTCTTTATAATGTATGCTTGTTTTGGTCACATAATTTAGTAATTGTGCTATATTTAAATGGACAAACTGAGTGCACCCACATCATATATTATACAGAAACAGATCCCATGATGCTTACTTTGGTTTCCTTTGACTGTATAATGGTCTGTTATTGATAGATTACCAGATAGGCTTTGGATGAAAACCACATGATGCTGGCCACATGATGACCGCAGCCTAATTTTAGAGATTTAACTGATAATATGGTTGATAATGTAGTTAATTTAGACTGTGCCGAACATTATGTAGGGTTTTGGGGGAAGTTTTTCTTGTATCCGAGTCAAGACGATGTCACATAAATAATCCCCTTGAGGCATATTTGTGATTTACTACATTAATAAAAATGATTGGATTTTGAATTGATAATATCTAACAGCAAATAAGTGTTTAAGGGCAGATTTCTCCTCCAGAGCATTTTCTTAAATGCAAATGAGTTGTATATTAAGTCTTTGAAAGTCTGTTCCCATACTGAAGGAAAAAGCAATAAAAACATTCCCAGCCTCCTCAAACTGGTTTATTGCAGTGCCAGCAGCCTAATCGCAGCTAAGCCAGTTTTGGGATAAACAGTATTTGCTCACATCACATCCAGGAGACATTAAAGGTGTTTGGAGGTAGTCATATATTTATTCTTCCGCCCTTTCCCCCTCCATCTCTATAAAGAGACTTCCAAGTCTGTGAAGTGCAACACAGCCACCCCCTCCAAAACAGCAAGGTCTTTATACCAGCCTGAAAAAAAAAGTCTCCACATCTGGTACTGCTTTCCTTCTCCAGTCAGACAGACTGTGAGAGAGGGGGGGAGAGGAAAAAGATGTGGGGAGGGTGTTTGATTGCGTAAATGGCATCACATGTAGGCTGTTAGTCCTAATGAAGCAGTCACGTTTGGATACTAAGAGGAGAAATTCACCCCTTCGTTATGCTCTAATTAAGGAAGACTGTAAAAGCTGTACTCTCCTGTTAACGTTAAACACACTGATTTCATCTGTGTGACCAGATTTTGTGGTGAAAGTTAATCATAGATGTTTCATGTGCTGCCAGAGATCACAGGGTGGCTTGAAGGAACAGTTAGAAATTAAGACGTGAAATGTGATGATAAACTAACAACACGCCATTTTCACTTCTCTTCAGTGTGTTTGATCTGTAAGCGCAAGTGCTGAGGTCATGAGATGTGGTGTGAGCTGTCACCAGGATTGTTGTTTTAAGGGTTCATAAAGTGTTGTATGAAAGTTCTGGGAAGTTTGGAAAAAGATGTCGACTCTGCCAAGTTGTGTAAAAGGTTGTGGTGATAGTTTCTGTGCATGTTAATGGCAGACAGCCTCCTGTGATTAGATTTTCCAGCCTAATGTATTTTGACACTCTGGGACACCACCGCTGTAAGAGACATATTGTTTAATCAGATTTTGGTCTTACAAGCATGGAACAGGCCGAGCAGGCACAGGCCCAGGAGCCCAAAGTGTCAGAGGCCTTCATCTGCAAAATCATACTCAAATTAATACGCACTGACCAGAAAGAGACTCAAAACCACCACAGAGACATGCATGACAACAAAAAAGGAGGCAAAACCCCCACAAAGTATATGTATAGAGGTGGTGGGGGCTTTTGCATATCTGTGCCCAGGGGCCTGTAGTCTCGTAACCCACCCATGCTAACATGAACCATCTTTTTTCATCTTGCGCGCATAAAGTCTTGGCCATAACTTTACATTTAACAAGTTTTCTGCAGAGAGTTTCTCTGACTTTTAAAACTGACACCTTAAAAACTATCCCAAACATAAATATTAGGGGTGTAAGGATCCATCGATCTGGATTTTTATATCGATTTAATGATCAACAATCCAATATCATTGACGCAAAGAAAAAATATTGATACATATTCATTCATTCATTTTCTGTAACCGCTTATCCTATTGGATATTCAGCACTTGGACTCAACAATGAACTGATTGGTTTTTGGTGGTCATAGGACAAAGGCCACAGTCACTGTGACCTTGTCTGTCTCATTCTCATGAAAGCGATATCTCAAGAATGTCATGAGGGAATTTCTGTAGATTTGACTAAATTTGTCCATCTGGATTGAAGAATAAAGTGATTAGAATTTGTGGTTGAAGGTCAAAGGTCAAGGTCAGTTTGAGTGCACAAAATAAGTTTTTTGGCCATATTCAAGAATTTGTTGGCTAATTATGATAAAACTTCACACAAGTAATGAAACTGATGACATTTTACATCCAAAAGGTCAAAGGTCAGCCTCACTGTGACATCATAATGTTCTGCATAAAACACTTTTCTGGCCGTTACTCAACGTCATAACTGCCTGGGGGAAGATGTGGGAAGCATCCGTGTTTTCACAGACATGGATGAACTGTAAGAGACACTTGACTGGTGTGCCGAGGCATATGACCGTGGGGCGGTAATTTTAGTTTGTGTATTCTTAACGATAACCAGTGAGACATGAAATGTGCTCCTCCAGCTATACGTGAAAACTGCAGACACACAGACCCATTAACAGAATATTTACCTGTCAAATATCAGTGACTCCCGCTCAGGTGCGGACAGCATCACCGTCTGAAGGAACACAAACCTGTTTGCTTTGATATGATCTCTGGATTGCATGTGTCTGAGTGTATGTGTGTGCACAGGAGGCTGACTCACAGCGTAAGTTTTCTTAAACACTATGTAAATATTATAACATCCAAGAGCAAACATCATGAGCAGGGTTTTAATCTTTTCATGCGTCCACCTCATATTGTCTGATATAACTAATGCCCAGGAGTGGTAACTCTGACTTGTACTGTTCCATTTGTTATTTTGTTTGCACTGGAGTCCACCCATCAGTCCAGCTCACAACATTTTCACCAGTGTTTTTCTGTCTTGAGTGTGCACGTGTTACTTTATAGTGTTTAAAGATTTTTTTGGTTATATGTGGGATAAAATCAATAATTTCTTGTTGGTGTGATGAAAGACTTCTTTATGACTCTGGGCTTTTGACTGGTGAAGTTTTTCTGTGAAGATGTCTCATAATTCATACACCTTTAATGGACACTTTAAAAATGACGACCCCTCAACCGTTACATGATATTAGACCTATTTTGTATCACGTTTTTGATATGTTTCTGCAAATAAAAACCAAAGTCACTGCAGCTTTCTTTTTCCATGTCTGTTTTTATTAGGTTTTTTTTTAAGTTATAAAAGATACAATTTGATATACATTTCAATACAATCCCACCCCACAAACAACCCCACTCCACTGCACCACCATGAGTCCACATTAAAGCACAGGTTCAATAATAAATGTACATGATTTAAAAAAAAAAAAAAAAAGAAAATGCACACACACCTACACAAAAATCTGCAAATCAAGTTAACAAAACAAAAACATACACAAATAAAAATAAAAGGATAGTAAAAAGAAGAAGGGGTTATATCTATACATTTAAAATGTCTGAGGCATCTATCTTTTCAACATGATCTAGCACTGGTTGCCATATAGCATAGAAGTTGAGGGCACAGCCTCTTGTGGCATAGCGGATTTTTTCTAAAGTCAGATGGTGCAGAAGATCCCTGATCCATTGATTGAAGGTTGAAGGAGATTTGTCTTTCCATTTAAGCAATATGAGTCTTCTAGCCAGTAGCATAGCAAAGGCCATCATGTTTTTGCCATGTCGAGTGGGCATAAATCCTGCGGTGCTACACCAAATATTGCTATTATGGCAAGAGGTTCTATGGGTATTCCTAGCAGGTCAGAAAAGAATTTGAATATAGGTTGCCAAAACTCTGTTAATTTTGGGCAAAACCAGAACATATGTGATAAAGTAGCTGTTGCTGTTCCACAGCAGTCACAGTTAGGGTCAATATTTGGTGTTATCTTTGCCAATCTCACTTTAGACCAATGTAACCTATGTACAATCTAGAACTGTATTACCTTATGTCTTAAGCAAACTGAAGATGAATGTATCCTATCTAATGTGGAGTCCCATATATCCTCAGTAAGTTCGATGCCTAATTCTTCTTCCCATTGGCTTTTGAAACGTGTCAAAGGTTCTAAGTTGTGAGAATTGAGTGACATGTAGATTTTTCCAATAAGCCCTTTATGGTCGGAGCTAAACTGTAAAAGAGAATCAAGGAGAGAGCTGGTGGGTATCGATGGAAATTGAGCTGATTGTGAGGATACAAAGTTGCGAAGTTGCAGATACTTGAAGAAGTGTGAGTTGGGGATTTCATATTTTAATCTCAGCTGCTCAAATGATGCAAAATTATTATCAACATAGAGGTCTTTTAAAGTAGCTAATCCATTCCTGGTCCAGATATCAAAGGACCCGTCTATAATGGAAGGTTTGAACATATTATTTCTTGATATAGGGGCGTTAATTAACATGCTATTGAGTGAAAATGCTCGTCTGAACTGTGCCCAAACCTTCAAAGAGTGTTTAACAACTGGGTTTATAGAATATCTGGATATAGGTTCTGGTAATGGGAGCTTGGAGCAAAGTAAAGCATGTAAAGAGGCAGGTCCACATGACAACTTTTCTAACTGTAACCATTTTGGGCCTCAATCTTGTGGTGGGTTAAGCCAATGTAACATAGCGCGTATGTTAGCCGACCAGTAATAATACTGAAAGTTGGGTAGGGATAATCCTCCATGTTTACGGTGTCGCTGTAAGATAGTCTTTCGTATTCGTGGAATTTTTTTATTCCAGATGAATGAAGATAACAATTTATCAATAAGCAAAAAGAAGGATTTCGTCAAAAAGATAGGAATACACTGCACTGCAGTTTTTTTCCATTAATATGAGAGCTGGTGTACAGACATCATCAGAGCATCATCTCTTCATGTTGTATTACCGACAGCGACACTTCCTCTCCAGGTATTGAGTTATCAGAAAGGCTGTTAGACATTCTTGCTGAGACAAAGGCAGCTACTGTTCACGCTAACACTTGAAGCTTTGTGATATCAGGACGGGTGCACGGTTGGGTGACTTATAAAGAGGGAGCACAACAGAATACTGCATTCTATCAGGCACACACCTTTCTGCTACCTGCACCATCTCTTCTACTTTGACTTGCAATCAAACCCAGCATCAAAGCTTCACAGCAGGTGGAGCATGGCGGGCAGAGCGAGGAGGGTGTGTCGTGAATGTGGGTGTAAAAAGTGCCTGCACATCTTATCACTGCTTTTGTTGCTAATCTGCATCTGCCTGAGCATCAGTGTGACGTTGGTGATGGATCAGCGTGTTGAGAGATAAGAAGAGTCTTGTTTGAGCTTCAGTTGTCTCTTTCTTTGCAGTGCAGAGCGGTTTCTACCTGAGAGAAGAGTGTACGATCAGATAATCACAGACAAGGATATGAATCTTAAAGGGACAGTCCACCCTAAAATCAAAAAATGATCTTTTTCCTCTTACCAGTAGTGCTATTTATCAGTCTAGATTGTTTTGGTGTGAGTTGCCGAATGTTAGAGATATCAGCCGTAGAGATATCTGCCTTTTCTTTAATATAATGGAACTAGATGGAACTCAGTTTGTGGTGCTCAAAGAGCCCAAAAAAAAGAAAACTGAGAAACTTAACAGCAATGTCTCTTTCCAGAAATCATAACCCGGTTACTCAAAATAATCCACAGACCTTGTTGTGAGCAGTTTCATGTAAGAACTATTTTCTCTCCACCAAACAACATGTGCCAATCATGTCACCATGCAGAAGGGAGCGTGAATCTATAGGTGTAGATTTCAGGGGGGACGCAGGAGACACGTCTTCATCAATATTTAGAAAATGTACATTTGCCTCCCCCAATAAAAACATGAATGTAGTAGAGGACTTTTATTTTGACAAAATTAAGGACATTTTCAACATAAACCGCTGCAGAAAAGGCACAAAATGGTGCATGAAAAGTCACCAGAATGCAGAAAATTAAGTCTTTGATGCTCAAAAATTTCTGGTGAGGGAACCCCAACTCCCTGTTTCATATGTGCCCCCCACCCCCCCCAATATTGAATTAAATCTTATGCCCTAGTGTGCATTTACTCATAGACAAGAGGGTTGTGTACATGACTTTGTGAGACGTAAACATTAATGGCATCCTTCTTGGCGTAGCTATACAAGGAAGCATGCATCTACTGCTAGCTCATTGATGAGTAGATGCACGCTTCCTTCTGTGCAGTGATATGGTTGGTGGGTGTAGTTCAGTAGAAAGAAAATAGTTCCCACATGAAAGTGCTCACAACAAGGTCTGTGGATTATCTTGAGTAACCAGGTCATTATTTCTAGGAAGACACATTACTGTTGAGTTTTTCAAATGTATTTCTTTGGCTCTTTGAGCACCACAGGCCGAGTGCCATCTAGTTCCAATATATAGAGAGAAGGCAGACATCTCTACGACCGATATCTTCAACACTCAACAGCCCACACCAAAACAATCTAGACTGATAAACAGCACTACAGGTAAGAGAAAAAAAATATGTATTTTCACTCACCAGTGGGATCAGGTTTTATATTTAACTAAAGCTTTTAAAATGATGGTGCAGGTTCGAATATTCACCCCTAAAACCTCAGTTTTCTTCTGTGCAGATTTTGCATCCTAGTGGCTGGAGTTTATTGTCTCTAGTAAATCTGGCTTCATGATTTTACGTTTAATGGTCGTATGAAACTTCAGGCACATGTCAGTTTCATATGAGGGGAAAGAAAGGGTCAAGATGTCAAGAGTTAAAAGAGGAGAGCCTGCAAGGAAATGACTGAACCACCTTCTCTCGGTCCATTGCTGCCTCACTCTTTCTTTCTTTCTCATTTCAGGAAAATTAAGAAAAATTCAATCACTGTGTCATCGGTTTAGATGTTTTGGAAATTTAACTTTCTTGACAGAAATGAAACAAGAGTCAATTACAGTTTTCGAGAAATACACAGAACCCACAGATGTTTAAGGGTTGTTCAGCGTTGCTCACATCTGCTAAATCGCTGCACTCATGGGACGTGAAAAGCACTTAATTGCTTCCTCTTTTCTTTCCATCTCCCTCTCTTTCATGTGTGCTCTCTGCTAATTTACTCTCTGTCACTTTTCTTTACAGAACTTGTACGTAGAATTGAGGGCGAACAAGTCTAACCGTAACTGCAACCTCCATGGTGAGTAGAGAATTGCGTCACTGCTGTATGACTTGCACATGCATCATACTGACTTTGCTCAGTTTTCATGTACTGTAAAGGACTTTACCGCAGGATTTTTGTGTAGATGTTGAACATTATTTTAGAGTTTTGCTTTAATAGGCCACCCCCACACTTCCCAGGTGAAAAGGAAATGGCAAAATTAAACACATCTGCTCTAGATTTGTGTGGGAAAGCTTCAGCCTTTGGATGTACAGCCTTCAGTTTCCTCTCTGCTGCCAAACATTCATTGAAAACAGAGCTCATAACAAGGAATACATTAATGACAAAGGCACAATTTGCTAGCACAATAATTATAGTTACCCTCAAACTGTGAGTCTACTGGATAACACAGTCCAGTTCTGTGTGTTGTTTAGTGCCTCTTCCACAAAAGAAGACACCTGATGGAGGTAACAGCGTCCACTTCCAGGTCCATAAACAGACAAAGACGAACAGCCGTGCTGGTGTGAGTGTAAACCTCCATATCTCTGCAACATTTGATTTTTGTCATTTCCAAACAACTTGAAGTACCAGATGGGAGGATTCTTGTGTATCAGGATAATTACAGCACTGATTACTGTGAGATGAAAAGTCTAAAAAGTCATGTATCTGATACTAATCAACTTTTTTTTTCAATCACACATTGTGGTTTTACCGGTTTTAAAGGCCCCGTGGGTCAACTCACACACCACGTCATTTACTGTAAACTTAAATTCTACCTACTAAACAGGACTGCAGTTAAACATTTATTATAGCTGTAATACGTCTTCCTGACAATATGTGCACATACAGGTCACAGAGTGTAACGCGCCGCCTGACGAGGACATGCAGCAGGAGTGGGTCTTCACACTGTACAACTTTGACAACAGTGGCAAAGTCACCAAAGACGTAGGTTTCTTTTGTGCATATTGTTTTAAGCTGTAGTTTGTAACTGTTATGAAAATAACTTTTTGTCATGTTTGCTGAAACTGTCACTGTATCCACACAGAAGTACTTGAGACAGATGATCTGGGAGAAAATCATATCATATTCTTTCTCCAAAATCGCTGACTCCACCTTTAAATGTTGTTTTTAGTAGCTTGTTCTGTACAGTGTGTGTGTGTGTCTGTGTGTATTCTGCAGGACATGTCCAGTCTGATACACTCCATGTATGAGGTCCTTGAGGGGTCAATAAAGCAGCCGTACAGTGACACCACACCCCTGAAGATAAAACTAGTTGTAACTCTATCAGCTGACCCAGAGAAGCTCTCAGAAATAGGTACAAAATTATTAGTATTATTTTTTTAAGATTTTTTTTTTGGGCATTTTAGCCTTTAATTGACAGGACAGCTTAAGCGTGAAGGGGGGAGAGAGAGAGGGAAGGACATGCAGCAAAGGGCCACAGGCTGGAGTCGAACCCGGGCCGCTATGGCAACAGCCTTGTACAGGGGGCACCTGCTCTACCACTAAGCCACTGACGCCCCACAAAATTATTTTTATTGATACTAAAAACATTAAAGACAGAGAGTTTCACAAGTTTATGCACAGTAGGATTTATCTTAAAACCAAACCACAGTCACTGCTGTGATGATAAAATCGCTTTCTCATTGAAAACAGCAGCAGAGAAGGAGCAGAGTGTGTCTCAGGAGGGAGGAACCTCAGTAAGACGACTTTATTGCGTGGATGAAAACATAGAGCGCAGAAACCACTACCTGGATCTAGCTGGCATTGAAAACTATACCTCCAAGTTTGACAATACAGGTAGAGTTTCTGCATAACACTCTTAAAATACACTCCTGTTATGAATTGTTAATTTTTTTTTGCTATGGAAATACATACATTTAAAGTTGTCTTTCTTCCTTTTTTCCAGAATCTCCCTCTCAGGAGCCCAGTCAGGGTGGTCACTCTGCTCTTAAGCACCACCCTGTGGTGATCAGAGAGAACTGCATCTCCCCTGACTCTCCCAGAGGCCTCTCGATCCCCCATTCCCTGAAAAGCAAGGCCATGTCAGTGGGGAGAGACAGGAATGGAGTAGAGGGAAAGTCCTGCAGGTTACATGGTCACCATCCTGCTTCATGGTGCCATCCTTCGCAGTCTCAGCCTGCTGCACACGGCGTCCCCCTGCAACGTGCTCACAGCAAGAGGCTCCGCTCCAGGGTGCAAGCTACTGCCTCGCCACTGAGACCCACACCAGGGGGAGATAGGGACATATATTCCAACCTTCAGCCATCCTGTAGGGCCCTGGCCTCTCCAGCCCGGAGACATGAGCACCATCACCACCACGAGCACCATCATCATCATCACCATCACTACCACCCTTCGTAAAAGCATTTTAAGCACATATAAGACAGGTGAGAAGAGCTGGTATAGACTATTGACCTGAAATGGGGTAGTTTTGGTGGTCAAACTCAGCAGGCCTTTGAATCACCTCATGATATCGGGAACGAAACCCTAAAAGATCACCTACACTAAATCCAGTAAGGCCAGTTACAAGTTTACTGAATGCTGCTTTTATAGACATGTACAATGACAGGTTCCTCTCAGGTAAATTGCCACTTAGCTTTTAAATTATTTAAATGCACATTTTGTAGAAATACATGTAGTTTGAACATAGTAAAATGGTGTAGAAATTAATATACAGTATGTTTTTAATTCTGACAGGCCTGGCCAAATATGTGTATCATTAAACACACATTTAGAGATTCAGTGTGTACGATTTAGGGGCATTTAGTGGCATCTAGTGGTGAGGATTGCAAATTGCAGCCGGCTGAAACATCTCCCGCTTAGAATTCCTTCAGTGGTCGTTGTTCAGGAGGTTTTTGTCTTGAGCTAATTATCTGCAGAGGTCTCTTCCTCTCCGAAACAAACAGAACTGGTGATTAAAACCAGTAAAAGCACTGAATAAAGCAGTTTACATTACAAACCAGTGTGTCTTCGATGTTGTTTGGCTCGTCACAATATTGGGCGGTACCCCAGCACCTGCTAATGTGTGCTTAGCTATTTTCTCTTATAACTTAAGACCCAGATGTTCAGGAGGTTTTTACTGTGAGCTGATTTATCAGCAGAGTTCTCCTCCTCTCCAAAACAAACAGACCTGGTGATAAAAATCAGCACTGACTAAAGCATTTCAGTGTTAAAAAACAGTAGTGTTCTAACGCTCTTGTCGTGGAGGGACTGCTTACTATGGTGGCCAATGCAAAAACAAGGCCCTATCTAGAGCCAGTGTTTGGTTTGTCCACTCTGAAACATGGCGTTGCAAAATGGCGATCTCTGTGGACAAGGACCCGCTCCCTATGCAGATGTAAACGGCTCATTCTAAGGTGCTGAAAAAACAATTTTTATTTTAAGGTGATTATACACTAAAGACATACTTAATATATCACATTTAATTTCTGCCAATATATCACCCTAAATCCTGCACACTGGACCTTTAATGACAAGTAATTTCTCAGTTGCTAGTTTGACAGAGATCATTAAAGACTGGAAAAGGTTTTAAACATCTAGTCCTATGTGCTTAAAATGGCAGTGAATAACTTCTTAGTTGATAGTTCATATTACAATAACTGTCACTCAAAGTCCACGCTTTGTTTACTTGTTTTCCTTTCAACACAACTCCTACTCAACTTTATCTATGTAGCACTTTTTCTTACCATCATGCAGCCCAAAATGTTTTTCATAGCAAAATTAAAACAATTGCATGAATATAATGTTAAAACAACAAACACCTGTTGTTTCTAATTGTAGTTTTCCACAGAAGTGGAATTAAACAGACACGTTGAAATATGTTCAGCACGGTGAGCTTAGCAGAATACAAACAACAGTAAATATCAGGTTGTTTTAGATGTTCTTAGATCTGGGAGAAAGCCATCATGGTAAATGCATGTCTCCGCCGACAGAAGCCTCAATAGACCATAATGCACCGTTACCATGTGACATGTAATTCGATGCTGACAAAAGCACTTTTCTGAGGCAGAAAAAGTAGATGCACCAAAATGCAAATACCAGCCCCTTATCACAAGCAGCCTTCTTGAATGCATGATTGCAAACTGATTATGTGTCTTTATCACAGATTTAATTGTTCCAGTATTGCTGTTCTGTTTCTGCTCTCATGACACTGTTTTCTTTGGTCCTTGCAGCTCTTGTGAGTAGTGTGTAAGGCCTCACAATGGGGTGTCGTGAATAGTGACAAGTTTCCGCATGGCATTCAGATGTTGTTCTTACTTATCTCTCTGGCAAAAGTTGCAAATACACACTGTGCCCGACGAAGGACGTGAGACAGCTGTTTCTAATAATAACCTCTACCCTCTCACCGACCACGCGACCCCTCGAGCCTCGCCACAGCAAGTGTAGTGCTAGACAAATGCACAACACTCAGACAGACAGCAACAGAGGAAATCAACAAAGCAGGAGCCAGGAGGAGGCCAGTGACAGTGACACGCAGAGCTGTTAGACTGCAGCTCTCATCAGAAACCCACAGACCTGTTGGTACCAAAAAAAGAAACAAAAACAGAAACATGAAGTCACTGCGATTCCTTGCTGCAGAGGGCTTCATCCACAGTGGTCCGAGTGCTTTGGAGAACCTCGGCTGTTTGTCTTTTAATCTCTTCCCACTTCTCTTCAAGGCCTGCTACCTCCATGAGCAGGCTGAGTTGCTGCATGCTCTGGTGCAGGCATGGCCTCTCCCTGTGCTCGACCTACAAAGACTCCTGGGAAACACAGTCGACTGTCAGACAGACTTAACCTCACGCACCTGCAGGCGTTGTCTGGAGGCGATTCTGACCGGCTTAAAGGTACTTAGAGTGTAATATGCCTCATCATGTTCATGTCATGCTTGTGTTTTAGTTGTATTTTTCTGTGCCATGTTTTTCTGTTCTTCTTGTGTTGACTTAAGCACATCTGATTTGTCTTGTTATTAGCGTACAAAGATCATAAAGTGTGACAGGCTGAACAGAGAATCACTTCAAAAGATTTTACAATCTTTCCCTCTTGTTTTCATAAGGATTATGTGCTGTCTCCTCCAAGAACCTACGCCAAGAGACTGCATATGGTGGACCTGACTGCCCTGAGGGACATCGAGCACCAGGCCTGCCCCTGCCAGTCCACCCTGGGTCGATGGGCAAGAACCCAGCTCCTGACCCAAATGTGCTACGACACCATGGTAGCCATGCAAGACAGCAACGTGTCCCCATCTGCCTTTGAAACATCTATTGACGTCCGTCTGAACGGCTTTGTCACAGGCCGCAACTACGAGCTGGTGGCTCAGGCCTTCCTCCTCCTCTGCTACTGTCCGCTGAAGCCTCGTTTTGTTGGTTTCCGGGCAGATTCCCTCGCTCTAAAGCAGCTGTTTTATGTTCTTCGCCTGGCAGAACCTGAGAGTATTTCAAAGTTGGAGGTAGTCCACAATGTTCACCTGGAGGCCCCGCACTTAGAGGTGCTGCTGTCCAAGGTGGAATTCCCCAAATTACAGTCTTTGACCCTGCCGACTGGGGCACTGGACGTGAGGAGGTTGGGCTCTGAAAGTGATGATGTGCTGTCCGTCATCGGCAACCTGCTGGCACAAATGACCTGCCTGACTGAGCTCTATGTTGGTTTCTCCACGTTAACTGGACACCTTCGCAGATTGCTTAGGTGAGTAAATGGACAGATGGAGGGATGAAGAAAAACAACAAGATGTCCTTGTTGGTATAGTTTGGACGGCTCTGATGGTTGTGTCACATGCACTTTGCAACATCAAGAGCTTTAATATAGCTCACAATAATCACCTTTAACCAGGGCCACAGCACATTCCAGCTTTGCGGCTCTTGCTCAGCGATGGGAGGTATTTTGTTGTTAAAATTGCTGACATGATGCCAGAGTGAGGACAGACAGCTGCACCTGGCCACAGCTGCAGGTTAGCCAGGAACCTGCTGGAAGAACTTCACAGTTCAGATGGAAATAGAACAGAAGCCCAAACAACTAGAGCTGTCAATCAAAGTCTGACATGTAACTTTGTATGTATTTCTGGCACCTATCTGATGTGACAAACCCTTCCTGAAGACAGACAAACCATAATATTAATGATAAAATTGAGACCCAGTAATGTCTCGTAGCACTGACCTTTCAGCACCAATTAATTTTTTTCACCTCTCTTTTCTCTTCCCAGTCCTCTCAACACTCCCCTGCAGTGCTTGGAGTTGGCCAATTGTGGCCTGAACCGTCTGGACATGACGTACCTGTCCAACAGCCTCCACTGTGAGTTCTTGGTCCGCCTAGACATCAGCGGACACGACATCTTCGGCACTTTCTCCACTTGTTTCCAGAAGCTGCTCAGCCGCTGCTCAGCCACACTGGTCAGCCTGGCCCTCGAAGAGTGTAACATAGAGGATGAGCACATGGACGCCTTCACTGATGCTCTGGCTTGCTGTCAGGGGCTGGAGGAGCTCAAACTCCTGGGAAACCCTCTGACCTCTGCAGCCCTGCGGAGATTATTCTCCATGCTGTCTGCAGGCTTTCCTAAGTTCAAATACATCGAGGTTCCAGTTCCCCGCGAGTGCTACTCTGAGGATGTCACGTATCCTCTAGGTGACTCGGACCTACTGTTGTACAACAAGGAGCTGTTTCAGGAGGTCAGGGACCAGCTGATGGGGATCCTAGAGGGAGCTGGAAGAGGGAGTGTGGAGGTGTGCACCCCTCTCATGGGGGCCTATGACCCTGACATAAATGAGACCAGCAATGAGCTGGGAGTGTCCATGTTAAAATCTTTTAACTGTGTCATTGGGAACTTTATAGGTAGTATTACTGAGGTGGACAACAGGAGATCACAGGCTCAGAAAGATAATTAGTGGGTTTGCATGTGGAAAGATGGGAGTTAAAACAGACTGACATAAAAGGGCTATGAATTCAGATTGTATACATGAATGTAGACTTTTGTATAAAGCAGATCTGAATCTTCACACCTTACAGAAATGGTAATGCTTTGTTGACAGTTTCTTTTCAAAGCCATGTTCCAAGGCCATGCTGGCTTTATGTATTTTAATGTAGCGCTAGTACAGATAGCTAGCATACTGACATCACTGTTCTCTGCATGGCTGAAGTCCGACACTTTGAAAATAGATCTAGTATACTAGCTGCAGGACGTTTGTGTAAAATGAGTGCTTAAGAGTTTTTATATAGTTCTGTCTGTATTTTTTTTTTTTTATTTATAACAATCGCACATACTCAAGACCTTTTTGTTTTGGTTTGGGTTTCATTTATTTATTTACTTTTTACAAATTTAGTGTTTTCTATTCTTTGCCACTCTGCAGGACAAGGCTGTTAAGCAGAGTGAATGTAGCATGTCTTCAGATCTTCACTGTGTCCTCACCTTGTGAGATTTTTTTTAAAAGTTTATATCTTGAATAATAATCTAAACTTTAAAAAAAATCATTGACATATTGGCCTACTGTATTATTTTTCCCCCCCAAAGTTTACTCACACTCCTTAAAATCAAGGCCTCACAACCCTCCATGGAGTTTTGGCAACCCCTTGTGGGCACTGGGACCTCCAGGTTGGGAGCCACTGATTTTCAATTTCTATTTATCATACTAAGTAAGTCTTTTGCGTAAATGGGATGTACAGGAAATTCATTCCTGATGAGATATTGTCTCAACAGTACTTCTCTCAGTCTGTAAGTCACACAGATGCAGTGCATGTAGATGTAGCTACCGTGGTTGTTAAGGTAGATACTTAAAGTTTGCCTAAGATATTTTCTTCCCTGAATCTACTGTACATGTTCTTATGTCTATATTCTGGTTTAAATTATGTTCATAACTGGATTTGTAAATGTAAATACCAGCACTCTTTTTAAACATGGGACAGATTCAGATTCATTAAGTATACCTGTAACCATTTCCTTTTGTCATACCAATAAATCAGCTTTCTTATAATCATTACATTAAAAAATGACACTGCCACATCTTCAAAATTCTATATTTTTTAATGAGCACTGTTTTATACACGTAAGATTTCATTTTAAATATTACACCAGGGGACAACCATGCACCGACTGAAGACTGAGGATTAACATCGTTGAACAGGAACCGTCTATTTCTTCATCCACTCCTCCCTTTCTTTCCTCTCACGAATCACCTCGTCGAGATATGGTGTCAGGTAATGGACATCCTACAGGATAAGGACAAAAAGAAAAGTATGAGGTTGACGCACAAAATCAGGATAAGCATTTAAACTTCTCAAGTCATTCTAGGATCTAACATTTTTGCAGACTTTAGACAGGTAAAGCACAACATCCTCCAAAACCTAGTTTATTCTTTTTCTATTTAACAACACAACAACAACAGTTTCATACGGACTATTCAATATTTTAAATTTCAATATTTAAAATGCCACTGTACCAATCTATATATTAACTGGTGGGGAAACAATCAATCTCTACCCTGAACAAATACCACACTTAAACTGGTTTAATGTACCTCTTCATATTTTGTCCACTGCTCTTTGGGGAGGATCTGCTGCTTCATGGAGAGATCCAGGGCCCTCTTGATCCTGAACATCCTGTCATTGTACTGATCCTCTGGAAGCCTCCTCAGCGCCTCTTTCACATCTGCATCCTCATAAATTGTGTCATCGCGCATCAAACCTGTCAAGAGAAAACACGCAATGCTAAAGATGCTGACTTGAAATTCAGTGATTCAACAGTCTATATTCAGTCTGGACTATGATGTTTCCCCCCTCCACTTACACCCTAATGGGCAGTGTTGACTCACTGTAAGGATTTATACTCTGAATATTTTGTATCAATATATTTCAGCTTACCAATCTTGTTGAAGCCGCACATGTTGTAATACCATTTGCGGATCCCAACCATGAGCCTGCCTGTTGCTACTGTGAACATGACAAGGACAACAAAGACAGGATCAGTCATGCAGCACAAACTTTACTTGAGAGAAGACCACAATAGTAGGTTAGCATCAGATGTGTGAGAGGAAGTCCAGCGGTGATACAGTGTTATTACTACTAATGCACAAATGTAGGCATGTTGACAAATATGTTCTATACTTCTTTTAGTGACCCAGTTTGAACATCCCCTACGTCTACCATCTGTTGTGTTGGTAATCTCAATGTGAAAAATCGATACAGGTTGGTAAAAACTGTGAGCTTGGAAATCACTGCTGTAAATTTAAATGATCTTTGCCTCCTGTTTAAAGTCAGAGCCACACAGGAAGCTAAGGTCATCTGATTGAACTCCCAGCTCCCTCTACATAGTGAGTTTAATTTGCTTTCATTAAGGCTGAGATTTTGCCGTCCTGGAGGTGACACTATCAGATTTATGGGATGTTTTATCACATCAGTGTTTGACTTTTTGAACATGAATCAGTGCCCCCTTTACTTTTTTTTCTTCGCTTCCTGTGGTGGTTTTCGTGACAAGTGACAACTGAAGAGTGGCGCCTGTGTACGAATTTATGTATGCCTCTATTATACGGATTCCATTTTATTTATTGTAGTGCAACGTGTAGTGCTTAATATTCACTGCTGTTTTCAAGTCAATGTGATCTTCACTCTGTCAGGTGACTCAGTTACCTAATATAATGCTAAATAATGAGGCTCACCCGTGACTTAAATGTTATTAACTTTGTCCAAGATATACTATCATACAAGGATATCAGACTGTAGATTACAAGTAGATAACCTGTCTTCTTGGGACCATTTAACGACAGAAGTAACACCACCACAGTGGCTAAAATGCTAAGAAGCTAACATTAGCTCATATCTTAGTACAAGTTACACCATAACAGTGACATAAAACAACAACTGAATGCGATATCTGCTGTCTGGTAAGATATATAGACACGTTTAATCACTAAAGGGACATTTTACTGTGATCGGCAGCAGTAGCTAGCGCCAAGCTAACGTTAGCGAACCAGCACCCTTAGCATCTGTTAGCACGGGGACACTAAAGGACACACACACAAGTCAAATGCGCTAACAGACATATTCACACGGACAAAACGAACATAACGCAATATTATGTGTTACAGTACAGCATATAACACATCACACAAGTATAAAACGCTCTTTAGCGAGATAATTCACAAATAAAAATGTAAATAAAAGCGGTGTTCATTTACCTGGTGCCCTCGACGCCATTTTTACCACTAAGAACGGCCGCAGTGCGTTCTGGGTAAGATGCATTCAGGTCACTGGGCGATTGCGCAACTCACATTAAGTGTTTACAGTTTATGTGGAAACTTCGAGAATAGCTAAGTCTTTAAAACTAGGTAACGATTTTGAAAAACAAAATACTGTAAATACTAAATAAAAACACACCATTCATTTGTTGTAAAAGAACTAGCTATCTTTATAACTCGATTCAGACTGAGTTCTTATGAAAGAAGGGCAGTCATGGTGTAAGGTCATCAAAAAGTGCATTGGTTGAGTACTTAAGTTAGAAGCAGCAATACGAGAGAGAAAGATCATCCCGTCACAAGTAAAAGCTCTGCATTCAGAATGATACCAGCTATTTTAATAATTTCAGCAAATACAATACATTCAAGTAGACCTACTGAAAATAAAGTACCCATTTTGCTGTGAAATGACCCCTGTGAGTGTTGTGTGAAAGAGAGAGTTCACCCAAAAATCAAATACATTTTCCCAACCCTTGGGGCTGAAAATTGAAGCCAACCCCATAGTGCAATAAACTGCAATACTTTGACTGGCCACTTGAGGCTGGCTCCAGTAGCCAGTCAATCCAAGGCTTGCAGATTTTACTTTATACTACAGTAGATACCATAAGCCAAGATGGCACCTATTCATTCCAGTGGAGTTGCTCACCTGGCACATATGCCACAAAAGTTTTCTAGCTTCTGGGATTACATCTGCAGCATACAGCCCACTGCTGGTCCCGCCACTCAGCTCATTTTGTGTCGATGCCACAGATTTTTACATCCCTTTTCTTGGCTCCAGGAAACTTTTACAAATATAAAACCACCTCACCTCAAAAATTCAAGATAGAAAAAAGTCATAATTGACCTTGTTTGCAGGTCAAGGTGTCCTGTCAACGGGTTTACAGATGTTTCTTTTACAACAGTGGCCTATGAAGAAACTGTTCCTTGTGCATTGCAGCAAATTTTTCACAGTGGCCACTTTCAGTATTGCAGCAAAAGCCTCCCCTGTTGCCATGAACAGCTGTATCCCAACTGGAGTGATCACAGGATGATCTTTAGTTATTATTATTTTTAACTGATTGGTATTCCTGATAAATTCATTTGTAAGCCCTATTTAAATACTTTTCAGCAACAACACAGGGCAGCGATGACATACAGCATAACTACGCATCATACTGTAGAAGCTAATTTGTTGTTTTTCTATGTAATATTTAAATCTGCTGAAACAATCGCTGTCTGACATCTCAGTTTTTAAATGTAGTACAGCACAATTATTAAGCAGCACTTAGTTACATTTCACACAAGTGAGACCTGCCCCAATCCATTCTCATCACAGACAGTTTTTTACGACAGGGTCAATGATCATTAAATGCACAGCCCTGCAAATGTTTGACAAGCATTAGACTGAACATGAGTTTTATCACATTTATGATCCCTTCACATAAGTAGTTTAGTAAATAAGATCAGTATTTCAGTCAAAAGTGTGCATATACATATACAGTATTCATTACAAATAACATTTACAGAGCAAACTTTCCGTCTGCATGTGTCTGACATTATTGTACTTATTCTGTGTGCATGACCACTTGTTTCTGAAGTCCTTTATAATGTCCCCTCATCAAAATTCAAAGTGTCTTTAGGAACAAATGAAAATCTTCCAATGTGGCCAAAGCCAGCTCAGTGCAGAAAGTCTCGTCAGGCAAAGACACCAGACGGTCCAGGGCAATATAGTTTGGCAGGGTTGGATCATACTGAGCCTTTCCAAGGTATTCAAGGAACTGGTGGCGCTCTTTGATACGCAAGTACCTGGAATTAAGCACCTGTTGGAGGATAAATCAGATTCTCAAGTTATAATTCCGAATATGGCAAAAATACAAAGGAAATCGGTTCTTCATTTTTTTTTAAATCAAAAGAATAAATAAATTCAGTTGACAACCAAAAGCTGCTAATGTACCTGTGGGAACTTGGCGATCAGGTTGTGTGGCACCTTCATGACATTGTGAAGGTAGTCAAATATTTGGGTTAGCTTCCTCTTGTTGGCAGTCAGCACTTTTGGGACGGCAATAACCATGTGTTGGATCTCATTTTCCTTAAAGCCAAGTTCTATCTCACACACCTGTGGAACACATTTACAAAAAAATATTTAAACACAGCCACTTAAGGTTACTCAAACAATGTTTTCCATTTATGTCTTTGTCATTCAGTACCTTCAAATTTTCTTTAACAGGCTCCAAACTGCCACACAGTAATCTGGGCAGACGAGCTACAATGTTCCGTGTCTGAAGAGAGAAACAAAATGATTAACAATTTTATTTTTCTACCCACAGAGACACAACTTATTTTAAGATGCAAACATGGCTGAGCTTTTCAGTGAGACTTCCTTCATCACAATTAACTTACATTAGAAGCACTGATGTTGAGCTGCTGCTGATAGAAGCCCAGTCTGTTGTCCAGCCTCTTCACACTGAAGTTAAGAAGATACGGCGCTTTGGTCACCATAGATGCAATGGTCTCAGAACTGAACTTCTTTGACTTGAGATAATTCACCCTTTGCAAACAACAAAAAAAGACAACATTATTAAGACAGCCTTATGGCAGGTGCAAAGATGGAAAATGACCTGACGTGCCAGAAATTTGGCAAATAAACAGGCATGTAATGTTTCTGAGATCCCTTCATGTTACCTGGCCTGTAGGTTTTCCACACTCTGAGTGAGAATGAAGGGATTGTGTGTGATGATATAGCCTAGGCGAGAGTCCTCCACTCCTATCTCTTTGAGAAAGAGCAGCCTTGGGGCCACATCTGTGTTGAAGTTCAGCTTCAGTAGCATGGAGCCCACGTTGGGCCTTTGTTCGAGCTTCCACAGGTTTACACCTGCAGTGAGAGGAATAATCACAAACATGTAGTGTAGCAGACAGATTTGGGTTAAGTTGCCCTTTTAAGTTCATTGCCTAGATCAGTGGTTCTCAAACTGTGGGGTGGGCCCTGCTGGGGGGGCTTGGATGACCAGGGGAAAAATATGGAGTTAAAGAAAGATGAATGAACATGATTTATGTAGGGAGATTAAAAGAACAAGAGTTTGCTGATGATATCATGCGACCTTTACTTCACTAAAATTCAATATGGATCATTTTTAATTCATTGCATTCTCAATTATTATTAATGATAGATAAAAAAAATGTGGGGTCGGAGGCATGAACTTTTATCGCCTTATGATGGGGAGCATGACAGAAAGAGAACCAGCAGCCTGCGTACAACAAATCTGAATATGCTTCCAAACTACAAATCAATATGGATTTATATTGTTCTCAGCAATATTTTTAAAGCTTGCATAGTTTAATTACCTAGCTGTACCAGTTTGCTGAGTGTCTCAGAGTGATCGACATAGTCTCTGAGAGAGGTGGAGGCAGGAGGTAGGGCAGAGGGAACAGATATACTGACAGCCTCTTCATCACTGATCTCCTCTAATGGTGAAAACTCAGCAGCAGCATCCAGATCTGGTTTAAGAAAAACATGAATAATGTAATCAACTCCCTTTCAAGATAAAAAATAATCTAAATCAAATTTTACTGTTGAGTTAAAAGGTTTTTATGGTCAACCACAGCAAACCAACACGTACCTGTAAACATCTGGCTTTCAGTCATAGGCACAACATCTGTGGCTGGCAACAGGGGGCTTTTGTACGCTATAACATCAGCTCTTGACGTTCCTTCAACATTCTTGTCTTCCTTTGCCTCAGCTCCCAGATGTTTGGCAGCTAAGTCACTGTAACTGAACATCTGTTGATTCCACCTATGTCCTGTCTGAGTTGTTGTGTGATTCCCCTTGATAAATAAAGATCCATCTGGGATTCTTGTGGATGCACTTGTTAGTGTAATGCAATGGCGAACTTGAGTGGAGTACCGCCAGGTACTAGCCACTGTCTTGGAGCAAAGAAGCTGTCTGCATTTTAGACACAGCTGTGTAGCAGACGATGCCATGGTGATTCTGCAAGAAAGAAGATCATAGTTTGATTTTTACCATCAAAACAAGAGGTTGTGTGTCATCATGGACAACTTGGACCTCCTCCATTGAGAAAATTTCATTAAAGCCGACAAAATAGTTTCAAAATTTGCACCTTCATTAGAATCAGAATATGATTCAACATTTTTTGGCCATGCATGTTGACAACTTTAACATTTACAGTGACTGATTTATACAGGTAAGAGGTGGACAACAAGCTCTCTATATACAAGTCAGATTGTTAATAAAAACTTCTCATACAAACGCAAAACAAAACAAACAAAAAAAACTTAAGTGCTTTGACACATGCATATATCTGCACTATGCTTTCATTCAATATATATATTTGGTTTTTAAGTCCATGTGAATGCTTTTATAGTGTCTGCTTGGCTGTTCATGAGTATAATGGCGTGTAGAAAGAAACAAATGTTATCTATATCTACAGAGAGCCAATTAAAATGATTTACATCTCCATTTGTCATTAATTAATGCAGGTAGGATATGAATAAAGTTTGTGACTGGGTTGTTGCCCTACAAGAGGCTAACTCATGTGAATCGTTAGCTTAAAATGCTAGCAAGCTACCAAAACAACAAGCCTCTTTAACGTAACGGGGAAAAACCGCCAAACCCAAGACATATTATTTTAGACTGTTATCTTTTACTCACGATAATTTTGGTCCTCACCTCTGTCAGAACCCAAGGTGTTGCACAATGTCAACTGTTTTCACGTGTAGACTAACGGAAGGACTTCACGGAAGTGTCACACAGTGGGATGTACCACAGCGACAGATTTGTAGGGGCCGCTGAATGCATTTAATATCATTATGACGGCAGAACACCTGTAAAACACCTAATTTAACTAAATGAGGGACTGCTGTATCAAAATCGTTATATAATTATATTGACAATATACACTATTTGTCTTGTTGAATACCACAACGCGTATTTTCAAGTACAAACACCCCCATTAAGTCAATGTTTCAGTCCGCCTTCAGAGTTCCTGCTTAAGTGGCTCTCTTCGCATCATCTTCTTGTCTCTGGTTTTACAACTTGTTGTAGCCGTCAAAACAAAGAAAGCAGCCCACAGCAGCGACATGGCAGCCACCCCAACACATCGAAAGGACGATGCCAACTATAAGTTACATTTCCGCATGATAAACGAGCAACAAGTGGACGATATCTGCCTTGAATTCTTCTATAAGCCACACACCATCACACTCCTGACAGTCACTGTGCTCAGTCTCATGTACTTTGCGTTTACCAGGTACAGTGTGAACATTTACTTCTTTGTCAAGTGCTGTTTAATATTAGTATTGAAGAATTTAAGTACAAACAATCTAGTTTCCTGTAACTGGATGTATGTCATATTCACAGTGCTGAATGAAGATAAGCTTTCCTTTGTTAACATGTGATACTGTGATGTTTCAGGGATGATGAGCACTCTGACAGCAACCTACGAGTTGGACTATTGGTGGTTATCTCCTTCTTCCTGGTCATCAGTGTCCTGGCCTTGCCTAATGGTAATCTATTCATCCAAGGGTGTAACTTTTTGGTCTGAGAAGTGGGGTTGGGGGGGGGGGGGGGGGGTCTTCCCCCAAAAACATTTGTGATTTGAATCCCATTTACTGTTTTCATGCATTTATTTGGAGACTATGGTAACCAAAACTAAATCAGAGAAATAATTAAGTTTGGCGCTATGCTAAATTCTGCCAGAATAGTACTAAATATGACAAATATGCTACTCCTCTGTTGCATTTTTCTGGAGTATCCCAAACCAAAATCCACAGCTCATTTCACATATACAGGCATAATCTAGCGTATCAAGCATGACTTTATGGTTGTGTGTGTGTGTGTGTGTGTGTGTGTGTGTGTGTGTGTGAGGGGTGTAATTAAGTCCCAGCCACTGCTATTTCTTGTCTTGCCCTCTGCACATCTGAAACAATTAGTAAACTAACATAAATTGGCAACTATTTTGATAATTAGGTAGTAGTTTCAGCCACTTTTCAGGCAGAAATACCAAATATTCACTGCTTCCAGCCTCTCAAATATGAGGAGTTGCTGCTTTTTTCTATTGTATGTGATAGAAAATTGGGTTTTAGACTTTTGGTTGAAAGAATCAAGCACTTTGAAGACATCATCACAGGCTTTAGGAAATTGTGAGGGTCATTTTTACCATTTCCTGACATTCTATAGCAAAACAGATTATTCTGATAATTTTTGTCAGATTATAAATTGATATTTAGTTGCTGTCATATTTATTTTGTTGATGCAAATATCAGATAATAACAAGACATGCCAGTCTAAATATTTCTTGATTCATTATGAAAGTGTATTGTAAAAAAAACTAAACTTAAATGTCCCATATGTAGGATTTAGGGACATTTATTGGCCGAACTGGTACATGGTATTCATAACCATGTTTTTATTAGTTTACAATTACGTGAAAATAAGAGTTGTTTTTTCGTTGCCGTAGAATGAGCTGTTTATTTCTACATACAGAGCTCTCCCAAGGAGTCCCCCATGTTGCTCTACAGTACCCAGAACAGACAGATTAAACACTGGCTCTACATAGGGCCATTCACGTTTTCGCGTCAGCCTCCATAGTTCTCCGACATGCTTGGCGGACAGGAGAAGTTGCAGTTCTGCAACCTCACCACGAGATGCCACAAAATCCTCCACACTGGACCTTTAAAGTTCAATTACAGAGCTTTCAACCACATCTTACAGCTTGCTGAGTTGTCACAGAAATAGTTAAGTTGTCAAGCATGGAACTTGACGTGATAACGGTGGTTGTTTCCTGGGATAGTGAAGGCATTACCCACTCTACTCTGCCTCTCATTGGCTCACCCTGACATTTTTACCCTAACCCTAACAAATCTCACTCTTCTTGTTAAAACCTGACTAACTCAACCAACAAAGGCAACAAGTACAAGCCAATCAGAGGGAAAGTAGGGCAGGTCATGCTTTCACTATCCTAGAAAACAAAAATTGGTGTTGTATAAAGGGAGCTACATATCTCCATGACAACTGAGCAAATGCCATCTTGAGGAAGACCATGAGATGTGTTGGTGACTCTGAAAAAAAACCTTAATGGGCCTTGAGCTAAGACTTGTTTGTCTCTACTAATAGTGTCAACAAACCTTTCTTTATCAGGACCTTTCACCAGGCCACACCCTGCAATATGGCGGATGGTGTTTGGTGAGTGTTCACATCCACATCTGTCTCACATGCTGTGCATCATTCACATTAATGTATTGTATAGTTAACGCCCTCTGAGGCAAACTGTGATTTGTGATCGTAGGCTTTATAAATAAAATTGAACTGAAATTAATTTACCTTTCTTTTTCTGCTTGGATCAATCTTTCAGTTTTATTAATCCTCACTTGCGTTCTCTTGTCCTGGGTAGGCCTCAGTGTTCTGTACTTCCTGTTCCTTGTCTTCATCATCTTCCTCAACTGGGACCAAGTAAAGATGCTGATGTACTGGCTGGACCCAAATCTGCGCTATGCCACACGGGAAGCTGATATCATGGTGAGGATGTTTTAAAACCCTGTCATCTGAAAAATTAGATCAAGTACACACACCACAACTAATACTATGTGCCCTATTTAAACAATCTCCAGTGTAGCACAAGGCCTGAAGTGCCTGGGGTAAGTGCATTTAAGGCATGTCCAACCATTTTTTCTAGTTAAAAAGTGCAGAATCTGGGCGCAAAATAAGGTGCAAGATGCAAAGATGATGTATTTAGTCCCTTAGGTGTAGATCTCTGTTAATGGGGAGTTTGCTGAGGAGCTGCTATGTTCACATTTTAGAGAACATAATTAATATTTTCCTCATTAATGATGTATTATTTCAACCAACCGCAACCCATCTGCAGATTCCTGTGTGTGTAATAAGCAAAGTGTACACAGGTTCTGAACCTGCCCATGTAGGTGCATCTTACTTCTTGCTTCGGGTGTAAGATAGGGTCCAAGATATTAGAAGATGTCGGAAAAGATGGAAGGATGGAGACATGGAGAAGTCTTCTCTTTAATCGTTCTCTGTTATTTCCAGATGAATTTTCTGACTTGGTAACCTTTCCCTTCACAGGAATATGCTGTGAACTGTACAGTGATAACATGGGACCGGATCGTGAGCCACTTTGACATCTTTGCATTCGGGCACTTTGCAGGCTGGGCCATGAAGGCTGTGCTCATCCGCAGCTACGGCCTCTGTTGGACCATCAGCATCACCTGGGAGCTGACTGAGGTAACATGCATGTGTTCAAGATGCAGTCAGGCTTAATGTGCCTGTGTTAAAATCTGTTGCCTGAATCAGAGCAGTCCAAGGATCTAAACAGAAAGTAAGTGTCCAAGGCCATGCAAAAAAAGTCATTACTTGTAATCTGTAGTGATCCAGTCTATACAGGCCGCTGCACTGCTTCAGCTCGGTGTGTGCAGGCAGCAAGAATTGTTTGTTTGGAAGAAACCCATTACAAAGCAGTAGTATGAGAAGGGGTTTCTGCACATAACAAGTGCTGTCGCCTTGACTGCAGCCAGTTGTTGACTGAAGGGATTAGATTACAGGATTTAACCTAATACCAGATTTACTCATCACAGAATCAGCTGCGTCACAGATCCTGACACCCACAAGGTGCCAGAATCATTCAAGTAACATACTAAGGAAATGCAGTCAGTTGATTAAAAAAGCTTTTTATCTCTTTGACCACATTAGTACATTTTATTTTCCCGCTTAATCTCTCCTTTTTCCTCAGCTATTCTTCATGCACCTGCTGCCAAACTTTGCAGAGTGCTGGTGGGATCAGGTGATACTGGACATACTGTTGTGTAACGGAGGAGGCATCTGGTTGGGTATGACTGCCTGCCGGTTTTTGGAGATGAGGACCTATCGCTGGGCCAGCATCAAGTCAGTGAAGCTTTGTCTTTTTTTCTTTTATTTCCTCTGTCTTTTAAAACCCCCAAAAGCCTAAATAATCTAAAATAATATGGTATAATGCAAGATTACATGTGTATGTATCTCAGTATCCTCAAAAGTGCACCTACTCTGTTCAGGGAAATCCACACCACCACAGGGAAGATAAAGAGGGCCGTGCTCCAGTTCACCCCAGCCAGCTGGACGTATGTGCGCTGGTTTGACCCAAAGTCCTCCTTCCAGAGAGTAGCAGGCATCTATCTCTTTATGATCCTATGGCAGGTACTGTATTCTTTGACTTCAGATTTACTGTTGCTGTTGACTATTATTTGATTAATCAGTGAATGAGTTATTCTAGAAAAGCTCCTCCTTCACTGTGTCATCCTGCCACTCACACTTTGGAGTAAATATACAAAATATCCATAATAAGTCCTTTAATCTTGTCTAACATCCTGTTATCTTCACAGCTGACAGAGTTGAACACGTTCTTCCTCAAGCACATTTTCGTCTTCCAGGCTTCTCACCCTCTCAGCTGGTGTCGCATCCTCCTCATTGGAGTCATCACTGCGCCCACTGTGCGGTATGTTCAATCTATAAATACAACATCTTTTCCCTCTTACCTGTAGTGCTGTGTATTAGTCTAGATTGTTTTGGTGTGAGTTGCAGAGTGTTGGAGGTATCAGCTGTAGACATGTCTGCCTTCTCTCCAATATAATGGAACTAGATAGCACTCGGCTTGTGGTGCTCAAAGCGCCAAAAAACACACATTTGAAAACTCAACAGCAACGTCTCTTTCTAGAAATCATGACCTGGTTACTCAAGATAATCCACAGACCTTGTTGTGAGC